TATTTTTTAATATTTAATTTTTTTAAATTAATATTAATTTTCATTTCATAATTAAAATAAATTTATAAAAAATTCTTATAAATCTATTAAAATAAAAATTAATTAAGAATATTTTTAAAAAATTTATTAATGATTTTATAATAATGAAATTAATTATTAGCTAATATTTCTACTATATATAAATATATATGAATAATAATATATATTTATTTAATATCAATTATTATATTAATTTTTATATAAATTATTAATTTTTTCATAAGAATTTATTTATTTTTCTAATTATTTAAATTAATAATCTTAAATATTTTTTTTATCAAATCCTTAATTATATATATAAGCTGAATTTTTTTAAAACTAGTTTTCTTTAATTTTAATATCTTATTTTAGTAAATTGCCTAACTTTTTACTAAATTTAACTTGTTTACTTTTTGTTTACATATTAACAAATATATAATTTTTATTATTATCATCATAATTTTCTTTTTATTAGCTTTTAAAATTATGTGCGTTAGGTAAAATACTTACACTTTATTAATTATTTTATAAATAAGGATTTATATTTTTCAAAATTTAATTTTAATGTAAATGACTTTTGTTTAAAAAATAATTCTTCTTTTTTAATGATAATATTTAAGACGTACTTTTTATTTTTTTAACAGAACATGGTTTATATAATTCATCCTTTTTCGCTTAATCAATTTTCGAAGATTATTCTTGAATAAATTTTTAAATAGTACTATTACCTCTTAATTTATTTTAATCAATAAATTATTACATTAAAGATTAAGAGCTTATATTATTTTCTTTATTAAATATCTTTTTACTGTCCTTTTATTAATTTTTTTATACATTTTCTTTTTTTTCATTTGTTTAATTTGATTTATTATTTTCTTCATTTTTTTTATTATTTTTTTAAATATCTTAATTTAAAATATCATAATATCTTTATTCAAAAATAATGGATTTTCTTTTAATATTTTGAACATTACCAATAATATGTATACTAGTCCTTAATTTATTTAATAGTTCTTAACTATAACTACTCTTTTATTAATTTTGCTCATTTTAGATTTTCTCATGACAATCTTAATTACTCTCAGATATTTCTTCAGAAAAATTATTACTATTATCAATTTTAATATTAGAGTTTACGTTTTTACACTTTTAGAGTAATTTTTATGGACCTTTTTAAGCAGGCGATTATTTTCGAGAAGTTTTTAATCTAATAATTTTTATTTTCTGTTTTTTAATCATAATCTTTTGATTTATCTTTATTTTATTAATTATCAATATTTTATTCTTCATATATAATTTATTAATAAATATTTTTTTCATTTTTATAAGATTAATATTATGATGTATTTTGAGAATTTAAAAAACAAATTAGTTTCTATTTTTTTGGAACTATACTTTCTTATGTTTCTTTCATTGGCTAATTTAAATTCATTTAATAGTTTATCTCTTTTAAGTTTTTTTAGATTTCTAATTTTTTATTTGCTGTTTGTATCACTCCAATGTAATTTATATTATCTAGTTTTTTTTAGTTTCTTAACATCCTAATATCTTTTGTATTATTTAATTCTTTATTATTGAGTTTATAAATATATTATCTAATCTTATTTATTTGCTTGTTTATTATCCGGTTTAAGAACAATAACAGCTTTTTCTTCTTATATGTATTTTTTCTTTTAATTTATTATCTTTTTCTATTTTAAATTATTATATAGTCGATTCTTAATCAAATAAATTATATTTAAGTCTTTCTATAGGTGTTATTTATCCTGTTAATTATAATTATTTTAATATTAATTTATTTAATTTTACTTGAATTGTTGCTAGATTTATTATTATTAGTTGTATATATCAAATAGTATTGGTTAAATTAATTTTAAGATTATTAAAATAATTTTTGTTTTTTCTTCATAAGATTATTGTTTTATGCTTCAATAATTGAATTATTTTATTGATTGGATTAATTTTTTTCATTTATTTATAGACTATTTTTAATTAAACTGTTATTTTTGTTTATTATTATTCTGTATTTTTAAATAATTTAATTCATAATATTTTCTTTCTCTTATTTTTTTTTAAATTAAGATAAAAATTTATGAATATTTTTTTGTTTTTTTTAATTTTCTTTCAATAAAAATATAAAATTAATAGTATTTAATCGTTTAATAATATAAATTTTAAATATAATTAATATAAATATTAATTTTTATAAATAATTTAGCTTTTTCCTATTTTTGTTTATTTAATTAGTATAAATTAATTTAGATTAAATAATGATATAATAATAATTATTTAATGTTCATATATTAATAAAAATAAATATAAAATAATTAATATTATAAATATTTTTTTTTTAATATATTAAATTTGTTTCAAAAAAAAATTAAATATAATTTTTTTTTTAATAATTTAATATAATTAATATACTGTTATATAAATAATATTTTTTTTACAAAACAATTTTCTTAAATTTATTTTTGTATAAAATAGTCAACAATAACATAGGTTTTTAGAATTGAGTTATATTAAATTATTAAAATGAATAGTTTTAAACCTATTATAAATAATAAATAAAAAATTTTACTTTCATAATAAAAACTTTAATAATTTAAAAAAATGAATATTAAATGTTTTAATGAATAAATTAACTATATTAATTTAATTGTAGAAATTTTAATCTTAAAAAAATAATAATAATAAGAAATAGATTTATAAATGATTATAATATAGTTTTAAATAATAATTATAATAAATTTAACAATATTTATTTTTTATAAATAAAATATTAGATTAATAGTTTTAATAATTAATTTTATTTATTATTTTTTAAAAAATCTATAAATTATTTTTTTTGATAATTATTTATTTTAAACCTTTTGTAAATATAATTTTTTATTTATTTAATATAATTATCAAATTTTTTGTTTTTTTTAAATATTTAATAATATTTTTTTTTATATATATATAGATATAAAATATTAAATTTTTAAATTTAATCTATATTTAAAAATAAATTAAAAATTGTTATTTTTATTTTAAAAAATAATTGCAAAATTCAAATATATTTTAATCTAAATATAAAAAAAACGCAAAATATATAAATAATAATATATAAAATAAATACAATTTATAAATAATTATTAATTATCATAAAGTAAAATTTAATATTCATTTAAAAATATTTAGTAAATTATTTTTTAATAAATATATTTAGTAAAATTAAAAAAAGCAATATTTTACAGAAAATGAACAATAAAAATAAATAAGAAACTAAGTCATAAGATGAGTAAGCTTATTATTTAAATCATAATTTAAGTTTGCTACTTTAATGTTAAAACGATACAATATTTAAACCTTTTGCATTTTCACTAAATGATTTTAATGAATAAATAATAGAATCTTAGATTATATGTAAAAATTAAAGTGAAAGTAAAGCAAATAAAAATGAAAACTAATCTATTAATTTTATTCAATAAGCAAAAAACATGTATTAAAAATAAATATCCTTAAAATATTTTTATTTTTTAAATATTCAATTAGACTAGAGAAATCTAAATAAAATTTAAATTAATAATATTATGGTTTTGAACCTAATGAATTAATTTTTAAACCAAAACCTATAAAATATATTGAAAATTATAGTCTAGAATACGAAAGGTAAACAAAAAAATTAAGAAATATTATAAATAAAAAGTTAAATAAAAATCAATTATTAAATTAAAAAAATTATATAAAAAAAAACTAAAATTAAGATACATCTCTTTTTTTAATTATTAAATAGTGCTCCTTAATAAAACACTACTTAAAAATATAATAACTAAAAAAACTAATAAAATGAAAGTTTTATAAAACTAATATAAAAATAATAATTAAATAGTGATACAAAATATAGTAACTAAAAAAAAAATCAAAGCTAAGAAAATAACTTATTTTTTTAAAATTCTAGTAATACTAACTTTAAATTCTAATCATAAGGAGATGATAATAAACATTAAATATCACCTAAATCAAAACAAGATAATGATTAAAAATATAAAAAATGTAATTGTAAAAAATCTAAATGCTTAAAACTATATTGTGATTGTTTTGCGAATGGAGAAAAATGCTCAAAAAAATGTAATTGTGAAGGATGTAGTAATAAAGCTGATAATTTAGAAAGAAAAAATGCTATAGTTAAATTTCTAGAAAAACATCCATATGATAATGATATATTATAAAAATTCAAAAGAAAAGAAAATAATAAAAAAGGATGTAATTGCTATAAATCTGGCTGTAATAAAAAATATTGTGAATGTTATAATTTAGGAATATAATGTGGAACATATTGTAAATGTATAGATTGTAAAAATAAAAATAATTTAAATGAATAAAATTCAAATCAATTTTAAAGTGTTGAAAGAGTTTTCTAAATAGAAAATAATGAAAATATTAATAATACTAATTAATAAGTAGGCTATAATAAATGTATATAGAATCCATTAAAAAAATTTAAAAGCAATGATGATAAATAAGTTAAAATATAAATATACGAAAAAGAAATGTTAGGATTATTCGAAAAAGTTAGTAAAATTTTTATTAATCAATATATAAGTCATTTTAAAGAATTATAATAATATAAATTATTTTAAAAATAAGTTAATTAACATTGAAAATTATTTAAAAAAAAAATTAAATTAAAACGCTTTCAAATATTATTCTTTTTAATATAATTAAAAATATTTATTGCATAAAATTATGTATTTATTGATTTTTATTTTAGTATATTCTTTTATTTAATTTTTACTAAAAATATATATTTTATTTATCCTTTTATTATTATTAAAATTATTTATTAAAAATAAAAGATATATTTAAAAAAAAAAAATATGAAAAACTTTTTTAAATTTTTTAAATTTAACTAAAATTTAGAAGGTGTCCCTACTATGAAAATGTATTAAATGAATGCTAATAGCATGATATTACAATATTAAAAAATTTAAAAGCAAATGAACGTTGTTATTCTTGTGAAATATCTATTTGCTACGTTTGCTCATAAAAACATTTCCATAAGCATTGCGATGTTGAATGTAAAAAAAAAAAATCATATTTTAGTTTAAAAAATATTATTTTATTAATATAATTTTTACAAAAAAATAAAAATACTTAACTTAAATTTTATAAAAATATAGGGGGATTTGATTCATATAGAAAATATAATTTAGCCCCAAAAAGTGAGAAAAGTAAAGACTTTAATTTAGGCTATTTAGCAAAATTAACATTAACAAATTTGAAATGTCCATGTGGTAGAATAAAAAAACATGATAATAATTATATTCAAAATAAAAACATAAAAAAAGGAAGCAACATTGAAAATGAAAAAAATGCAGGAATATGTGCAGCATGTGGAACTGCAACGTGTTCAACTGAATGTCATAATAAATATGCAAATGAAACAAATTAATGTACATTTTAACATAATTTTACAATTCCTTTAGAAAACTAAACTTTACGTTCAATCTTATTTAGAAATATATATTATTTATTCGATAATACATATGGGAAAGGTGTCCCTGTAGCAAAAACTTCTAGTTATTTTATATAAGGATATTTAAGTGATAAAAGAAACGAAGTCTATTTATAGAGAGGTTTTAGAATATATGGAAATCCTTCAGATGAAACTTTATAAAATTTAGAAGTTTATAATAAGGTTAATATAGATTATATTAATAATAAAGCACGAGTTTGTGTGTGCAAATGTAATATTTGCACTTCAAGGAGTATTCATCCTATTAATAATTGTATGCCTAAATGTTTATCTGATGAAAGTTTAGTAATAAAATTATATTTTATTTTTATTTTTTTAATTTGTTTGTAAAGATAAAATAAGAGGTTAATATAGTTTAAGAATTTTAATAATAATGTAATTGTAAATGTGAATTCTGTACTTCAGGAATTTTAATTACTTCTCATTCTAAAGTATAGTGTTTATTTCATTGTAGCCTTTCAGGTTTCTATTAGCAAAATATATAATAATGAAGAAGTTATTTTTTTATAATTTAATATTTTTAATTTATTCATTAAAATATGCGTATTTCTTTGTAAAAGTTTAATGTATAAAATTAATTATTTATAAATGTAAAAAATTTTGTAAATAATATTTATTTATATTAAAAATTATTTTTGATTTAATAACAAAACAAGCACTTTTTAAATATTTTTTATTTTTAATTTTATAAAAAAAAAAAATCGTTTATTTTAATTGATTATTTAATGTTAACTAACATTAGTATATTTTTTTATTTTATTTTTGATTTCTAATATTAATATGTATAATATTTAATAATTTTTATAAATATATATATATATAATTTTTTTTTTTTTTTTAATAATTTTTGTAAATAAAATGGTTTCTTATTAATATATTTATATAATAAATTTAATAATAAAAATAAATATTTATAATTATAATGATAATATCATTATTATTTAAAACTTATGTATTAAATATTAAATTTTTTTATTTTTTTATTATTCTATAATTTCTAATCAAATATATTCTCAATTTCCTAAATTTAAGTTTTAGGGAATACTTCTTAATATTTTTAACAGGCAAGTTATTTTAATTTTTACAATTTAATTTATTTTTAAGGTTTTTCTTTAATAATTTTTCTAATAGTTTTTTTCCATCCAACCCATTAAGTACAATTTTGTTCCTAGTTTTGCTCATCTTCCTTTTCAATATTTTTTTCTATCTAAATAATATTTTCTTTTTATTCTTCTTATTATTTATTTACTTATTATTGATTATTTTTATTGTTATTAGGTTATTGATTATTTTATTGTTTGTTATTTTTTTATTTATTCTTAGCATATTAACCATGATATTTCTCTTGCTCTGTCATGCATTAAGTATGCTTATTATAATCTTAGCCGATAAAAGTTTAGGTACAATCAATGCATATAAACTTAGCAGGTTATGAGCATTGATAAGTATGTCTTTCTAATTGTTTTTTTTAAGGGTTAAATCACAATAATAACAAACAAAAGTAACCATATATATTCAATTTTTTCTTTTAATTTTTATTTTATACTTATTTAATTTTAGTAATAATTTATTAAAATAAAAAAATAGCATTGATATAAAAAAAATATAATCATATATAAAAATTTTAATAATTAAAAAATAGTTTTAATTTAGTTGTACATTATTTGTTTCAAAAAACATTTTACACTATATTGAATATAATATGAAATAGTAATTAATATTTTATTTCTAAATTATTATTAAATAAAATATTAAATATAGATTCAAAAATTATAGTTTTTCAATATAAAATTGAAATTAATATTTTTAAATAAATTTTAACAAAAATAAATATATAACATAATCATGACATTTTTATTTTCTGATATAAAATTTAAAAAAAATATTTTAATTTTAAATGAAAATAACTAGATAAATAATATTTTAGTAATAATAAAATAATATATTAGTTATAAAGATATAGAGATTTATATGTTAATTTATTAATTTGTATTACATATTAAAATAAATAAATATTATTCATTTATTCTTTTATATATATTTTTATTAATATATATTATAAAAATAATTATAATTAATTATATATAATAATAATAATAAAGTTTATTTTATTGCGTTAAAAACTAATTAATATATTATTATAAAACAATTTAATAAATAATTATTAATTCAAAATGTAAAAAAATATAAAAGTAAAACATTTTTATAATACTATATATTTTTTTTCAGATTTTATTAGATTATTTCATTAGTTATATTTAATCAATTTATAAAAATTTTAACAATTAAGATTATATAAAAAAACAAATTACAAAAATAATAATTAAATATAATTCTTCTTATTCTTTTTTGTTTTTTTTTCTCATAAAACTTAAAAAATAAATAAATATATTTCTATATTTACTCACGAATATAGTATATAAATAAAGAAAACTACAATTGTAAAAATAAAATTAAACAATCATAAAATAAAAAATAAGAAAAAAATAAAAAAATATATTAAATGGGTTGTTGTTAATCAAATCCCAGTCAAGATATTCCTCATTATAACGGTACATAAACATAGGATTATGATGGGGGAGCATCATTAATTAAAAAAGAACAAAATATACATATTCATTCTGAAAATCAAGATTAAATATATCAAAAAAATTTAGACCAATAAAATAATAATATCACAAAAGACGAAGTAAAAAATAAGGATAATAATATCCATAAACCCAATTCTGTTTTTGCCTAACCAATAGACCACGAGCCAGATTATACAAATAGTTAAACAAAATTAACTTTACAAAAATTAGGTTCTTTTGTATATAATGAAAGTTAATATGATGATAATGAAGCTGTAGATTTAGGTTCTTATTAATTAGAAAATGGCTCAATATATATTGGATAATGGAAGAATGGAATGAGACATGGAAGAGGTAAATAATTATGGAAAGATGGATCTATATATGAAGGTTATTGGAGAAATAATATGGCTCATGGAAAGGGAAGACTTATTCATTCAGATGCTGATGGTAAAATTAAATTAAAAATAAATTCTATTATATAATTTTTAATTTTTTAATTTTTTATTTTTTAAAAATTATTAAAAAAAATAAAAATGTTAAATTATTTTTTTATTCTTAAAAAAAAAAAAAAAGTTTATTTAGGTGAATGGTAAAAAGATAAAGCACATGGAAATGGCACTTATACACATTCTGATGGTGCTAAATATATTGGATAATGGTATGATGATAAACAGGAAGGAATTGGCACAGAAATATGGCCTGATGGTGCAAAATATGAAGGATAATATGTTTAAGGCATTTATTTTCAAAATATAAAAGAATTTTTATTTTATATATAAAAAATAGGTAAAAAATAAGGAAAAGGTAAATTCTATTGGACTGATGGATCTTAATACGAAGGTGAATTTGCTAATAATAATATACATGGATATGGAATTTATACATGGTCAGATGGTAGAAATTATAGAGGTGAATGGAAAAATAATAAAATGGATGGATAGGGAGAATTTAGATGGCCAGGTTATTTTTATTTTTTTGTTTAAATAAAATTAAAAAGTTTAATTTTTTATAAAAAAAAAAATTAATTATTTTTAGATGAAAGAAAATATATAGGAAGTTATATAGAAGATAAAAAATAAGGATATGGTGAATTTGAATGGCCTGATGGTAGAGTTTATAAAGGATAATGGTTAAATGGAAAATAAGTATTTTTTTTTGTTGTTGCTTTATTTTATAATATTTATATTTTAAGCATGGATAAGGAGAATATATAAACGCATAAGGGAAAGAAAGAAAAGGAGAATGGGCAGATGGAAAAAGAATAAAGTGGAATGATGAAGAAGGATTATGAGAAAAAAATATAAAACATTTTATTTAAAAATATAATATAAAAAAAGTTTACAAAAAAAAGATTTTTTTTTTTTTTTTCATTTTTTTTTTTTTTTTTTAGACAAACAATAATAATATTTCATATCAAATTTATATTAAATTTGTTGATGTTATAATATATAATTCTTATACTTTTAATTAAATTAATTTTAATTAATAAACTATAAATTTTATTAATAATATATTATACTTTTTATTCGTTTGATATTGTATTATAATAATATAATTTAGAGTATATAGTTATTATTTATAATTTTTATATATTATCATGAAAATTATTTTTATTTACTATTAGTAATTAGATACTTATATTTTTATAAAAGAATATTATATCTTTATTAAATATTAAAATTCATATCTAAAAATAATTTAGTTTTTTTAAAAAAAATTAAAATCAATAACATTTTTAAAAATATTTAATTAATTTAATTTTATTAATTTGAATATCTTATAAATAATGAATGATTAACAAATAATATTCATTTGAAATCTTATTATTGATATAATTATAAAATGAATAATATTTTATATTTACTATTAATGACAAATCTTACTTATTTATAATTAAATCATAAAAAAATAAAATATAATATTTAATAACATATTCATTAAAAATGTTAAAACATAATTAGACTATTAATTTTTTTAATAAGTATAATAGTTTAAAAAAATAAGATTATATAGAATTATTATATTTATTCAATTAATAAAATTTACTAACAATTTTTTAATAAAATATCTATATTTTTTAAAAAAAAAAGTTAAAAAAGTGTTAAATTGCATTTTTTTTTTATAAAAATAGATAAAAAGCAAGCATGTAAAAATTCTTTTAGGAAATATAATTTAATTATATAAAAATAATCTTTTAAATAATATATTTAATTTTAATAAATATTAATTTTAAAAAATAACTAATAAATCTTTTGAAGAACAGCCAAATATCAATAATATATAAATAAGAAAAGACTTCATTTTTGATATATTAATATACAAATATATATATAAAGATATATATATATATTCAAATTAATAAATAATATATTTTTTTAGTTTTATGATAAATTTTAATTAATAAAATTTTTCTTGTATTTTTGTTAATTACCAAAAATTAATTTTTACTATTATATTAGTATCACGTTTTTGCGGTTTTGATTTTCATTATTAAGTATATAATAGTTAAGGAGAGATAAACTAAATTGAAAATTTCGGATAAAAAAATAAAAAAAAAATATGAAAGATATATAAATTGTATTTATTAATGTATTTGGCTATTATTGTTATAAATACATATATATATATATATATATTTTTATTTTTTTATTTATTTAATATATATGATATATTTTTATATAAAAAATATATATTAGTATGACATGTTTATTAAAAATTCAGTCCAAATTTATATATAATATTTTTGTTGCATAATGTTAACTTTATATTATATATAATCAATACAATCAATATAGACTATTAAAAAATTCTATGAAAATTAATATTATAATTAAATTTATTAACTTTTATAATTCATATATAAAACCCTATTATAAATTAAATATCAGAATATTAAATATATTTATATATATATTTTTTTTTCCTTTTAACAAAAAATCTTAAAAATTTATTATTATTTTTTTTTTAAAAAAAAAAAAAAAAATATTTTTGGCTTACCATTAATTTATTATTTTATATTACTATTTTTTGTTTATATAAATTATATAAAATGTCATTAGTATTATCAGATTGTGATTCAAACAGCTAAAAGTAATAAAAAAACAATTAACTATAAAATAAAAAAACAAAGTGATTTAATCCAAAATATAATATTAAAATGTGGAAAAGTATTTTAAAATATAGAATTCGAATTAGATTTGCGATATCCTTCAGACAAAAATATAAATTTAAATCTTTAATATATAAACTCAATAAAATAAATATTAAACTAATACATTGATGGATTACAATAAGTATGTTATACAATAGAATAAGACACGAATTAAAATAAAAATCATATAGCATAATTTATTATATAAATATTCGAAATAAGTTAAGCAATATTAAATAATTAATATAAATGCCTTATACATAATTTAGATTAAAATCTATTTTAGAATAACTAATTTTTAAATCAAATTACTAGTGATGAAATTTATTCTTTAGCTAAAAAATCAAAACACAAAGTTAAAATTATTAAAGGAAACGTCGATAAGAAAATTAATAAAGATAATGAGGAAAAGGATCCTTTGTTGATAAATTATAATATATCTAAGTATGAAATGTAAACTATTCTGGATGATAAAAGGAAAAACTTATCGTTAAAAAATTCCAAAGCAAATGCTTATATTAAAAAATTTATAGATGAACTATAGGTTTATACAAATAATGAAAAGAATTAAATTAAAAATTTCTATTAAAGTATGTAAATTTATATTTTTTTTTAAAAAAAAATATTAATTTTATATATTTATAATTATATACAAAAAAAAAAAAAAAAATTATAGATACATATTAAAACATAAGAAGTTGTAATGATATAGATGATTCTTCAAATATAGATATGATTTTCAATAATTTTTCATAACATGTAGATAAAACTGCAAAAAAAAAGTTATTAAAAGTTGTAAGCTTTTTTTAAGAAAAGCATAAAATAAAAAAATAATACAATAAAGAAATTTAAGTATTTTTTTTATTAAATAAAAAAATATATTATTTATAAAATAAATAAAAGACTGATTTTGAATAAGTAAATACTAAAGAATTATATTTAAAAATAGAAATATAAAAACTAAAAATTCAAGAATTAGAAAAATAATTGGAAAAAATTAAAAAAGTAAATTCTAATATTGAAATTCACAATTTTAAAAGTTTGGAATTTTAAAATAAATAACAAATTTAAAGGCAGTAAGCATTTACTTCATTAAAATTACTCAATTAAGGATAATAAACCAACTCCAAAAAAACTATTTTTAAATAACAACTTTCACTGAATATAATAAAAGATAATTTATAAAAAAATGAAGAAGAATAAATTAATGTAGAAAATTCAATAAGTTAAAATGCTAAAAAAAATACATTAATTGTTAATAAATTAAAAAATTCAAACTAAAAAAATTAAAAAAATTCAAATATATTATAAACTTAAAATTATTATGTTTAAAATTTAAATAATTTAAGTTAAAAAAGTGTTATTTTTGAAAATAAAGAAGACGATGTAAAAGATAATCTTAATTTAAAAAATAGTAAATCTAATACAAAATTAAATATTACATAAAACTCAGAAAAAAATATAACTAAAGAATAAAATATTATTAATGTTTAATAAGATATAGAAAAAAATATAAATAAAAAAATCAGAAATAAAAGCTAAGAAAATAATTAAAATAATATAAATAAATAATAATAAAATTAATAAAATTAATAAAATTATAAAAATATAATAAATAATAATTAAAATATAAAAGATAGAAAATATAAAAATGTAGGTTAAACTAAATATTAAATTTATAATTATAATAATGAATAAAATTTACCAAATAAAAAAAACAAATAATATGAAACATAATAATAATAATAATAATAATAACAATAACAATAACAATAACAATAACAATAACAATAACAATAACAATAACAATAACAATAACAATAACAATAACAATAACAATAACAATAACAATAACAATAACAATAACAATAACAATAACAATAACAATAACAATAACAATAACAATATCAATAACAATAACAATAACAATAACAATAACAATAACAATAACAATAACAATAACAATAACAATAACAATAACAATAACAATAACAATAACAATAACAATAACAATAACAATAACAATAACAATAACAATAACAATAACAATAACAATAACAATAACAATAACAATAACAATAACAATAACAATAACAATAACAATAACAATAACAATAACAATAACAATAGGCGTAAAAATAACAATAATAAAAACAATAATAATAATAATAATAACAATAGAAGTAAAAATAACAATAATAAAAACAATAATAATAATAATTAATAATAATAATAATAATAATAATAATAATAATAATAATAATAATAATAATAATAATAATAGTAATAAAACTCATAAAATTATCAACAAAATAAAAATATATAAACTAACTCAAATGATATTAGCTAATAAAGTAATTTTTAATAAAATAAATAATAATTATTATTCAATTAAAATATATGTCTATAATAAGAAAATTAAATATTCAAAGCTCAAGAAAATAACTAAAATATGAACTAAATTTATATTAATTAAAATAAATAATAAGTTTTTTAAGATTCATAAAATTAAATGAAAATATCTAAAACTAATAATATTTAAATGATTAAAGTAATCGAAATATTTTTTAAAGTAAAAGTATAACATATAGAAAATAGTATTTATAATCTTAAAATTAATATGCTTAATAAAAAATTTAAACTTAAATTTCTTAACCTTAAATATATTAATAAAGATATTCAACTGAATAATAAAAAAATAGCTTAAAAAATCTTTCAAATTAATATGAATTAAATAAAGAATAAAACTTTTTGTTTTAAATATAAAATATAAGTGAAGATTAGGAATAAATACTAAGTTCTCAAGATTAAATAAATACTCTTTAAAATTCATAATTTTTATATTCTAATGAATTAACTGAGAAATCATACAATAATTAAAAAAATTAATTTAATAGATTTAGAAATGACATAAAATAATAAACTAAAGAAAATGCTATAAGTAATCGTTAAGTAAGGTTTTTTTCTTAATATAAAGATTCTTTAAATAAAAATGAATATAAAAATACTATAAATTAAAATAATAATTAAAATATCAATTAAAATAATAATTAAATTTAAAATTAATAATTAAATTTTAATTTAATTTTATAAGATTTCAATATTAAAGAAATAAACTAATAATAATAAACTGTATGTATTTTAGAAGCACTTAAAGAATAAACTTTAAATCGTGAATAAATAATATAAAGTCTTTATTAATGTTTAAAAATAGAATAAAATAGATAAGCCAAAAAATTGGATATCAATTATTAATTAATGAAAAATAATAATAGTAATTAATAGATGAATTAACTTTAAAATATTTAAAAACCATATTAAAATAAATTATAAGCTAAACTTAAGTTCAAATCTTAATCTAACTATAATTCTTCTTAAAATTCAGTATAAAATAAGACTAATTAAAATTAAAAAGCAATCAATAAATTTAACTTAGTTTAATCTTTAATTAACCAAAAAAAGTAATTAATTGCTTTAAGCTTTTTCAAACAAATTAGTTCTAGTTTAAAATAAAATTAGGATAATACAGCAAAAATAAAAATATTTTAAGATGATACATATACTAAACAACTTAATGAATCAATTTTATTATAATCTAAAAATAAATAAATAAAAGATAATATCATTAAAGAAAGAAAATAAAAAAATGAGGCATAAAATAATCATATAAAGTATTTATTTTAAATATACTATAATTTTTTTTTAAAAAAAAAATAGAGATATTTATAAACATATGTAATAATAAAATATCGATTTTAATATAATAAAACAAATGGATATTTCAAATTTAATTTTTAAAGGAAATGATGATATCGAAACATCTTAATAAAAACATTCTAACTATATGATTAATTTATAAAATATATTAAAATAAGATATAAACAGTTTATAATAAAATCAATTGGAATCAATTTTAAAAGACATTATAAAATAGCATAATAAATGTGGTAAAATGTGCCCTCATTTATAAAGATTTTATGAAAAAATTAATTATAATTAATATAATAAAAGATAATAATTAATTTAATCATAACTTGTTGTTCATTAAATAAATTGAAAAAAAAAAAAAAAAAATCCATACAAATATATATAAGTAACTATTTCTTCATAAATTCATATTACGGTAAATTATTTTATTTACTCTCAAATTATAAATTAATTAATTCTGATACAAAACGACTTTTTATTCCTAAATTTCACAGAAAAGCAAACTTTTATATTCGTTTAATTAATTTAAATATCCAATTTTCTATAAATAATAACTGATAGTATATTTATATAAAAATTCATTATTTTTTACAATTTAAAATTTTATAGTTTTCATTATCATGTATAAATTCTTATGCGGCTTTAAAAACGAAATGAATAATCTTTCCTGAAATTATTCTATATTTAGTTGAAATAAAAATACTGATAATTAATTTGGGACACATATACAAAGGATTTTTTTTTTTTTCTGATTATAAAACACTTTTTTTTTTTTTTTGGCGAAAAAATATATCAAAATGTAAAAATAATGAATTTTTTGTTTTTCTATAATCTTCAATTTTAGTTTTTTTATTGTTTTTTCTTAGAATTTTTGTTTTATTTCATATTTTAATTTTATATAAATTAAGTTTAGATTTAATGATTCGTTTCATTTTTTATATTCTACTAAAATAATTGTATATACATTGTAATTTTTAAATGTTAGTATCATAAAATCAAGAATATTAAAACTAAGTATTATTATTTAAGATAGTTAATATTTAAAGTAATATAAATTATATTAAAGATAATTAATAGCTATTTTTTAAGATTTCTATTATGCTTATTTTGATATATAATGAATCAGTGCATTATTCATTTGAAAATAATTAATTAATAACTAATATAATTTTTTTGTTTTTTTATATTTTAATAAATATAATTTATTTAGTTATAATTTTTTTTTATTTCATCTATAAATTACTATTTGCTAATTAATTTATTATATATTATATTATTAAAATTTTTAAAATATTAACCAGAGGCTTCCTAACAAATTTGTTTTAGTAATATATTTATTTCTATTCTATATTAATTCATTTTGAATATTTTTATTATATTATAAGATTTAAATTAAAATATCTAATATAGTGTAATGAATATAATTTTTTTTATTATATTAATAAATATTTTAAATAAAAATAAAGATTAGAGACTTTTAATTTAATTATTTATAATTAATATATATTTATTAGTACTTTAATTTTTATTTTTTTTAAAATATAAAATAAAATAAATAATTATTTGTTTCTATAATTCTTTTAAAAATACAAAAATTTACAAAATTAAATTTATTATTAATAGAAATGCTTATATTTTGATTAAAAAAAATAAAAAAAATAAGCAAAATAATAATATAGACTATTATATATTTAATAAAAATATATTATCTATTTTTAAACATCAAAAATGTTTTAAATTAAAAACAAATAAGAGAGTTCAAATAAAATCCTTATGTAAAATTTTATTTTTATAATAATTAATTCCAGACTCTTTATTCGTATACATATTTTATACACTTTAATTATATTATTATATTACATCTTTTTTTTCACTATTGCTAAATAAAACTTCATCTAAAATATTTTAATTTATTGTCTAAATAAAAAAAAAAAAAAAAATTAAATTTATGAGGTATAATGGAAAATAATTAATATAAAATTAGTTACTCTAAATGAGCAATTTATTACATCATTTTTAATTTATATATTTTAAATGGTTTAATTTTTTTCTTAAATAAGCACTTCGTCTATTTTTTCTATTATATTTTTTAGTTATTATAACTATTCAGGATAAAATGATTATTTTTTCTACAATTTTTATTATTTTTCTTTAGGAGTACTATCATTTTTTTAAATATTTTGAAATTCAATTTGTGTCTATATGCCATAATTAATAGTATTGAATCTATTCATATTTTTATATATAAGTATATTTGCTTGTTTTTAATTTAATTATTAAAAATATAAGATATACTTAATACTTATATCAAAACTATATCTTTTATGGAGAACATTAAGTTATGAAAATATATTTTTAATATTATATATAATAAAAATCATTTGCTTATTTTTTAATGAAAAACATCATTTTATAATAAAGATTATAATAAAAATTGATTAATATATATAAATATTATGTATTTAATATTAATTTAAAATATCTTTTTTTCTAAATTTATCCTAGTCTTGAAATAAAAATATTTTACTTTGCTATTTTTATTTTTAAATAAAAAAAAAATTAATATTAATAATTTTTGAATTAAAAAAAAATATATTTATTTTTTATAAAAATAGCAATTTTTATATAAATAAATTCATTATTCAAAAAAATCTTAGTTTTCTTTAAATTCATTTTTTTCTTATAAATCTTACAATTAAGCTTTAAGTTTAGATATTTATTATGACATATAAATATAATAAATAATACAAAAGAATAAATATACACTAGTCAATACTAATAATCCTAAAATAATCTCATATGAAAACACATTAATGTTTTTGCTATCATTTTCACATTAATATTAATTTTAATTTATTTAGCAATATTAATCTACTTTAATCATTATTTTATTAAAAATTTGCTTATCTGATTTTAATTAATTACATTCGTTTTATTCTTATGAATGGTTATTTTTATACCATTACCCATTGAAATATTATGCACAAACTTCTTTATTACAATATATATTTTTATATAAACCCCAAAATAATAAAATATTTAAAAAAAATATAATAAGGTTTATAAATGCAATTAAGTTAAATATTTTTTTTGTACTCTTTTAAAATTTTTTAAATTAAAGAACTATTTATAAAATAATTCCTATAAAACAAAAAACAATTATTATTATGTATGATTTACTACAGTTTTTAATTATTATCATTATATTTTATGTTATATTCAAAATAAAAATCAAAACTGTTATAAAATTGACTATTTTTGATTTTATAGATCCTTCTTCTAGTAATTATAGTTATTAATTTATTATTAAAATTTAATTTTATGTTTTAAAATTTAATTTATTAGTTAAACTATTATAACTCATTATGTGTTTTATATTTTTTTATTAATAAATTATTTTAAAAAATGATTTATTTTTTTATCTATAAATAATATAAAGGAGAATTATAATTTAATTTTTTTATAACATTAATAAAATATTTTATTCATAAAAATAATATTTAAAAGTATATAAATAACCAATATAGTACATGAATAATAATAAAAAATATATTTTCATTAATTTTATAATAATAAGTTATAGATTACTTTTTATTAATTATAATCAAATTACTTAAATTATTCGATTATTTAATTTGCTTTTTATTTTTCTTACTCAGCTAAATAAAATTATTATATTTATTACAATATAAAATATTATGATTATCGATTAAAAGATTAAAATTATGATAATAAACCAGAAGATTAAATTCCATTCTCAATTTGATTTAGATTTTAATTTATATTATTATTTTAATGATTAAAAATATTGCTATTATTAAAATAAATATTATTGTTATTGTTATTGTTATTGTTATTGTTATTGTTATTGTTATTGTTATTATTATTATTATTATTATTATTATTACTATTATTACTATTATTATTACTATTATTATTACTATTATTATTACTATTATTAGTGTTATTATTAGTATAAATATTAGTATAAATAGTATTATTTTTATTATTATTCATATTTTTTATGTTATCTTTTTAATTATTCAAAAAAATATTTGATTATAATATTTTACCTGTCTCAATATCTTATATGTTAGTTAAAGATTAAATTTAGAATATACTATTTTAAAATGTTTATTATTTTTAGTTAATATCATTAGCAATGCTTGGAACAAGTTAATTATTCATATTTTCTTAATTTTATATATTATTATTTGTTTAAAATTAGAAATAGTTTAAATTAAGGCAACTATTTTTTAATTAATAGTCATTAAAAATAAAACTCATATTATTTAAGGTTTTTTAATCATTTGTATTTTTGTACAACATTTATATATTTTAGAAAGAATTAAAAGTTGGTTAAAACTTAAAATCATTATTTGTTATTTAAGACGAGTTAGCTTATATTGAATCTTAAGATATATATGGAATTTATTTTTAACTTTCACAATAATTCTAAATAAATTAAGAAATTTATTATTAGTTTTAATAATCTATTTAATCTTATTATTTTATTTAATTTGAAAAGTCTTCTATTTAATTTTATTTTTAATTTTTATTTTATTTTTATTCTAAAGATTCTTATTATTTTTAAGAAAAAATTTTCTCTTAATTTTAAACTTCTTCTCCTTATTCTTCTATAATTTTTAAAGTGTTAATTTCATTAATAAATTTTATTTTTTGTTTTATTTAATGACAAAATCTATTTTTCACCATATTTTCGGTTCTACCATTAAATAATTTGGCTATTGATGACCATTTGTTTCCGTATTTTTAGTAACTTTCGATTAATAAATTATCTTCTTCATCTGTCCATTTTTAGAAATTTAAATTTTTATCAAGTTTATTTAAATATCTATTTCTTATTTATTTACTATTTCTTCCTTTAAAAGCTTAAGAAATATAAGACCAATTATATCCATGCTTTTCTACCATTTAAAGTATTTTCTAGTCTTCACTTTAAGTAAAAGGAACTTTATTTTTTCCTTATTTTTAAGATATTCTTTAGTATCTTTAATAGCAAGAATTATAAGTTTTATCATCTCCTAAACTTTAGGATATTTTTCTAAAATCTCCCTTGTGAAGTTCATAAAGTTTAATTAATTATTAATCTTCTTCTCTTTTCCAATGTTTATTTGTGATATTATTACTTTTAGAACTTTATTAATTATCCATTTTTTTATTTTTATTTTTAATAATTTTTCTAATACTTTATTTTATTAATTATATATATAAATATGTAAATATATTTATATTAATATTTTGCATTTAAAAAAAAATAAAATATAATTTTAAGATTTTATTTATTTATTTTTTCTTAATACGTTTTCTTCCATTTGTGCTTAAATTTTCTATTTTTATATTATTTAATAATAACTATTTTTTTAAAAAAAATATCTCGTTTTTATAAATATTAATATTATTATATGTTTTTTTTTTTTACATTTAACTAATTAGTGAATACTCAAAAAATAAATTTTTATAACTAATTATTTTAATTGACATAAATAACTGAAATGAAATAGAAAAATATGTATTTTTTATATTTAAAATATTATTTAATATTCAAAGAATTAAGTTTCTAAAAATATATAATTTTGAAAAAAAAAAAAAAAAATAACATTAAAAAAAGTAAACCAAAAATAATATTATTTAAATAATATATATAATTAATATTAATTTATTATAAAACAAATTATTTAATATTTATTTATTAATATATTAATTTAAAATTATTTAATATAAATTATTTTAAAATATTTAAAATAGATTCTTAATTTTAAATATCATATAAAGTATATTTAATTAATTTAGTAAACTAAATCTTGTTTTCAATTGTATTATCAATATTTTTAGAAATATATTTTTTATTTAAATAAAGTCAAAAGCTAAATTTATAATAATAATTTTATTTTATTTGTTTTATCCTCGTTAATTATAATAATATAAATATTTAATTTTCTTAAAAAAAAATAAAATCTACATTATTTATTTTTGTTAAAAAAAAATAAAATATAAATATTAATTTAAACATAAATATAAAATATAATTTCTTATAATATCAGTTAATATTTTTTAATTAATTATTTATTTATTTTTTCTAAATAAGAAATATAAATGGATATAAAAAATATTTATTTTTAATTATTATATCATTTTTTTATTTAATATAATATATACTTTCTATCCTTATATCATATTTACTCTAATTTTTTATTTAATTTATCCAAGTGATTGAAAAGTTCTTTATCATTCTAACAAACAAACGAATCTTTAAAAACAATTTAAAGTTCAATAATATCATCTTAAGTAATTTTATGATCTAATTTTCCATTTTTTATAATTTAGCATAATGCAACTTATATTTATTTTGATTTTTCAAAATTTATTCTTTTTTACATATAAAAATTTAAAACTTAAACTAGTCTTATTATGCTACTCAAATTAATAATTTATTCAATTTTTTAATATTCATTTGAAAATCTATATTCAAGCATATCTAAAATTCTTAAAGGTATTCCGATATCAATATTTTAATCAATAAAAATCATTGATTCTAAAATAATACTTGCACTCTCTAAATCGATAATATCGGTCTCACTTTTTCTATAAATAGCATCTTCAATTCTATTATTTTTTTTAAAAAAGTTTAGTTTAAAATATCTTTTTTATTAAATATAAAAAAAACCTTTTATATTAAGAAAGATTCATAAAATCATTATCCTAAATAATAGTTAAAATTTTAGCTAAAGAACTCCATTTTAAATTATCAACTACTTATTCTTCATTTACATCATCAGCAAACTCATTTTATTAAAGCATTTTATCATATACAGCAATATCTTTAATTAAGAAAGTATTTATTATTTTAAAAATCAAAGAACTTACTTCTGTATTTATTAAAAATTTATAATATAATATAATTAATTAAATATTATTATATATATATAATATATATATATATATATATATATATATATATATATATATAAAAAAAAATATATTAACCTTTGTCTTATTCAGATATTGTAATAGAATAAATACAAAAAGCTATATCGGCTAAATTGTTAGGATTTTAATCTTTAAATATTTCATATTATTTATTTTAGATAATTTTTTTAAAGCTATTCATTTCTTCACATTTAATATTTCTTATTTATTTTAACATATATACTCCTTATATAAAAGCTTATACATTATCTTATGTTTTAGGTATCGAGTATTCAATTTAATCTTAATTATCTAAAATAAAATCACCTTTACTTAAATTGCATTTAATGTCTTACAATATATATAATATATGTAAATATATATTAGGATTTATTTATTTTTAATTATTAATTATGTAATTAATTATCTCATTCCATACTTATGTTTCAACTATCCCTGAATAAGAAAGATATTATGCTAATTCTAATATATGATATTGATTTAATTTATTTTCTCTAATTATTTTCGAAGTTTAACTCAGAAGCTTTTAAAATAGCATTCCTACATAATTGATTTCTACAGATAATTTTTGTTTATTTTCAGTTTTTTTTAAAAAAAAGATATATAAAATTAATACATAGACGATTGGCAAATAATTAACGGTATGTAATAAGAATAATTTTTCCAATTTCGCTATTTTTTTAATATTAAGATTATTCCATAAAGTTAATAATAATTTTATCAGTATTAAATTATAATTGTTAATCGTTAAAAGATTCATTTTAGTTGAGATAATTGGTGAAAGAAAATTAAAAGCATATAGGTTTAAATCTTAAAGATTTAAAAATATTGTTTATTAGAATAGTACGTTGGAGATTTAATATTTTTATCATTATATTTTAAATTATTAATAAGAATTTTTTTTATATATATTATTAATATAAAACTATTTTTGATTTAACAAAAAATTTATATATATATTTTATTATTAGTTTTTAACTTTATTTATTATTTTTATAATAATGTAATTTTTTAATAAAATATTAAAAAAAAAAAGTAATGAGGATATAAAATATAAAATATAGAAAAAAATATATTATAAATAAAAAATTAATATATATAAAAAATATAAATTAAAATAAATTAATATATATAAATAAATATAAAAAATAATATATATATATATATATATATTAATATTAATATATATTAATAAAATTATATATATATGATAATAATTTTTATTCATAAATCTATTTTATAATATTTTTATTAATCTTATTTTTTTTAGAGTTTTCTTAATTTAATTATATTTATATTATATATAAATATATTTTATTTTTTTATATAATTACTAAAGTTTATTTAATATTATTTTCTATTATTTTTGTAAATTTTATGTTTTCTTATTTTTCTTCATATAATATTATTCATATACTAATTATCAATTTACTAATTTTTATTTATTAATCATAAATATCCCTATTTATTATTTTATAAATATTTATTAATTTAGTTATATTTACATTTATTCAATAATAAGTAAAGCTACCATATTAACTGTAATACTTTATAATGCTTAATTACTTTATTCAAGTTCTTAATTACAATAATTGCATTTAAATTGAAGTTTATTGAATACATGAGTTTAAATACATTATTTACAAAAAGAATGACTACAAGGTAGGACTAATGGAATTCTCTAATCTTAGTTATATCTTTCTTTGCATCTATAGCATATTAGGCATTTATATGATTAACCTTTTTAAATTTATAATTATTAATCCATTTATATTTTTTTTTATTTTTTATTTTTTTAATTTAGTAATAATATTTATTAGCTTATTTGCTAATTTATACTTTTAATAAAATACTCTATTATAAAAAGTATTATATTATTATTTTAAGTTAAGTACAAACTATTTATCTATATTTTTAAATCAAAAATTTATTTTCACTTAAATTATTATTATTTTTAAAAAAATATTGCTTTCGAAAAATTGCTTTTATATATTTACATAATATTATGTTTTGTTTTATTCAAAATTACATTTTTTATTGTAAAATAATATATTTATAAAAAAATTTTGTTAGGTTTTAAAAAAAATAATTTTTGAAATTTAAATATTATAAAAAATTAAAATTAAAATTTATAATAATAAATACAATTTCAAAACAAATGGATTTATTTTAAGAAAACCAAAATGTAAAAAAAAATTAATAGTATTTCATTTTTTTATATTTAAATCTAAATTAGAACAATTCAGAAATTAAAATTGATGATATTTTATTACACAATCTTAGAAAAAGTAAATTATTTTAAGATGATTTCGACTTGAATTACTATTCAGTTTAAAAAAATGATACATTATTTGATTAATAATTGATAATAAATTAAAAATAATATAATTAGGAAAAAATAATTTTTAAAAGCGTCGATGATACTAAATAAAATAATCCATTTAATATTGATATAAGAAAATAAATTTTAAATTAAAATAATAAATAAAAGATATTAGAATAATAAAATTAAAGATAATAAGGAAAAACATAGTCTAAAACATAATACAATTAGTAAATATTTAAAGATGATTTCTTTTTGAATAATTTATAAAATAATAAAAATTAAAATAATATAAGCAATTTTAAATAAAGTTATGATAATTTTATTAATAATAATAATAAAAACATTAATAATTAAAAGGAAACGAAATAAAAAACCGTATAAAATTAATCAAAACTAAAACAAAAAATCTCAATTTCAAAAGCTAGTGATTAAAATTCTTGTTTTTTTAAAGATGATAAAATAAAAGAAAGAAATAACAAATTTAAAAATCCTATATAAATTTAAAATAATAGAAACTTAAAGAATAGTAAAGAAGATATTAATCATATAAATAAAAGTAAATCTAAAATGATAAATGAAATTAAATAAAATTAAATAATTAGTAAATCAATTAAAGTTTAAAAATGCCAAAAATATAGAATAAATACTAATGAATAAGTTCATAAATCTAGTATTTAAATTAATTTATAAAAATCAAAAATCTTAAATTAAAATAATTCTTGTAAATCTAAAAATTAAATAAATAAATATTAACATGATTATTGCATCTTTTGTAAATTGAAAATTTAAATTAATGATTAAATTAAAAAATCTATAAAATGCTTTCACAAAGCACATTTAGTTAATTAAAATATTAATTTTCTATAAAATTTTTTTCTTTAATATTTTTTTTTTAATATAGTTATGTTCCAAAGAAGATAAAGAATTAAGATGTATTATTTGCTATCCGTATAAATAATGACTATGTTTTTATAGATATAAATATATTTCTATCAAAATTGTCTATAAAAACTAAATATTCATATTTATATTTATTATTAATTAATAAAATAATATAATATGTATATAACCTAAATTAAACTAAGAAATTATATATTTTATAAAAATATGTAATTATAATATTTAATATAATAATAGAAATGGAAAAAAAACAAACCAGAAAATTTTTGATATTAAAATTTGAAATTAATATATATTTTATTTAAAAATATAAATTTTAAAATTATTTCAACTTCTATTTTAAAAAATAATTAATCAAAATTATTAAATAAAAAGTAAAAACAGTAAACATACAAATTATTTTTAATTTGAAAAAAATAATAAATAAATTAAAATAAAATCAAAAATGTATTTATATAAATTTATATTTATATATATAAACATAAAATTAAAAGTATATGAATTTTATTTATATATAAATAATAATAATTACAAATAATAAAAAATAATAAAAAACTTATTTTTTTAAAAAAAAAAAAAAAAAAAACCAAAAACCAGAAAAAATGACTACAGAAGATATAGAACCACATATATTAAAAAGATATGAGATAATAAGTAAATTAGGAAAAGGAGCATATGGAATAGTATGGAAAATAATAGATAAACAAACTCGAAAAACATTAGCTTTAAAGAAAATATTTGATGCATTTTAAAATTCAACAGATGCTCAGCGCACATTTAGAGAAATAATGTTCTTGCAAGAATTAGATCATCCAAATATTATAAAAGTATTAAATGTTATAAGAGCTTAAAATGATAAAGATATATATTTAATTTTTGAATATATGGATACTGATTTGCATGCAGTTATTCGTGTAGGAATATTAGAAGAGGTCCATAAACAATATGTCATTTATTAAATTTTAAAAGCAATAAAATATTTGCATTCAGGTGAATTAATTCACCGTGATTTAAAAGCTTCTAATATATTAATAAATTCTGATTGCTTAGTTAAAGTTGCTGATTTTGGACTTGTTAGATCTATTGCTTGTTAAGAAAATGGCTCCTTGCCTATACTTACTGAATATATAGCTACTAGATGGTATAGAGCACCTGAAATATTATTAGGTTTTTTTTTTTTTTTTTTTTTTAAAGAAATTTTTTAATTTTAAATTAGGTTCATAAAATTATACAAAAGGTGTTGATATGTGAAGCATTGGCTGTATATTGGGATAAATTTTATTAGGAAAACCCTTATTTGCAGGAAAGAGTACATTAAACTAACTTGAATTGATATTATAATTTACTGGGAAGCCAAGTTTAGCTGATATTGATGCTATAGAAAGTGATTTAGCAAAAACTATGTTAGAAGCAATTTAAGTAAATAATATTTAAAATAAAAAAACATTATAACAAATGATTCCTATGGCAAGTGACGAAGGACTAGACTTGATAAAAAATCTGCTTTAATTTAATCCAAAAAAAAGAATTACGGCAGATTAGGCTCTAGATCACGCATATGTGAGATAATTCCACAATAGAAACGATGAGCCGGTTTGTGGGAAGATAGTTTAAATACCTTTAGATGATAATAAAAAATATAGTATTAAATATTACAGAGAATAGCTTTATTTAGAATTATAAAAAAGAAAATAATTTTAATTTAATTCAATAAGTGATTTTGAGAATAGTTTTAATGAATAATTTGATGAGAAAAAAAACATTTTATTTTAAGAATAGACTAAAAGTAATTTAAATATGGATGAAAATAAATAAAATGGTTAAAAAAATAAAATTAATTAGAAATATTATGATAGTTAAATTCAGGTTATTTAATAAATTTAAAAATAATAAAATGCTGAAATTTCTAAAAATATTAATAATTTCTAAAGAAATGCATCTATTGGTAGTAGTTGTCTTAAATAAAATAAATAATATTAAGAAATAAATCCTTCTTAATAAGAAAAAACAGAAAATAAAATATAAAAATAAATAAATGTTAATAATAAAAACTATGTCATTTAAAATCATTTAGTTAATAATCAAAGTTAAGAAAAAAATAATGTAAATAAATATTAATAAACATAAAAAAATAATGTTCATATTGATAATAATAATAATAGTAAAACAATCAAAACTAATAAAAATAATAATGAAATATAAAACAAAAATAAAATACTTAATAATTATATTATTTAAAATAATGTTAACAATATTGCCAGTAATAATAATAGCAATAATAATTAAAATAATAATATTAATAATAACTAAAACATATATAATATTATGAAAAATATGAATGAAGTATGTATTAATAATAATAGTATAAAAAATCTACAAAAAAATTTTACATAAATGAATTTTTAAGGAAATTAAATATAAAAATAATAATAATAATTATAAAACTAAGTTTAATAAAAGTTTATAAATTTTTAAAATAAAAATAATGATTTTCAAAATGCATCTTCTTCCTAAAATTAACATTAAATAGGTTTTCCTTAATAAAAAATTGTTATTAACTAAAAGAAAATAATAAATTAAAATGAAAATAATAATTATTTATAAAATATTGAAGAAAAATAAGCAAATAATAATAATGATAAATATAGACCTTCTTCAATTAAAAAAAGTATAAATAATCATATATAATAACAACAAAATAACATAATAAAATAAATTAAATAATAAAATACAATATAAATTTAAAAAAATAAATAAAATCCTATTGATGATAAATTAAACTAATAACAAACTTTCATAAATAATTAATTTTAATTCTATTAACCTAATAAAAATAAAATAAATCTAGCTTAATATTTCGGAGTTCATTAAACAAATACAAAAACAATGTCTTAACTAAATTAAAAAAATAATTAAAATACCAACTTATAATTTCAATAAAATTATAATAATTCAGATAAAATTTATTAATAACAATAATAACAATTATAACAAAATAATTTATTTTAGTAGCCTAAAATAAAATAGCCAATTTATTAGAATTAGTTTTCAGCAGCAAACTATAATTCAAAGGGAGAATTTTTAAATAATCATATAGAATAAAAATGAAAATTATAATATATAAATATTTTTTATTTATAAAATTGTTTATTAAAAAAAAAAATAATATAAAAATAATTTTTCTACTAATTTTATTTGTTATTATATATTTTTTTTTAATTTTTTTTTTTTTTTTAAATAAAAAAAATAATAAATAAAAAAAATTAAACATAAAAATAACAATTTATAATTCATTAAAAAAAATAAAATTATTTAATACTTATTATATATATGAAAAAAAATTAAAATCTCAATCTTATTTAGCTTCTTCAGCTTTTCTTTAAAGTTCATCAAGCTATTCTTAATATTTCTTTTTGATAGCATCAAAAACAGGTTTATTTTCTTCCATAATTTTCCTTTAATTTTCAGGAGAAAGATCCTCTTCTGTGATTCCCCATTTTTCTTTGAAATTTTTAATTTATTCTTCAGTAGTTCCACAGAAAAGAGGAATTTGTAAAGTAACATTACATATTTTTCTAAATTTTTTTATATCCAAGAAAAATCCTGCATCTAACAATGGTGCGAGCTTTTTAGCGTTCTCCTTAATATCAGAAGTATTGAATTACTTAAAAAGTTCATATGATTTTTCATCTATATGATCTTTCAAAATATCAGATTCAAAAGGGAATTTATAGTTCATACTGCTTTCTTCATAATCATGTACTTACATAAATTTTAATATAAATTTTAAAGAATCTGATGATAATTCAACAGGAATTATTTCATCAAAGTTTGGTGCATTTTTTATCCAGATACTTAAATTTATTATTTTATGATCAAATTCTATTATTTCACCGTCTTTACTTTTAAGTTTTATTGGTTGATTATCCATATTTAATTTTTTTTTTTTAATAATTAATAAGAAAATAAAAAAAAATTATAAATAAATAGATATATTTATTTATAAAATAAATTATTTTTTATTTATAAAAAATGCTGTATCAAATATATATTATTACATAATTAATTATGAATTATTTCAATAGAATATTAAATAAATATAATATTATAAAATATTAAAAATTATATATATATATTTATATATTTATATATTTATATATGTATATATTTCTCTTAATTATTTATTATGTAATAAATTTATATTTGCTATCTAAAAATAATAACCTTTTTTTATGTATTTAATTTAATTAAAATTCAAGATAAAAATTAATTTTTTTTTTTATATAAGTTTTTTTTTTTATATTTATACTTATAATTTTTTTAATTCTGAATTTTTTTTTATCATTTTATAATCATTTTTTCAAAAGAAGTAATTCCTCTAGTAAGCAATATTATTATTACACTTACGTTATCACTTCCTCTTCTTTATAATTTACTTTAATTGACTGCATCTAAACATAATTATCTTGCTACTTTTTAAGGATCCTAGATAAAATATATTAAATTATTTATATTTTATAAATTTTAACTTATTCAGTAATAGGATATTCTGTTAATCTTTCTCTAACCATATTTATTATTTCTTAATTACTATAAATATCAAATAACCCATCACATCCCATAACTATAAATTCATCTTATAAAAAATCAATATCCCAAATTCTAACCTATATTCTTTTTAAAAAAAAATATAAAGTAAAATTTAAATTTACATCAGGTGTAGCTATAATAATATCTTTATCACCAGTTTATTCTTTTTTAAATACAAAATCTCCAAATGCTCTACTTACAGCTAATTTTTTATTTACTCTCCCACTATCTACTGTTCCACCAGCATTCAAAATCCTTTCTCTTTCAGATTCTAAATACTATATAAAAAAAAAATATAAAATAAGATTTCAAATAATATATAGATATATTTTTTTAAAAAGTTTTTTATTTAAATAGTATCATAGCAAATATTTACATAAAATTAATAAATGATAAAGTTTTTTTTTTAATAAAAAATTAATAAATATATAAATATAAATATATATATATATATATATATATTTATATATATTTTTTTAAATAATAACCGGTTTATGATCTACTGAAAGTTAAACTGCTTAACCGTTTCTACTTAAAATAGCTCTACAATCTCCCGTATTTGATGTTATTATTTTATTTCCAAAAATAAAAGTTATTATTCCTGCACTACCACTATCAACATAATTGTTATCTTATAAAATTTATCTTTATCTTTCAAAAAATTCTTAATCAATTCCTTATACTGTCTAATAAATTAAAATTTGATTATAAAAAATGTATTTTAATTATTTATAATTTACTTCTACAATTTTTTTCGATATATATTCATAAAAAGTATTAGTTTCATCTAAACAATCATCATTATTTAAATTTTCTTTAAATTTTTCAGAAAAATTTTCACATAAAAACTATGAACATTATTCACCTCCATGTCTTTATATATTTTTTTTTATTTAAAAAAAAAAAAAAACCCATCAAAAACAGCAAAATATGACATAGAGAAATACTTAGAAAGATAAATATTTTATTAAGCTTAATATCTATCTTCCATAGTAATTCTAGTTCCCCTATCACACCACATTCCAGTATTAAATCTTTAAATTTAAAAATCTAATTGGCCCATATTTATTATATCATCAGGTTATAATTTATATCTTCCTCCAGGAAGTAATTTTACATAAACTTAACCAGGAGCTTTCGGAGATACATAAAGAAAATACTTTTTTTGAAAAAAAGAAATATACATTTCTAAATTACTAGAACAATCTACTCCGAATTTATCCATACCTCTAACTTCAAATAGCTCACTTCTTTTGTTTATAATAGCACCTGACCATCTTACTTTTGCGAAAATTTCTTTTTCTTCCTAGTATTTTTTGGTTATATAGTATTTTTATTATGTTTACTTCTGAATCTTTTCCAATGGTTTCGATTTCTAATGTTTTTGGTCTTTCGTCTTCTATTTTTTTGTTTTTTCTCAATATTTTAAATAATAATTAATAAAACCAGAAAAATCTATTCCAATATTATCTTTTGCTTATTTAAATCTTTCTTTTTCTTCATCATCTTCAAAAATACCATCTATAGATTCTGGTGTTAGATTTTTAATATCTTTTAATGTTTTAACATTATATTCTTTTAAATTTTTTATTTAATATTTTAATTCTATTCTAGCAAGCCATTCAACTACTATATCAAAATTATCTTCCTCTTTTTATATTTTGTTGTTGTTGTTGTTGTTTTTTTTTTTTTTAAGAAAAAAAATAAATAAAAAAAATGAACCTATTAATCTAAATACATATTATTAATCTTCAATTCTAAATATCATATCATTTTCAATTGAAATAAAATTTCCTGCTCTTGCTTTAATCCATGTCCCTTATTTTTTATTAATAATTTTTTTTTTAAAAAAAAATAAAAATATTTATATGTATATATATATATATATATATATATATATATATATATATATATATATATTTTAAATATTTTATTATATTTGAACCTTTTTCTGATTACATATCTTATATTATATATGAATATTCATCATTTTCATCTTATTAATAATTTATTTTTGCGTGAATTGGTGAAAGGCCTGCATTTTCAATATATAGAGTATAGTCTTATTATGGATCACTTCCTATAACTTCCCCTTCTTCAGTTAAATTTAAATAAATAAAATTTCCTGCAAAAGGTCCTTCAATACATCTTAATATATAATCTGTTACTAAATCATTGATATTTTCTATAAATAAGTTAATTGTTTAAAACAAAATTTGAATAAAAAAAAATATAAAAAATACAAGATGGAACATCATTTTAAAATCTTTCTTATATTAAATCAGCAACAATATCTTAGTTTTAATTATTATTTTAACTATTACTTTGCATCTATATATATATTTTAATTATATATAATATTTATGTATATATAAAAAATTAATTCTTATTTTAATTTCACGAATATTATTTATATATAAATATATATATTTATTGCTGTATTTAATATAAAATAATAAAACTTATATTTATTTAATTTTTTAAGTTTATCAATTTTTTGTTTTGTTTTTTGCTTTAAAAAAATGATATTTTATTTAAAGTATTTTTTAAAATAATATATCATCAATTTGATTTTTGTTAGATATAGTTAAGTAAATATTTAGATTCTTCAATTGTTTACTCTTTTTCTGCTTTTATAACTTTATATTAGATTTCAAGTTAATTATTAAAATTCTTTTTTTCACAAATTATGTTAAATTTGAATCTTTTATATTAACACTATTCATACTATCTTTATAATAATTTAAAGTTATTATTGACTATACATCCATTTACCCATTAAGCATTCTTTTCTATTTAATAATAAAAAAAAATACATATATAAAAAAAAACAAAACAAAAAACATAAAATTTCAGTAGAAATAGAATCGAAAATCAAAACAGGAATTGTTGAAGTAGAATCTTAAATATGAGCTTTTAATAATAGTTTAAGTTAAACCTAAGTATAACTATTACAGAATTAACAATATTATTGTTAATTTTAATTATTTTCTTAATATATTTTCTTTTTGCAAATCTAGCAAACATAATAAATAAGCTTTTTATCTAATTATAATTATACTAAAAATGCATAAACTTAATATTTTTTTTTTATAAAATCATTGTTATGAGTTTAAAATTCTTCCTATATTTACTTCAAATTCTTAATTTCAATAAACTCGTAAGGTTTATTGATTTAAACTTCATTTTTTACTTAAGGAGTTTAAGGAGGTAAACAATATTAATTTATGTCTTCATTTTCTAAATAAATAATACAAGAATTTTTAGTTGCTTTTAATTAATTTTAATAATTGTAATAATTTAAATTGAAGTTTTTAAAAAGAATGACTTTGTTTAATTCTAATTATTTAATATGTTGATTTTCAAATACTACAACTTTTATTTAATTCATTCCTTTATTATCAACAATAGTTAGATATTTTAAACCTTTTAAAGTATGCTAAATATGCTTTTTTTTATAATAAAAGTTAAAATATGATTTTAAAAAAAGTAGATTACTTAAATAACTCCTTTAAAATTTACAAATTAATTGGTTTAATTTTTTATTTCAATTTCATTCAATTCTTGAATAGTATATGTTTATTAACTTTATTACATTTAGATTTCTTATTTACAATAACTTTAATCATCTAAAAGTTCAGCAATTTAATGTTCTTTTAACTTAATTTTACTTGTTTATTGTTAAATTTAGATGGTTTTAGTTTAACTATTTCTACAACTGATTATTTCAAATTAAGAACTCTTAGAAAATTATATTTATAATTAGATTTTATCAGATTCTTTCTATTAAATAATTTAAAGTATCCCCCCAACAAAATAATAACATTTATTAATTTTGATTAATTAATAATAATATTCAGAATCCTTCCAGAACACTAAATTTAATTAACTTTTATTCTCATCTTAAATTTAGATAAAAAAATATCTTTAATAAGTTTTTCCTTTATATAATTATGATTTTTTTACAACTTTTCCTTTGATTTTATAATCCTATAAACACATACCAAATTTAAGATCTTTTATTTATATTAATTTTAAACTTTCTAAAAATTTAATGCCTGAATTTTATATCTTTTTTATTTATTTATTCATTTTTTAAACATAACTTTCAAAAGTAAAAATAGAATTAATATTATTTCTCTATTAAGAATTAGAATTCAAGTTTAGTAATTATTTATTATTGTTGATAACTATTTCGCAATTAGTAATTTGGTTTTTTATTTTTTAATTCTATTATTCAATTAAAATTCGTTCTGTATTATTTTTCATTTCATCATCGTCCTCTATTGGTTAAATTATTTTATATTTTGTAAGTTTCAAACATATAAGTTTTTCATTATCTTTTAAATTTTAATTTGAATAATAAAAAATTATTATTATTAATAAATTTATAATTATTTTAATTATTAATATACTATATTAAAAAATTATATTACTGTCGTTTTATTGTTCATAATATGCAGTAAAATCATAAGCTTTTATAGTATCGTTTTTTTTTATTTAAAATAAATTGCTTTTGTTTTTTATATCAAAAACAAGATACAAAGATATATGCTTATTATCTATTAAGCATTCAAAACTTTTTTTGTTAATAATATATTATATTATATTAAATAAATAAAATATTTATTTTCAATTACGCAAAATAACTTAAATTATCATTATAACATTATGTAATCATGTTTGAAAGAATTCTTATATTAACCAGTTAATTATAATAGTTTAATTGTTTTAAGTTATTTTAAAATGGAAAGTTTTCCATATTAATTGGTTTTAATTTATTAGATTTGCTTTTTTAATATAATAATTATATTTTATAACTTTAAAAATATTGTATTTTTTACTAATTATATTACTAAAAAATTCTTACGAATTAAAAGGATTAAATATTTTTACTACACAAAAAACATAATTTGAAAAATAATAAATATATATATAAATAAAAATAGAAATTTGTAAAAAAGATATTAATCATATAATTTAAATTTAAAAATATATCCATTTTTAATATAAAATTTTAAATATCAATAAAATAAATAAATAATAAAAAAAAAATATTAAATAAAAATTAATTAATTAAATTATTATAATTTATAAATATTAATAGAAATTTTGATATTTATTATATTTTATTTATATTTTATTTTATTTATTTTTTCAAATATATTTCTATTAGCCGATAAAATTAAAATTATTTTAATTTTACTAATTTTGTATTTAGATAAAAGTAATTAAATCCCCAAAAAATATAAATAAAATAAAATGTAATAACAAAACTACAAACCTCTTCAAATAAAAAAGTATTAAAACAAATCATCAAAAATCATAATAATATATATATTAATTAAATAGATTTGCTAAAAAGGCAATAAGCGATACACCAGAAAATAAATATTGGAAAAAATTTAAAGTAAAACAAATTAATTTAAAATAAGGATAATAATTAAAACATAGGTATAAAATAATAAAACCTATTCAAATGCGATAAGTAAAGTTTTTAATGGATAAAATTAAAAATAATTATTTAGCTATACAGATGGAAGAATTGTAAAACACAATATATATTAGCATTAAGTTTATTTTTTATAAATTTAATTTATCATTAAATTAGGTATTTATATATAATTCAATAAAAGATAAAATTAAATTTGAATTTGATAAATTTAAAGACAAAGTAACAGGTTTGACATTAAGATAAGATGGTAAAATAATAAATAATAATATTTATTAAATTGTACATAAATTATTAAATAAAAAAGCTTAATTAATTGCTACTGCAGAATCAAATGGAATAATAAGAGTATTTATAAAAATGTTATTTAAATAAAAATAAAATATAGGTATTTGATATAAAAAGAAAACATCAATTAAGAGAATTTAATTTTCATAAAAAACCTGTTTATGCTCTAGACTTTGTTAAAGGAGAAAGTTTATTATTTTCTGGATCTGATGACTATGTAAATATAAATTAATATATATATATATATATATATATATATATATATATATATATTATTTATTTAATATATATTTATTTTAATATATTTATCATATTAAACTAAGAATGTCAAATTATTTGATGTTGCTGCTAATAGTATTATTAGAACTTTGCCAGAAGCACATACAGATTATATTAGAAGCATTTCTTATATCCCTAATACCGATAAAAACATACTTACATCAAGTTATGATGGTAGTATTCATTTATTTGATTTTAATGATAAGTCAAAAGTACTTTTATTTATATTTTTTATTTTTAATTTTTTTTTTATAAAAAAAACCATAAAGAAACCTTAACTATAATTTAATCATGAATTACCAGTTGAAGAAATTACTATATCTCCTTCAGGATTTTCCTTTTGTTCTGTTGGTGGAACTAATACTAATATATGGGATATTAGAAATGGTAAAAGTATAGAATAAATGAATAATAATTAAAAGACTGTTACTTCTGCTAGATATATAGGTAATGGAGATAGATTAATGGTTGGTTCAGTTGATTAAAGTATGAAAATCTACAGAACAGATACTTATTCATTAACTCATTAATTTAAGTTACCTAATCCTATCCTTTCATTTGATATGTCTTTAAATACTAAATGCTTTTTAGTAGGAATGTCGTAAAATTATTGATTTATATATATATTAGTTTTTATATTTTTTTTTTTATAATTTTTTAAAAGTGATGGATCTTTAGAAATAAGAAGTAATTTAAAAAAGTTAGGTGAATAAATAAATAGTGAAGATGAAGAAGATGAAAATAAAGAATTAACAAATGAATTTATTCCTGACTTTTTAAGAAAAACTGGTGTAGAAAGAAGAGTTTAAAGTTATAAATATTTCAATAGAGGTATTTATGAAAAATAATAATAATTTGATGTAAAGTATGAGGAAAAGAAAAACAAGAAAGTGAATTAATATGATAAGTATTTAAAAAAATTCCAATATAAAACTGCTATGCTAAAAGCTATTGAGTCTAAATAAAACGATGTTGTTATTGCTTTATATGAAGAATTATTGCAAAGAGGAGAAGTATCAAATGCTTTTAAAAACCTTGATTAAGTAATATTATTTAATATTAAATTTAATTTTATATTTATTTAAAAATAAAATATTAAGAATTAGCTTTCTATTATATTTTAATTTATTGCTAAAAAAATATCAAATCCTAAATTTTAAGATGTAGCTATTGATATGTTAAATATTCTTATAGGTATTTTTTGTTTTAAATTAGCATTTAATTTTTTTATAATTTAGATTAATATAATGTTTAATGTGATTAATTTTTAAATAGCATAAAAGATGTTTTAGTTAATGAAATTGAAACTGAAAAAATATTATTAGAACTAAATGGATAAATAAATACAATAATTAATAATGGAATTTTATGAAAATAAAATAAAATTAAATAAAATAAAATAAAATAAAAATAAAAAAAAATATCTTTATTATATTAATAATCATTTTGTTATAAATAATTATTAAATATATTTTTATAAAAAAAAAAATATTAAATTTTACAGAAAATAAATTCTTTTAAATTATAATATGCAAATTCTATGTTTAGATAAACACTTTATATATTAGACATCTATACTAAACAATTTTTTTTCTATAGCTTCATATAGTAATATAGCATATTGAAATTAATAATATTTTATAGTGTTTTTATATTGATTATAATATATTTATATATTTTTATATTTTTTAATTAATTCTTTAAAATCTTCTTTATTTTAAATATTTTCTTTTTTTCTTTTTTTCTTAATTCTTTTATTATTATATAATATAAACAATTTTTTTATTTATTTTTTAAAATCACTTTTTTATTTATTACTTTATTCAATTTAAAAATACTAAATAAATATATTGATTAAATATTATATAAATCATATTTTTTTTTAATTAATTAAATTTATCTGTAAATTATTATTATATTCAATTTTTTTTAAATTATAATAAGACATCTGACTTTTTAAATATTAGCATTTATTTTTAGTAACTTTATTAAGAATCATTTGTTTCAATAGTATTATTACTATTATTTTTTGATAAATTTTTTCGTTTTTATAATTATAAATCAATATATATTTACTTTTTTAAGAATATAATTATTTTAATTATTATAAATAGTCATTGTTTAGATTTTAATTTATACTTTTATTATATTATTTATTTATAATATGTATATATAATAAATCCTAAAATTTATTATATTTTGTATAAATATTATTTTGTTATATTTATTTAATTTTTGAATATTAATTAAGATATTTCTGTAGATTTTTTATATTTAATTTCATTTTAACTATACTTTCTGATCTGTTTTTTATATAATCTTAATATTATTTTGTTTAGTTTTATAATATTTTTCCTTTCTATATATCTTTTTAATATTAATTATTATTTTTTATAGTTATTTAATTTTATTATGTTTAAATCCTTTAAGAATATGCTTTACTTCAGAGTAAATTATATTAATATAGTTAAATATCCTTAATATAATTTTTTTCTTGAAACTTTTAGAGGTGAATATAAATTTTTTAACTTAAAATTTGAGAATTTATATTTTTATTATTATTTAAACAAAAATTTATTTAAAATTAAAACTTATTAACAATTTCATATTTTTATTTTTTTTAAAAATTTATTCAATAACTTCAATATAATTAAATTGTAAATCTAAAAAACTTAAATTTATATTATTCATTTCCTTGAATATTTCTAATCAAATTATAAAATAAATATATTTTCATTATATATTATATTAAAATGGAATTAAATATATAAAAACATTTTGTAAATCTGATAAATATAATTATTTATTTATATTTTTATTATCTATATAAACATATCATTTTTTTTATTATTTTATATAAAATAAATATATATTAATAATATAAAAATATAAATAAATATATTTTTTTCGTATAATATTTTATTTTTATTTATTTATTTTATATATATAAAAAAATAATATATCTTTTTTTTTTTATTTTTCTTTTTTTTAATAAATATTTTTTAAATTAATTTATAAAAAATTTACAAATATAATTTTTATTATATTTAATATTTCTTTTTAATATATAATATAAATTATAAAAATATATTTTTTTCTAATTTATATAGTAATGTAAATTAATTAATCTGAAATTTAAGATTTAGAACAATTTTAAAAAGAAATAATTATTCCTCATTCACATACTTTATAAGATATATTAAACTTATAAAATAATTCTAGAGAAAATTCATTATTATCAAAAATATAAAACCATAGTATTTTAATTAAATACAAAACTTTTGTATTTAAAGAAAATAAATAAAGGTAAAGAATGTTTTAGAACATATATATTAAATGGGGAGATATTACCAATAATAATTATAATTAAGCCTAATATTGAAAAAAATTAAGAAAATTTAATTAATTTTATGAAAAATTGCATGATATAAATTTAGTTTTATTAAAATTAAAATTAAATATAATCTTAATCTTCGTATGATTAATGCAACTAATTTATATAATTAGATTAATTAGGACAGTAATAGATTCATAAATAATATATTTTTAATCAAAAATCTTACCCTGATTAATATTATTTTGATTAGGAAAATAGAAATATATATTTTTTCATTAAAATGCCAATTCGTAAAAAAATATATATATGTTTTCAATTTTTTACATATAAATTATTTTAGATTTACCTTCTGAGCTAATTAATGAGAATATTAATTTATTAATTTAATTAAAATACTAAATATTTAATGATAAAGATTAATAATTAGATTAACTTTTTACTTAAAACGAAGAATAGTTTTTAGAATTCATTATAAACGAAGACAGTGCATTAAAAAAATAATAATAAATAGAAACCAATTTTACTAAAACAGTTATTTTATTAAATCCTTTCTTAATATAATATGATGATAATTAACAAGGAGATAAAAATTTTATATAAATTTCAGTAATATTCTTTTATGTTAATTATACTTTTTAACTTTAAAAAAAAAAAAAAAAAAAAAAAAAAGATAAAACATAATATTTAAATGTGTAATTTTATTGAAAATAATAATGGATTAAATAATATATTAAATTAGTAATGCGATAATAAAGGTATTTTTTAAAAAAAATATAAATTTATTTTTAATTTATATTTAATTAATAAAGAATCAAATTTTATAAAGGATAAAACATTTTTAATAGACTAAATAGATTTTGTTTTAAATTAAACATAATCAACATTTATTTAAGGTTTTTAATTAAAAAAAAAAAAAGAATTTAATATATAAAATTAATAATAGAAAAAAATTTAATCGGGAAATAAAATTATTAACTAAAATCAATTGACAATTATTTTGATTTGAAAAAATTTGAAAATAAAGTACCTTTATTAATAAATTATTTTAATTTAAAAATATATTATAATTATAGGGAGAAAATGAAATAATTGAAATAAATCCTTATTAAGAATACACATTAGCAGTTTAATTAACTCGCTTTAATAATAAAGTAACAGAAGATTTTTAAAAATTGAAATATTTGTAAAAATGCAATTAGTGTAATAATGATATATCATATAAAGGCATTTAAAATTTAAGTTCAATTGATTAACGTTCAATATTATCTTTATAAAACTATAATCAAAGCTTATAATAAGGCGATTTTTAAGATTTTCTAACAATTAGTAATTAATAATAATAATAGATCTTTGATTAATAAAAACCTTATTCAGTTTCTACATAATAATCAGATGATTATCGAAGAATATTATTCAATAATTCTTAATTATAAGCATTTTAAGCAAATGATAAATAAAAATAATAATAATCTTTATAGTTAGTAAAAATATTTTTTTTTATTAAAAAGAAAAATATCTTTTTATAAAAAAAAAAAAAAGAAAAATGTTTCTAAACCAATAAACTAAGAATTATTTATTGATAAAATAAATGAAGAAAATGAAATTGAAAATATTTTAAAAAAAATTTAATTAAATAAAAATTGTAATTGTTAAATATTATAAAATTTAAATTTAAATCTTTAAAACAATACTTCTTTATTAATTAGATGGTAAAGTGCCTATAGTTTTAATATATATACTATTTCTAAATATAAAATTTTATGGTAACATAAAGGAAGTGATATCATATCTGTTTCAATATAGAAAAGTATTATATTTAATTTTATTTTGATTTGATAATTTTTCAATTTAAATAGTAAAATTATTAAATAATTAACTCAATCAATATTATGCTTTTAAAATATTTGTTAAAAATATATCTCATACTAAACTTGATTTGAGATTATAGCTTCCTTAATAGATTGTTAATTATTAGAATAAAAATCATAAAGTAATTGCTATTTTAAAAGAAGAAGAAATTGATTTCGGGTTATTTTATTAATATATATTTTAAAGAAATTTAATTTTAAACTAAAAAAATATATAGAATTATAGAACCTGGGGAATAAAAATTTAATTAATTTGAATATTTTATTTTAAATGAAGGGTTTTTTAAATTAGATGAAATTATTTTTATAGATAAGAATTCATAAAGGTAAATTAAAGCTGAAATAAATATATTTGAAGTTATTAATTTGACATGAAAATTTTTTTTTGGTTAAATAACTTATAAAAATAAAATAAAAAACTAATCATCGAGAATTTTTAATATAATAAATTTATTTTATATTGAATGTAAATATAAAATTAATAATATTTATTAATTTAAAAAAAAAATTAATAAACAATTATATTTATTTATATAAAAATTTTATTTATTTAATTTTTTAAATTTTAATAAAATATTTTGCTTAATTCATAAATAAAAAGTATTTATATCAACTTTACTTAAAAAAATATAATAAGAATGTTAACATCAAACCAAGTTAACAACAACCAATTAATCCTAAAATAATATATTTTTTATTATTTCCAATATCTTATATTTAACTAATGTTTAATTAAAATTAGAAAATTAATTATATAGTTAATATATATTAACCCTAAAATATTCATTACAATAAATATAGATGAATTTAAAAGCCCATAAACAAGAGATAAAACTTTCATCCACTAAACAATTTTAATTTTAATATAAATAAATAAATAGAATTTTGATAAAAATACATATAATGGTATCATATTAAAAACAGCAACAATTATAAAACATCCCATGGAATAACCATAAAGACATATTATCTTTCAGTTATTTTAAGTAATTTTATAATAATATTTTTTTACTTCAAATACTGAAACATCACCTCCAAAAAACTTTATCAAAATACAAAGAACTATAGGAAATCCTATTCCAAAGCTATAAACCTATATATTTTTAATTAAAATTATAATCTATAATTAAAATTTGATATATTTTACAATAGCAGCTGCAACTGGTAAATAACTAAAATTTACTTTGTAATTATTTTTTTCCTTAATATAATAATTATTAATACATTTAACTAATTCATATATAAATTACAGAAATATATTATGATAAATTTCCACATGAATAAAGCATAAATATCAATGTAGTTAATATCCAAAAGGGTCCCCATCTGTGTTTTCATATTTTATAGAAAAAATTATATATTAAAGTTTTTTAACTTATTAAATATAATAATTACAAATCAGGTTTTTATTTGATAATATTTAAAAAATCTGGCTTTATTGGTAAAAAGCAGCTTTTTACCCTTTATTTTATTTCATTACTTGTTATGTTAAAATATGGCTAATAGTATCTTTTTTAAAGAAATATATTTAAAAATTAAAAATATAAATTAATTAAACATATAAATATATAATTTAAATATATAAAATTAAAATATTATATTTTATACTCTAATTGTAAAAATCCACATATTCCAAGTTATTATTTCTTAATTTTATATTATTTATTTTATATAAAAAATGTATATACTTTTTATAAATATATATTTTTTTACTTGCATTTAAAACCTAATTATATCATTAGTTTCGTTTGTTGAATTTTATTTTTAATATTCAATATCGACTTATTTATTAGAATATTATATTTAACTATTATCCTTTTAAATATAAAATTATTAAATATAAATTAAATTAAATTCTTATTTAAATAATAATTTAAACTGAAGGTCCATATAAATCTTATGGCTAATCATATCCGCTATCATTATCAATTTTATAGTCCATTTTTAAGATTTTAAATATTTATTTTTATTTTTTTTATTTTATTTGATTTTACTTTATTATTTTATATGTATTTAAAAATTAAATTGAATTATGAAATATAAATAAAAAAATAGTATTTTTTTTTTTTTTTTAATAATAAATTAAATTATTTTAAAATTAAAAATATAATTATCTAAAATATTTAATTTTACATATAGTTATTTTTTTTATTTAATTTAAAAATTTATATAATTAAAAAAATTTTTGTTAAGAAATTTATCATAATTAAAATAAATAATAATATTTTTTAATAATTCAATTTTTTATTATCACAAAGTATTTTAAAAAAAGGTTCATTATATAGATTTTAAATTTAATACTAAAATTTGTATATTTTAAATTTTATTTATTTTTTTATTAACCTAAAAGTTAATTTTGTATAAAAATATTTTATTTATCTAAATTTAAATCAAATATATTACTTACATATAAATACGAATAATAATTAAAATTTATTAAAAATATATATTATTTAAATACTTTATAAATTAAAAGAAAAATATTGAAATAAATTATTTTATAAAAACATATTCCTATTTTAATAGTTTTTATATTAGTCTATAAATTAAACTATTATAAGCTATTTTTTTATTTTCAATTCTTAAAATAAAAAAACAAATACATATTTTTTTAGTTTATAAAATAAATAATAATTTCACTCATTTTAATCTTTTTAATTTGTATTATAAATAATACTTTTATTAGTTTAAATTAAATTTTAATTAGTTAAATTATTAATATAAGTATTAATTGAGCAGTTATTATTGCTAAAATTATCATTTTAATTTGCTATAATATTTTATTTATTTTTATGTTTTTCTAAAATATCAAATACAACATTATTGATTTCTTAATAAAGGTCTTAATTTTAATTGAAAATACTACAATATAAATTATTTAAAAAATTATTATTTTTTAATTAATAACTATCACCTGAATAACAAAGTGACTTAAAAATTCCCATGCAATTATATATTATATTAATTAAATTTCCATATCCATTTGTGCTTTAATTGTCTTCTAATTCTTTTATATATTCTTCTCCTTTTTCAGATAGCACTTTTTATTATTCTTTGATTATCATATCGGAAACATTTTAAGATATATTTTCCTTTGAAAAAAAAAAAAATCCTGAAAATATATAATATAAATTTACTTCTAATGTTTTTAAAGAAATTTATTTAATTTCAGTTATCAAGTTTTAATCATTTTATTAATTATCTAATTCGTTTTCAATTTAGGTTAATGGAATTTACAAAATTTGAGTTAAACTATTGGCAATTTAGTTTTAATCTTTATTTTAAAATAATTAATATAGAATTAAAAATAATAAGAGAAAAATATAAATATAAATATATATAAAAAAAAATAAAAAAAAATATTTAAATATATATATATATATAATATATATATATATATATATATATATATATATATATATATATATATATCTTTTTATTTATATATTGAAACCATAATGATTTAATCCTCTTAGTCTAAATTTTGTTATAACATTTTTTAAAGCATTATCTATTAAATTTATTTATATTCCTGTCCACCCATATATTTAATAGAATGATTCATTTATTTTATTTGCATTTTATTAATTTAAATCATTTAATTCTTTTAATTATTTAATTAATTGTGTTTTTCTTTGTTTAAAAAATAAATTGTTACTATTTATATATATTTACCTATCTAATAATTTTATTAAAAACGCCATTGAAAAAAAATCTAAATCTTATAAAATAGATTAATAGTGTTTCTATGTTTCATTTGAATTTTCAAGATTATTAACTTAATTATCTTATTTATTTTTACTATTATCATTAATAAATCCTTAATTATTTAAACCATTAGTTTAGTTATTTTCTTCATATTTAATTGGCTGATTATTTATGTAATCACTAACCAATAAAATATTTTATTTTATTTTTATATAAATAAATTACGTAGTTAATTAAAAATCTTTTATTTTATGAACACCTAAATCATGTGTAGAAAATCTAACAGTTACAAAATCTTTTATAGTTAGAATAGAACCTTAATGGAAATGATTACAATCTGGATGTATTCCAATAACAACTTATCCAACTTTAAATGGTTATATTGCTAATACTTATTCTAATAAACTTTCTTTGAACTTTAAGTCTATTTGGCTTTGGTTCTTTTTTTAAAGAATAAAAAAACTAATAGGTTTTAAATAATTTTTACTTAACTTTTTAAAAACTCTCTAACTAGCTTTCTATATAATTAAAGTTTATTTTTTTCATTTTTTATAAAAGTATTCGAAAATCTACGTTGACGACCCATTGCTTTTCTTATAATTGACCACTCTGTAGTCCTTAATTTATTTATATTTCCTAAATCTACCTTATTTAACATTTCTTTAAATTCATTATATTAAAAAAACGGTTTGTCTAATGTACTATAAAAGAATTCTGATTAAATGAGTAATAAAAACTTTTTTTATTTATATATTTAATTTTTTAAACAAAAATATTTAAGAAATTTGTTTTTCTTTTTTAATAATATACTTTGTCGTTCATTTATACCGAATTTTTATTATTTACACTTTTTTTATATATTTCCTCCACAATTTTTATTTTACTTATCTATATATTATATTCTATATTCGGAATTATTTGGTAAATTTGTTATATATTTCCCCTAATTGAATTTTATTTTTCTTTTGCTTTATTATTCATTATTTTAGATTTTTATATTATATAATATATTTAAATCATCTAAATTATTAATTTTATTATTATTAAATGTGTTATTGTTATTTGCATTTTAATTTTTTTTTTAGTATTTTGTCAAGTATTTATTATCAGTTGTTTTCTTTTAATTATTTATAAATATATAAAAAGTTGTCCAAATAAAATATATTTAAATTATATTTTTTTTAATTTTTTTTTTTTTTTTTAAATTATATATATACCCTATGAATATTTTAATCATGGTATTTAGACTATACTTAATTTATCAATTACTATTATTCTAAATTATCATAATAATCAGCCAATACTGTACTTAATAATTATCCAGTAAGTTATTGTCCTAATGACTTTAGAAAGTTCTTATTCCTTTTTTATTAAAAAATTATAATGATTACTATTTTTAAAGAAATAATTTTTTTATACTTTTAAGTAAAGACTTATTATATTAATAATTGTCCTTTTATAACCTTTTGAGTTAAATGTATTTTGCATTTCTTCTATCTTTTACATTTCTGATTCTTTGAAAACTTCAATAATATTTAAAAAAAATTGTATCAACTTTAAAAAAATAATTAATTATACATTAAACAAATATTTATAACTCTTCTTGACACCATCTTTAACCCATATCTATTTATTCTATATTATATATATTTTTTTAATTAATTAAATTTCTAAAATTTATCAAATATTACTTGATTAATCTAACTCTTATATTATATTTATATAATCCATTTATGAATAAATTTTTTTATTTATATTATTAAAAATGTTTATTTTTTTTAAATATTTATTTATATATAAATATTTCTTTTTTTAATTTATAATTTTTTTTTTAATAAATTCATTAATATTTAAAATATATTTATATATCTGAATTTAATTAATTATAAATTAAATAAATATTAAAAATTAATTAAAAATTTATATTTAATTTAGAATATATATATATATATATATATATATATATATTTATATATAATGTTAAATATCAATTATTACAAATGATATCTATATTTTCTACTCTCCATTTAGTAAATTAACTAATTTAACTATAAAATATACAAAAATTATTTATATTCTTTTAAAAAATCCATTTTTATTGATATAAATTAAAATCAAAACGAAGTATAATATAAATATATGCTATAGTAATACTTAAATATAAAAAATATATATTTTTTTAAATAAAATAAATTATATTAATAATATAAGTTATTCAAAAAATAATTATTAAAGTTTAAAATTAATTTTATTTAAAATTTATTTTTATTATTATTTAAAAATATTTTATTTTATTAAAAAAGTATTTACTTTGCATTTTAATAAATTTAAAAAATTATTTATATATGAGAATTTATAAAAATATATTATTTATAAAAACGCATTTTTTAATTTCACAAATTTATATATAAAATAAAATAAAAATAAGCAATTAAATTTAACCAAAAAAGGTTTATATATTTTTTTAAAAATAACTAAATAGATAATGGCATGCGTTTATAGAAATTAACAACGAGAAAAAATGAATAAAACATCACATAATATAGAAACCGGATCATATTTAGATATAAACAGATTTAATTATTAAAAAATCAAAAAGCCTTTTAATTATTCAATAGTAAAACAAACGGAAATAATTTAAGAAAAAAAAACACTAATAGCGCATTAATTAATAAAATAAAAGAAAATATAAATTATAAATGTATAGATAACCCAATAATATATGAAAATTATGATTTAAAAGTAATTAAAATTCCAAAACCTTCAGGAACATCTAAAAGCCAAACAAAACGATTTTAAATAAATGATGTTGAAATACCTGGTTCTGGAAAACATAACATAGGAAATTTTTTATATAAAAAAAACTTAAAGGATTATCCAAGAACATAAAAAAAGTAAATTTCATTAATTAACAAACTTATGTTAAAAAATAGATATTCAAATATTCCTTCTATTCCTGGAAAATAATAATAATACGGTTATACAGTAAACGAAAGTATGAAAAAAAAACAAAAAATGTTTTTTCTTCTTTTGAAATAATTTTTTTATATAAAGATAATGAATTGAAATTAAATAAATCAAAAGAAAGTGTATTTTTTTTATCAACAAAATTTCATTTAATTAAACAAAAAAATTTTGATAATAATGAAATTAATAGGTAGGCTATTATTATTAATAAAATGTTTTTGAAAACAAAAGAAAAAGAGGAGTTTCATGGAATAATTAAAATAGAACAATGTCCTTGAAATAAAATGACCAAAATTCTTCTTTGGGGCCTGGAAGTTATGATATTTTGAATATTGGAGATAATAAACCATTATATAAATTAAAATAAAGTGCTTCATTTATTTCAAAATCTATAAAAGTATAACGAAAAGGAGAAAAAAAATAATAATTTATAAAATAATAAGACCAAAAAACAATTGAATTTTTTTAAAAATATGATTTAAATGTAACTAATTTTAGTGATTCAGAATATGAATATATTGAAGTAACTTTAAAATTATATTTTTAATTTTATTAATTCTTTAAATTTTTTTCTAAAAAAAAAAGGATGCTACTCCAGGACCTGGAAGTTATTTAAATTAAACTTAAATAAGTTCAATGAAAACAACAGTAAAATAAGAAAAATTTTAATACTTTGGCTCTAAATAATAAAGATTTAAAAGTTAAAAATTATATACTTAATTAGGTCCAGGAGATTTTAATCCAAATGATTTTATTAAATTTAATGCATAAAAAGTATAAAAAAATGGTTTTAATGAAACATAATAAAATATTTTTTTTTTTTTAAAAAAAAAAAAAAAAAAGAAAACTTTTAATTAAAAAAAAACACCCTTTAATTCTAAAAGTATACGTTTTGATAATAAACAAGATTAGGACATAAAACCTGCTCCAGGATAATATGATTATAAAAATACAGTATTTTATTTAAGAAAATATATATTTATTTTTTTAATTAGATTAAAGATCAATTAATATTTAAAATTTAAAAAGGGTACAAAGGCAACTTTGGGTCTTCATAATAAAGATTTAAACATATATATGATGAAAACAAAGTATTATAATATATATATATATATATATATGTAGCTTTCATTTTAAATTAATAAAAAATAAAATTAAATTTTATTTAAATATTAATAAAAATTCTTCGAATAAAGGATATACCGGGTGCATATTTAAATCCGATTATAGAAAAAAAAGATGAAAATCAAAAACTTAGTGCTGTTTTTTATTCAAAAACACATAAAGATAATTATATTAATATTAAAAAAAAAAGTAATAATAAAAATGCATTTTTTTAAAAATTATAATTTTAATGATAAAAGACAGTGTATATTTATTTATAATAAAATTATTCAAATAGATATTCCAGCCCCAGGTAGCTATAATGTAGATATTTATGATATTAGTAGCAAGTTTAAAAAAGATGAAGAATATGACACTGAATTAGCAATAAAAAGGCCTGGATTTCTTACTGGAGAAGCTCGATTTAAGGAAATATAAAGAAATTAAAGTAAATTGCTTTTTTCATTTTTTTTAGACAATATCATTAAAAAAATATAGATTTTTAATAGAAAGAAACTTATATTAATTGTTAATATCTGAATTAAAGTCTATAAAAAAATAATATAAAAAATATATCTTTTGGAATCAAAGTACATTAATTTATAGATTAATTATTTCTATAAAATAAAAATAATTTGTATATATATAAATTATCAAACAATAGCAATAAAGATTTAAAAGTATAACTGAAACAAAAAATCTTAATCAATAAAGATTTAAAAGTATAACTGAAGCAAAAAATCTTAATTTAGGACATGGGGAATATTATGATAATTAATTAAATAATTAAAATAAAAGAATTTTTAATATTTTATTTAAAGAGTTATGAAAAATAAAAAATATAAAAAATTATTGTTTATTTTTAAAAATATTAATAAGATAAAAAATTTAATACTTGTTATTTTTATTTTTTGCTAGTAATTAATAAAAATTATTTGAAATGATTAAGATTTTTATTATATTTAATTTTGATTTTTCGTAAATGTTTACATTGCTTTATTACAATAAAAATAAATGATTTTATTTTATTTAAACTAAAATTAAATTTTTATAAAATTTATTTATAATAAAATAAAAATTATTATCTAAAACTTAAAAAAAAAAGATAAAATAAATAAAATAATTATAGGAGAATAATTATAAATTAAAAAATATATATAAATAATTTAAAAAAATATGATATATTGATTAAATAAAAGATAAATATAAAAATAAAAATATATTTTATAAAAAATAAAAAAAAGCAACTTTTTATGTGAAATAATATATATTCATAGATATAAAATATTAAATCTAATAAAACTAAAAGAAAAAAAAATACATATTTAAATAAAAAAAAATAAGAATAAATAAATAAAATATAAAAAAAATCTATAAAAAAAAGCAAAAAAAATAAAATAAAAAAAAATGGGAAATACCAATTCTTCATCACTAGTCCAAAGAGTATTATACAATCCATCTGACTACACCCAACAAGGCTCTCTAAACGACATAAGGTACGGAAACATCAAATAATTAAAAAAAAAAGATACAGAATAATTATGTGCTGAGATAACCAAGACATTAAATGACGAAAAACAATGGTAAACCCGCGTTAGTGAGCTTAAATTTAGATTATAACTGGACCACCCTAATTTAGTGAAATTATTGAACTTTAATTCTTCAATGAATAATGAATTCTGTTCATCTTTTTATAAAATAGGTCTTTTATATGAATACTACACTAATGATTTAAAGACTGAGATTTCTGAAAGAAAGAGAGTATCTAAAAGTTATTCTGAAAGTGAACTTTTATACTTACTTTAATCTCTTGCAAGTGCTGTTTTCTACTTGAAATCGAGAAGTGTTGTCCATGGAGATATTCGTCCTTATAATGTTCTTGTAAATAATGAAAATGGTCAAGTTAAATTAGGAGAAATGTACATTTAATAACAAAGTATGTCTAACTATGCTTAGTTATTAAGCGGAATCACCGAAGATTGTTACATATCACCCCAATTATTAGAAAACCTCAAAAAACACGCCTAAAGTCCCGCTTTTGATACTAATAAAAGCGAAATCTTCTCCTTAGGAGCAACTGTTTTAGAAGCCGCAACTTTAGAATCTGTAAGTCTAACTTGTTATGATAGAGAATACTATAATATAGACTGGAATTAAGTCAATACTTTATTATCAAGAGTCAGATATTAATATTCTTCCAATTTCTATTAGTTACTTTAAAAAACACTCATAGAATCTGAACCCTAACGTATTTCTGTTGAAGAACTTTTAGAATAACTAGAAAATCCTTGGGCAAAAAATAGTAAAGCATCAGGTTTGAATACTATAGAAATTAGAAATCTCATAGCATCTTAAAATAATAGTACTATAATTTAAAATAATGTGGCCGAACCTATCAAATATGATAGAGTAATTTAAGAATCTATGCCTTCAGTAAGATATGAGAACGCTAAATATGAGAATTTTGCTGTTTAACCTACTTATAAATACGATCCTATTATTACAACAAATACTTATGCAGTCGATCCTATTGTTACTACAAATACTTATGTATTAGAATCTAATACCAATTATAATAATAATGATCTTGATTCTAGAATTGAGGCTATTCTTAAAATGAGTAGAGATACAGTATAGAAATATGGATCATCTAATGTTTATACTACTACTACTACTACCACTACAAATAATAATAACTATTAAGTCCCTGAAGTAATAATATATATATTTAAATATTTACTTTTTTATTTAATACAAAAAAAAGACTAATATATAAGAGCAAGTCGAATAAATAAAATAATCCGGAAAAAAAAATGTTACTTATGAAGTTAATAATTATACTCCTATAACTTAAACATATAATTCTAGTTATTAACCTACAGGTGCTTATGCAGTGGAAGACTTAAAAAGATGTGGATAAGTATAATCACAACATATATCAACAAATTCTTATGTAATGGAAGACGCTAAAAAATATGGATAAGTATAACCATAAAATATATCTACAAATTCTTATGTAATGGAAGACTCTAAAAGATATGGATAAGTATAACCATAAAATATATCTACAAATTCTTATGTAATGGAAGACTCTAAAAGATATGGATAAGTATAACCATAAAATATATCTACAAATTCTTATGTAATGGAAGACTCTAAAAGATATGGATAAGTATAACCATAAAATATATCTACAAATTCTTATGTAATGGAAGACTCTAAAAGATATGGATAAGTATAACCATAAAATATATCTACAAATTCTTATGTAATGGAAGACGCTAAAAGATATGGATAAGTATAATCTATTGCTTAAGAAAATAAATTCACAGACACTTAGGTAATGGAGGAATCTAAAAGAAGTGGATAAATATAGCAAGGTAATTATCAAAATAATTATCAAACTAATTATAATCCTGTATAAGTTGAAGATGTAGTTAAAAAAACTGGCAAAAATATTAATTATGAAGTAAGCTAATAAAATAGCTATGCACCAGTTAATTAAGTTTTATAATACAATAAAACTTATAATAATCCATAATAATAGACAAATTATGAAGATGCTTAAAATTAAGGCAGAAATTTAAATTATTAACAAATTAATAATAACACAAATAATTATAATGTAGAAGATGTAGATAAAAGAAATGGAAATTAATATTTTATGAATAATAATGTAGTTGAATAAAGAATTAATTATACAACTAATACTTATCATAATGATTATGTACCTTAAAGTAATTATACTGTTTAAAATAATTACGGAGGAGTAAGTAGAGATGAAAATATTAAAAGAAGTGAAAAAAATTATGATAGTTAACTTGAAAATAGTTATTCAGAAAATACTTATGGTTTTAATAATAATGTTCCAGTTAATGAGACTTATGAAGTTAACAATAAAGAAGGATATTCAAATAATAATGGACAAACTATGAATGAAGCAGAAAGAGATTCTTATATTTAAAAAATGCTTGCTGAAGCTAGAAAAGGATCAAATGGGGAAAATTACACAACTACTTATAATAGTAGAGTAGTTGAAACAGGAAATTAAGTAATTTGATAATATATTTATTTAAATATTAAAAAAAATATATATATGTATATATATATATATATATATATATTTATATATATATATATATATCTTTTTATATATTTTTTTTTTTTATTTTTATTTTTATTGAAATTCTTAAAAATCTTTAAACAATTATTTTAAAAATAAATAAACTTTTTCTATTTGTTTTTTTATTTGTTTATTAGCTTTTTAAAAACTTCAATTAAAAAATAAATTATTATTATTAATTTATAATATATTTTTTCTAAATTAAAAATAAATATATAAATATTGATTAAAATAATTTTAAATAAATTATTTTTTATTTTATATTATTATATTTACATTCATTTTTATTTTTATTTAATATATTTCTTTTTTTTATATTTTTATAAATTTTTTAATAGATGCGATTTTGATTAAGTTATCTTTTTTTTTATTAATAAATAAATATTAAATATTTATTTTTTTTATATTTTATATATTATTATTTTTTAAAAAGAAAAATAGTTTTTTTTATAATTTTTACGTAAAATATTTTTATTTATAATGTTTTAATAATTTTAAAATACAATAAACATAATAAAAACAATAATGTTTGATTATTCTTAGTAAAAAAATTAATATTATTTTAAATAATATATATAATTAAAAATTACTGAAATAAAGTATCTAGAACAAATATTTAATTAATAAAGAAAAAAAATCCAAGATAAATTAAATTTAAAAATAATATAATTTTTTATAAAGATTTTAATAAATCTAAAATATTTATAAAAATACGAAAATAAAAAATATTCATAAATAAAAAAATTAAAGAATTTGTATAATAAATAAATATTAAAAAATAGTAGAATTTGAATAATAAATATTATAGACTTAATTTGTATTAGGAAAAAATATAAAAATCAAAAACTATTATCCCAATTTTCGACTGATGATTTTTCAGGTAATATTAGTTAACCTTCTTCTTCCTATATTTATTCAAATATTTATTTACCTTATGTATTATTAATTTCTTCTTAATCTATTTTTAAATAATTATTTGGTATAAAAGGTGCTTCATACTCCATATCTATTAATTTTTACTAAAAAAAAACTATAAAAAAAAAACTATAAAAATAAAATAAAAGAAATACCCAATCCATATTTTTAAAAAATTAATGTTATTTTAAATTATTAAAAGACCCTCCAAGCCTCATTTATGGTTATCTATTAAGTAATTATTAAATAAGATTTTTACTTTTTTAATCTTTAATATAATGATTAAACTATAATTTTTTTTTGATAATATCTTCATATATTTCATACGGATCTTCCATATCTTCTCCAAAAGGTAAAGATCCGCACAAAAACTCATACAAACAAATTCCTATACTCCACAAATCAACAAAGTAATTATAACCTTTACCTGATAAAATTTCCGGTGCCATATAATGAGGAGTACCTATAACAGTGAAAGTTCTCCCAAAACCACCATATTCATTATTTGAGAGAATTTTAGCTGCCCCCATATCAATTAATTTAACATAACCTTTATCATTAATCATAATATTCTCAGGTTTAATATCTCTATAAACAATATTTAAAGAATGCAAATATTCAAAAATTAAAATCAAAGATCCTATATAAAATTACGAATCCCAAATACTCAATATACCTATTTCCCTTATAACTTCGTAAAGTTCTTACCCATGAATATATTCTAATAGAAAATATATAAAATATTGATCATTGAATGATTTTATATAAACAACTAAATTATTATGATTTATCATTTACATTACTTTTTTCTCTTCTATCATATGATTTTCTAAATTTATTTAAACTATATAATGCTTCTATATTATTTTTAAAGCAAAAATTTAATTATTTTGTATGTTTTTAACTAAATAAACAGACCCAAATTAACCCACACCTAGTTTTTATAATATTCTAAGATCTTCAAGTTTTATGTTTGCCCCTTTTTCTTTTAGCTTCTCACTTTTTGCTTTTAATTTAAGATTTTGGGCAATATTTCTCTATATTGTTTAATAAAGAGTACCTTCTAATTTTTAAAATAATAATTAATAAGAAATAAAAGCAACAATAGAGTTTTCTTCACAAATAAAGTTTTATTAAATTTCTTAATTTTCAAATTGTTTTAAAATTTAAGAATCTATAATTTACCCTTTTAAATATTATTCTTATCTAAACTTTTTTTTTTAAAAATAAATAAATAAATAATTACAATTAGCAAAAAAAACTAATACTTTAACTATTCCTTTAAGAATAATACAGTAATAATGAGCAGGCTATAATTCATTAATAAATACTTTTTCATCTTTATATTTTCTTTAAATATTCATTATATCTATTATTTTATCTAATTATTCACTATTTAATTCTTTAAACCCTTATGCTTTTTCTAAAGTTTATTTAGCAATATTTCTATAAATAATCGTTTCTATCTTATCACCTAATAATTACGTTAATACATCCCTTCCTAAAGCCAAACATTTTGTATTTTCCGAAGCTTTTACTGTCATTGTTCTTATTTGAACCCCCTATAAAAGAGCTGTTTCTCCAAAAGATTGCCCTGCTTTCAAAGTTCGTATTTATTTATTATCAGAAAACACTTCTACTTATCCTACTTTTATAATATAAAAAGAACTTGCTGGTTCATCTTAATTTACTATATTTTAATCTTTATAAAAACGCTAATCTATCAAAGCTCCTGCTATAGAATCTTTTTAAACAGTAGTAAGGTTTTCTATAAATTTTAATTTTTATAAATTTTATATTTATATTTTTACAGAAAAAATGAATTTTATCTATAAACTTTCTATTTAATTAATATTCTTTTTTAATCATTTATTCTACTTCTTATTTAAATGTATTTCTATCAATTATCCAAAAATAACTCTTCACTAAAGCTAAACAAGAAGCGGATCTTTAAGCACTATAAAGAAGTGCTAATTCACCAAATCCATCGCCTAATTCTAATTTTTTTACTTTTTAATTATTTATTTAAACTTCCACTTCTCCTTTTTCAAAAATATAAAATGTAAATGCATTATTATCTCCTTATTTCATTATAAATTCGTTTTCTTCAACGTAGCAATATTTCATACCTTAAACTAGTGTTTCTCTATTATTTTTGTTATATTAAATATAAAAAGTATTTATTAAATTATTATTGAAAAAATATATATATTTTATTTTATTTTATTTTTATTTACAATTATGATTATTATAGATTGTAGAAAATAAAATGATTTTTTAAACATTATATTATAAATTAAGTATCTTGCTCTGTTTTTATTTTGTCAATTATTTTATAATTTTCTTATTGTGAGTCATAATTTATACTTCCTGATTAATGTATAATAAAATTTTGACGTCTATCTTATCTTATCAATAATTTCTATTTAATTTATAATATTCATTTTTTTTTATATGTATTTTATTTTACATCAGACATTTATTTATTTTTAAATTATATGAGCTATCGTTTAAATAAATATATAATTAATCATTTTATGATTTTTTTTTAATTTTTTTACTTTTTTTTATGATGGTTATGCCTATATATATATTTTCAATTTAATTATTATTATTATTAATTATAATTTTTAGTAGTCTAAAGTTATTAAATATTTTATTTATATTTAATAATAAAAATTAATTAATTATATTTTTATGAATTATATTATATTTGTTTATAAAAATTATTTGATTTAAATTTTAAATCTAAAAAATAATGGAGCAAAATTTCTATTTTTGTAGCTTGTTAATATATATAAAAAATAGAAAAAATTATTTTATTTTTTCTATAAATATTAAAAATATTTATTATTATTAACTTATTATAGATAAAAGATATATTTAGGTAATTATATATATATGTATATATTTAATAATAACCATAAAAAATTAAATATGTATAATTATTTGTTTTGAATTTTTTATTATTTATGTATTTTCTTTTTTTTCAAAATATATTACAAAAAAATAATAAAAACAAATAATAAATAAAAAATATTATTAAATCTAAAAATTAAATAATCAAAATATTAAAAAATAATTATTTACTAAAAATATTTCTTAATAGTGCTTAAAAATTAATAAAATAATATTTTATTTTAAATAAATTAATTATTTTTATTTAAGACTTTGTTAATATTAAACAAATTATTTGTTAATTATTTATTAATTTTATTATAAATAATTAATTAATTTATACTTTTAAAAAAATCTTATAAATTAAAATTAAAATTATATTAATTTAAAAATATAATACTCATATCTTTTATAATTTGAAATAAATTATAAAAGGCTATTATTTAGAAAGGATTAAAATTTCAATTTATTAGATTTTTTTTAATTACTATTTACATTAATTAAAAATAAAATTTAAATAATATTTGAATAATTAGAATTAATATTAAAAGTATATATTTGTCAATTTGTATTAAAAAACAAAGAAGAAAATAAAAAAATTCGAAATTAAAATAACATTAAAATTAAATTAATTTTTAAAAAAAAAAAAGAAAAAAAAATTTAAGAAAAAAAAGAAAAGATTAAAATAAAAAATTAAAAAAATGAATATTTAATAAAAATTATATTAGTTAAGAAACGCTTAATTAAAATAAAAATAAGAAGAAGAAGAAACCGATGAACATGTTTATTAGAATTAAACTGAACAAGAATATGAAAACGCTAAAGATAATTTGACTGAAGAAGAAACCGAATTAATTGAGGAAATATATGAATAATATAAAGATTTTTTAGAAGTAAAAAAAAAATAATAAAATTATTAAAATATTTTAAATAAAATAAATATATATAGATTTATAGTGTATGGAATATATGCAAAAAGTTTTCTTTTGATAAAAAAATAGCTCTTAACCATATAAATATATAATATTAAAGATTCTAAGAAAGCTAAAATGACGATAACTAATGGACAAAAGTAGTAAAAGGTTCCCAAAAATAAGAAAAAGCTTTTAATAATGTATAGAATAGATAGAGAGATTAAAAATAATAAGGAGGAAAGTAAAATAACGAAAAATAATTTAAAAAGAAATACTAAGAAGCAAATAATGGAAACGCTGGAAACAATAGAAATAATGAAAACAATTAAAAAAATAGATAACCAAGAAAAAGACAATAAGAAAATAATAATAATTTAGGACAAAGAAGAGTTTATAATATAAGAATGAACTCACAAATTAAAGAAAATAATAATATCGAAAATAAAAATAAAGAGATAAATTTATCAAAAAATTATAGATAACCTCTTTCTTAAAATTAACGAGAATAAAATTAAATAAGAACTTCTAGCTCTAAAAATAACAATAATTAATAAATAAAATAATAAAACTCAATAAGAACTTCTAATTCAAGAAATAACAATAATTAATTAAATATTAATAAGAAATAAGAACTTAAACCATAATTTACTTATGTAAGAAAACCAAAACTTACTTAAACAGAAGAAAAATAATAAAAAACTAATATTTATGTTGAAAAAAATACTCAAGAAAATTTAAATGTTACTTAATAAAATTAATAATTAGAAACTAATTAATAATAATAATAACAAACACCAGAAAACACATAGACACAATAATAATAATAAGTACAAAATTAATAAAAAAGTCCTTAAAAAACCTAAGATTAATAATAATAAAAAACAACTTCTGCTAGTGTAAATAAAACTAATTTAGGAATAGTAGATTTATAATCATAGTTTGTATAATCAGTTTAGAATTATTAATCATAAGCTTTATAAAATGAAACACTTTTGGAATAATTTACATCAAACACTAATAATTAATTTAATGTATCAAATCCTTTTTATAATTATTAAGCAAGTTCTGTTTCTCATATGCCTAATACTTTTTAATAAAATAATAATTAAGCATCTTAATAATAATAATTCACTGAACCCAAAATAACTCCTTAGATAACTGAAGTATAATTAGTTCCTAATATTCCTTAAAGTAATTAACTCTAAAACAACATTTAACCTTCCACTTAATAAAATACAAATAATAATACTTTTAAAAATACAAAATAAGAAAATAACGAAAAAACTGAAAACACTAAAAAAAATAAAAACAAAACTTAAGAGCCTGTAAATAAATAAGCTTAAAAAAAGTAAAAAAAATATTTTCTTTATAAAAAAAAAATTATATTAATTTTTTATTTATTTTAAAAAAGAGAAAAAATTGAAAAATCTTAAGATGAAAATAAATAATAAGAAAAAATGGAAAAAATAATTAAAATATAAACTATTATACCAAAAGCAACTCCTACTCCCTAAACTACTGAACCAACTATTTAAGGTTAAAAAATGCCAGAAATACAAAAGAAAATAGAAGAAGTTCCTTAATAAGAAAAATAATTAATTGAATAATTTATTTAATAACCTCAAAGATTTTCCTAAGCAAATATTTCATTATAATAATAGAATTAAGCATAATAATAAACATAATAACAAGAAGTAAAAACAAATGAATAATAGTAAATATAATAATAATAATAATAATAATAATAATAATAATAATAATAATAATAATAATAATAAGATGAATATCATAAATAATAAATAACGTCAACTGAATAATCTTAATAACACACAGCTGATAAATTTTAATAATTAGAATAATATTCTTAATAATTAATTTAAACAGTTTAAATGTAATAGTATTAAATTCAATCATTAGTATAAATGATGTAAATGTAATATCCCATGATGAATATGTACAATCCTTGTTCTATGTAATTCCCGAATTTAATGCAATTTAATATTTAATAAAACTAATCAAATGAATAATAAACTTAATAATAAGGACTTCCTTTCGAAACTCCATATGTAATTATTATTATTTATTTATAAAAAATTAATATAGATTTAAATTAAATAATTTTTAAAAAATTAATATAGTAATATCCCATGATGAATATTCCATTAAATCCTAGTTTTTTACCCATAAACAACATTTAACAAAAATACATGTAACCAAACTATATTACTTAAATGAATTAATAACAATTAAGTAGTAGTCAAAATAATTAAAACTAAGCACAAACAATAAATAATAGCATGCAAAATCAATAAACTTAATAACAAGGTGGAAATGATTATAGCTTATAATATATGTAAATGATGTAATAAATGGCTAAGTAACAATTGAAAATGTAATAATAGATTATAGGAAATTCTATGCAATAGAATTTAAATAATAATAATACATAATAGAATTGAAAAAAAATTATAAAAATAATGATTAAATAGTTAAAATACATTATTAAAAGTATTAATTTTATATGATTTATATTTTTATTTGCCTTATTTTAAATCTTTATTATTTATATTAAAAAATTTTATTATTATATAAATATATTAATAGATACATATTTAATAATTAAAAAAATTAATTTAAAATATATAAATAAAATTTTTTAAATTATTAAAAGTTGAATTAAAATAATATGTGTATATATATTGTATTTATGAATTTATATATTTAAATAATATATATTTATATATTTATAATTTTTATAATTTATAATTATATATTTTATTTTAATATTATTTATAAATATTTGTATCTTTTTCCAAAATATATAATTCTAAAATTTTTTTGCTTATTTTTTATTACATTTTTTTTTATAAAAATATTAGTTTATTTTCTATTCTATATTATATTGTTCTTAACAAATTTTATTTAAAATAATTTATTTTATATTTATTTTAATTCAATTAACATAATTTTTATCTTTAATTTTTTTTCTTTACTTGAAGAAAATTTCGATTTATTAACTTTTAATTTTTTATAATTATAAAAAATGTATTATATCCAATACAATTTATTTTTACATAAATAAATTAAGAAATTATATTTTTTTTATGAATAATATATATTTTTCTATACTTAATGTCAATCCTTTAAAAATATAAAATGAAAAATAACCCCTTTTTAAATTAAAAAGATTAAATATTAATTTGATTAATATTATATTAAAAAAATTAAATAATCTCTTACTGGATTGATATTAAATTTAAAAAACTATATTATCATTATTTCTTTTATTCCTAATGTATTTAATTATATAGAGTAAATAAAAGAACATTTAGGTTTAAATATAATTATAAAATATATAGAAAAATTTAATGAACTATGTAATTAATAAATAATATTTTTAATAAAAATAAATTAATTTTTCTAATTATTTAATTCCTGATAAAACATTAAAATTAATAATCTACTTCAGCTTGTGTCAATATACATTTAAAAAAAATAAGCGAATATGTTTCATTATTAAAAAAAATAATGTAAATATAGTCTTTATCTAATAGTTTTTTCTTAATACAATACTAATGATGTTATTTGTAAAAAAAGCTTAGTTTATTTAATAAATTTATATTAATGTTTTATAATAAAACACATATTTTTATGTTATATTATAAAGCTTTTTTTAATCTCTTTTATATTTTTGAATTCAATTTTTTTTATTTTTTATAACAAAAAAAACTAAAAAATTTACATATTATAATAAATGACATAACAATTGCCTGAAGAATTTTTAATTTGTTTAAATAAACTTTTAAATACAGAAATAGAATTTTTAACATTAATAACATGGAAATTTAAAGTAAATTCAAAAATACCATTTAATAGTTATATAGTTTTATGTAAAGATAAAATGCATTTAATAGACCAATAATTTGACAAAATAATTATGAGTATATAATATTCAAATATAACAAGAATCTTAATAGATAAAAAGTATCCTAGTTTTTTTTAATTCGTATTTAATTTCTAACAAGATTAGAAAAGTTATACACAACTAAAAACACAAATTAATAGAAACGCTTAAATTACAATAGAAAACCTTTAAGGTAATTCAATAATTTATTGTTAATGCTTGCAAAATTTACTAAACCATTTAAAGTATTGTTGGAAGACAGATTAAATAATCTAAAATAATATATTATAGAATCTTCCAATTTATGTATCTGATTTATTATGGACTAAAAAATAAGTGTATTATCAAGAATAATAATAATAATAATGGGTACATACAGGAATAAAATAAAAATAATTGTACTTGAAAAACAACCATAAAATAATAATAAACAACTACATAGTATAAATAGACAAAAACTTCGTTTAATTTAAAGATATTGAGAAATCATTTTACCATATATAATGTCCTAATGTAAATATATAAGTAGATATAAGTTAACGCATGTCTCTAAAATATTTTAATGAAATAGGATCTAGATAGTAATTATAAACATATGCAGAAAAAATATTCAAAAATATTATTTATACTAATATTCTTTTAAACGATGAAATATACTCTATTTTATATAGCAAATAATATAATAAACGTAATTATTTTAATGATTAGAATATCAATATTTTTGTAGAGGGATGGTAAATGCATATTAGAACTCTTTATAGAGATATATATTTTATTTTAATTAGAGAAAAGTATCTTCCTCCTTCCTAATATCATTATATAGATTATTACGTTATTATTTTCGGATCTCCTTATGGAAATTTTTTGAATTTACCTTTAAAATCTTTTGGAGATAAAGAGGTTAGTCTTTTTGACACAGCGTCTTTAATTATTGATAATATTATTCCTTTATAAAATGATTTAATAAAAGCCTTTCGAAAGTCTCATTTAATCATAATTAGATTCCCTAATATATTAGAAATTTAGTGATTACAATTATTTTACAACTCAAAAAAAACTTATTTCAAAAAATAAAATTTTCGGCATTCCTTTTATTATTTCTGTAATTAGTAATTTTAAATACATAGGAATTGAAGATAAGAAACTGATGGAAGAAATAAATTAATTAAAATACTAAGTTTTTTTTTATTTTTAAAAAAAAATTAATAAATATAATTTAATTCTTATATATTTTTAAAATAAAAAGCCTACTTATTAATAACATATAAAAAGTATAGTATAAATGGATGAATAATTAACTCCTTTTGATGTAGTAGACAAAATAATGCAAAGAACATTATTTATTAATAATTAAGAAATGAAAATGATTTTGGTTACAGAAAATATCTTTCTTACTCAGTTATTGTATATCCGGAAGTATACATAGCAAATTTAACTTTATGTATTTAATAACAAAGATTATTGATGACTAAGATATGACTTCGAGTCTGATTTCTTTTCTACTTTATATTAAAAAATATTCAGAACTAACTGAAATAGTATATATAGTAAGAAACGATTAATAAAGCAGCTTAAAAAAAATATCATCACTTTAATGGAATTTAGTAAAAGATCTTTAACAATTTATTGAAAATCCAGAATTATATTACTACAATGAAGAGGTAATGTAAAATTTAATACAAACATGTTTTATTATAGAGTTCTTATTTTAATAATTATAACCTTAAGTCCTATTGAAATTATATTAATATTTTTTAAATATCAATTTTAATAAATCAAGGATTTAAATTGCTTGTATTAATAGTATAGCTCTATATTATTAAGAAAATTAACAAAAAGGAATGCAAGAATATAAAAAATAAATATTCAAAAATTTGATTTTAAACATAATAAATTTATCTAATAATAATGATTTTATGATTGCTAAAGATTGCATAACTACATTATATGTATTATGTAAAGACGAATCAACATTAAATAAATACGAACTACTAAAAGAAAATAATCCTAAAATACTTATTGATCATTTAAAAACATAAGATTCTGAATAAATAATAAATCTAATAAATATAATAAGCCTTATTTAAAATAATAACTTTGAAATTTTCATTAATTTTAATATTATTGACAAACTAATTGATATATTAGAAATTTATTAGTAAATTGAAGGCACAGAGTTAACAGAAAACGTTATATTTAAAATTTGCGATGTTTTAAAATTTATTTTATTCAGAGCAGAAATAAGTAAAGTTAGTAATAGAAATAAAAAAGTCATTTTTAATCTTCTTGATTATTAATTAAATTTACCTTCCACCGAATATTTTAATCAAATTTTAAGTGTTATTAATTTAATTGTTAAAAAAAGCTCATGGATTAAGTCTGAATTAATGAGATCTTGTTGTAAAAAATTTGTATATCTAGTTAGAAGAATTAATTTTTAATAAACTTATCACAATGTCATTTGTTAAATATTTGATATATTTTATAATATTATGTAGGATAGTGTTGCTTTAAAAAGCTTGATTTCTAAAAACTAAATTTTTAAAGAATGTCTTAGTGATTTTATTAACTAAAATACAAATAAAAAAGATACTAGCCTTTACTAAAGTGCCAATAATTTATATACTGAATTATATGAATAAGCACTAAATAGTTCAATTGATAAATAAAATAATGAAGGTTATACAATATTTTAATTTTTTTGTTTTTATATCTTTATTATATAGCATTTGATATTAATGATAAAGAATTAATTAATCCAATTATTGGTTTGAATGAAAGCGTATTTATATATATATAAATATTAATATATCAATATTTTTTATTTTAGAGAGATAGATGTGAATCTTCAATTGACGAACATTCATAAAGTAGTCCCAGCTAAATGAAGAATATATGTTATGATAATAAAGTTTATTTGAGCCCTTTGCAATAAGATGATTCCCCAAAAAAATAATAATAATAATAATAAGAATATAGTAATTTAAAAAAAAGTTAATTTGCGTACTTTAAAATTGGATCCTAATGACAAAAAATTCTATTAATTTAAAAAATATTTCATTATTGATACTTTATTATAAAAATATAAATCTTTTTAATTGAAAAATATATATTACTTTTTTTTATTTGTAGAAAATTTTTAAATTTTTAAATGTTAAAATCTTAAAATTAAATATTATATAATGCAATTTATATCTAAAAAATATATAAGATAAGTAAAATATTTTTTTGTTTCTCCAGATTTAGAAAAAACATTATTATTTCTTACGATATTTATATATTTATTAATTGAATATGTATATGATTTAAACACAAACTCATTAACAGCAACTTAAATATTTTTAATAAATAAAAAGCTAAAAACAACATTTAAGTAAATAAATAATATAAGTGATTTCTATAATTGGGTAGAAAATGTTTTCGCAGACACAATATTAAATAATGAATATAATCAATAAAAATTCATTATTTACGGAGCTCCAAGATTATTTAATTATTATATTTAATATCCAGACACATGCTTTACGACTTAAATTTTAAAATATTCCAAAGTATGTAATCCAAAATCATATGAAGATATAAGAAATTTGTTAAAATAACAAATCAATAATTATAATATTGACCTTTGTATTGAATAAGATTGTGAAGAGTTTAAATTATAAGAGAATAATTTAATACATATTTATACAAATTACTTAAAATGCGAATATCCTTAACAAACATATATAGTTACTTTAAAGTCAGAAAATAAAACTTAATTTAAAAAGTTAATTTCTTAAAAATTTCTAAAAATAATTGGATATCTTATAAAAATAGTAGAGTTTATGGTAAAATAATTATAAATAAATATTTTTTTTTATTCAAAATAAATAAATAAAAGGTATTGAATTTAATTATGGAAAAGATGATGTTATTTACAAATGCTAATTTATAATAGAGAATTGGTATAATAAAAATTAATTTACTTAAGATATTTTTGAATTGAATTATTTTTAAAATAATAATGATACTTATCTAAATATAGTTTTAGCAATATATTTTGCTATAAATATAATTTTCTTTTTTAAACATATAATAGAATGCGGATATATATATAAAAATAGATTTATATTTATTTTATATAAATCATATCTGAAATATGTTATATTATAGTTTATTTGTTGGAAATCAGAGAGTTTTAATCTATATTTAAGAGAAGAGATACCTCTGTTAAATTTACTTAGAATGATAATTTTATTTAATTAGAATCACTTTTTTTTCTTTAAAAATTAAGGACAATATTTATTATAGTGAATAATATTTTTCTTCCTTGTAAAGTATTTTCATTAATATCATGGATAAAATCATTAAACTTTTTAACAAAATACTTACATTCATTATTTAGGTAAAAAATAATATATATTATTTATATTACTTATTTAGGTATATATTAAAATAATGCAGGACTTTATATTCATAAATTAGATTAATAGGTATGATTTTAATTATTTATATATTTTGGGCTTTAGCAATACATGTAGCAATGAAAGATTATAATTAACATTTTTCTACTTTTTAGTAAACAATGGTTAATTTTTTTATAGTTGATTTAAATAATTAAACTATTGAGCAAGCAATAAAATAATCAATGACATTATAAGAATATTATTTTGTTTATGTAACTATGCTAACAGGAATGAGAAATATAATATTTATTTTATTACTTGCTTTAACAATAAACACAATTAGAATAGCATTTGACTATGATTATGATTATAGATCTCCTTTATAGAAAAATATTGTAGGCAATATAAGTAATATAAGTGGAAAATTAGAAAAGTTTTTAAAATAAACAACGAATACGATAAAAGGAAAATCGAATAAAATTGATGGCAAATTAATAATTTGGTTATTTAATTAAAAAGAGAATATTAATTTTGAAGAAATAAAAATGCATATGGAAGAAGAAGAAATCAAACTTATTGAATTTAATGCTATTTTTTAAGTTCAATAGTTTTTGCAATATTTATTTAAATTAAGACCGAATTTACTATATAAAAGTTCACATTATTTCAGAATTATTATTAATTATTGTGAAGAAGAAAACACTGAATTTTAATTTGGAAAATCTGAATATTAAATTCAAAATTTTTTATTTTAAACTATTAATTCTTATGAATTTTTCTTCAATTTTTTAAAAGAAAGAGGTAGTACTATACCTGTTATGATATTTTGTATGAATAAAATGCATGAACATGATAAAATGAGATTAATTAAAAAATATAGTCATTTATTTTTTACCTAAAATTTATAAAATTTAGATATTTTTACAAGACTTAAACCCCTTGAGTAAAATTAGGCTTTTTAAAATTAAAATCTAGCAAAAGATTTAAATAATCAATAATAATATTTTGAAGAATAATACTCTTCGGAGATTGAAAATGATCTGGAATATGAAGAAGATGCAGAAACGAATTAATAAAATGTCTTTTCGTAAGAACTTAAACTATGAAATAAAAATATATATTTATATATATATATATATATATATATATATATATATATATTTATAAATATTATTATATAAATATATATATCTTATATAAAAATTATTTTTTATAATTAATAAATTATTATTAAATAAAATATATAAAAATTAGTTTTAGTAAAATAAATAATTAATATTATTTTCATATTTTTTTATTATAAATATAAGGCTAAACTAAAAATGCATTTTTAAGTTATTAAAAATCTTACTATTTTTTAAATTCGTTATTGAATATTATATATTAATTATTTTTTATTTTTATATTATCAATTTAATTTAAAATATTATTGTTAATAATTAAATTTTCTTTTTAAATAATTTATTTAAATTTTCTGTCAACATTACTATTATTTTAAAAATTCTAATCATTTTTTGAATTTTAAGTAGTTTTTTATGAAGATTTGTTATATTTTTTTGCTTATTAAAACACTTTTTTATTCATTTAATTATTTATACAAGATGATATTAAATTAATTTAATATTAATTATATATTTCCTGATTATTTTATTTTTTATTTTCAAATGAATTCTAAATGAAATATTCATCTTTTTTAAATTCCTCAAAAGAACGTTAATAATATTTTTTATTCATTTATGTTTAAAAATTAGTATCAAAACATGATCTATATGCATATTTATTTTTGTTATTATATTATAAACTCCTATTAATATTAGGCTCAAGCTTAATTAAAGAATGATAGTGAGCATTCATTCTATCTTAATTTTTCTCTTAAACCTTCTTTTTCCAATCCATTTATCTTTCATAAAAATAAGAGGTATAGGTTTAGCTTTATTTGATGTGCTTGCTTTTATTTATTTAAGGCTTAAATATACATTCCTAAATCTCCTTGTTTTATAATTCTATCAAACGCTTATTTTTTAGAAATTCCTTTCTTTTCTAAAATATAATTGTTTTGTCTTATATAGAGATATAATTATTACTTTTTAAATTAATTTATAATTTATTTTAATTAAAATAATAAGTATTATATTCATATAAATTTACTTTTCATAAGATAAATTTTAAGCTCTTTTAGTTATTTAAGGTTTAAAACTACATTCAGTTAATTATTATTAACTTTAAACAAATTGAATTTATTATCTAATTTAATCCTACTATTTCTTTTATTCTAAACCTCTATTGTATAAATTAATAAAATAGAATACGTTTTGTTTATTTTTAATTGGAGAATTCTAATAGTTATATTAGTTTTATTATTAATTAATATTATTTTACTATTAGTATTTTTTCTAAATTTTTAACTCTTATTTTTTTTATTTTAGCCTCTTCATACAATCAGCTTATCTTTTTAAATATAAAATTTCTTCTTCTGAATTTTAATGGGTTTCATATTTATTTTAATGAAAAGTATTATTTTCTTTTTTTAATTGATAAATATTTATATTTTCTTAACTTTTTTCATTATCGCTTACTTCATATGATTATTCAACTTAAGCTGAATTTTAGTTACTTGTTGATTGATTTTCAATGTTATTTATTTATTATAACTAATCATATTACTTTTCCAAAGTTAAAAATTTTTGAATTAAATTTTACATTTATATACCTTAATTGTTATATCTAACTTTTATGTTTTTTTGATAATTTTAATCATTTGCTATTAGTTTATTTTATTGATCGCTTTACATATCTTTATATATTATATATTTTTTGTTTATAAAACTTATATTTAAATAAAAATATTTCAAAAAAACAAAAAAATATAAATCAGAATTATTTAAAAAAAAAAAGATTATAATAAATAAAAAATGTATAATATATTAGAAAGCGCATATAATTTTCCATAAATGGATAAAGCCTTATTATTTAAAATGGCTTGCAATAATGAAGATTAGCTAAATTCTTTATTATCTTACTATAGAGATAGAATAAACGATTTTGATAAAGAAAGAGCAGAATGGCTGCAAAATTTAAACGGAATAATAGCTTCAGAATCAGAAAAGCATAAATTATAGTGGGAGTTATAAAGAAGAAAAGAAGAAATAAATACTTTATAAGGTACATTAGATAATTTTCGAGGTGTTTTATATTAAGAAAGATAAGAAGTATTAGCCATACAAAGAGAAAATGAATTACTGAAATTGAAATAATTTGAAGATTAAAAAAAATTAGAAAGTTTAAGGGCAATAGTTGAACCAGTAGAAGAGAACATAATAATAAATAGAAATTAAAAGCCAGAAATAAGCTATTAATTTTAAAAAGTAGATACAAATATTATCAGAAATAAACAAAATTTAGAAAATATATTAAAAAAGTAAAAACAAAAAATAATATATTTTAAACAAAATTAAATAAAATATAAAAATAGAAGCGGTAAAGAAGGCATTGTTAATGGATAAGGAAAATGTGTTATAAAAAATATTCATATGCCAAATGAAAATTTAGATAATTTAGAAGATTAAAATTAAAATATTAGGCAATAAATAGAAAACGAAAGATAGGAAAAAATGGAATAAATTGGTAATTTAATATCAGAAATCAATTCTAAATAAGAAAAAAGACTAGCAAAATAAAAAGAAATTAACTCAAAGTCTAATGATTTATTAAAATAATCATAAATATTAGAATAATAACATTTAGATATGGTTAAAGAATTATATACTTTAAAAATCACTACTGATGAAAAAGAAAGAAAATTCTAAGAAGAAAATGAACTGATTAGATTAAAAAATACTGTTATAGCTAATAAATTATATATTCTAGTTAATTAAAATAATAAGGAAAGTGAACAAAATGAAAATGAAATTAATAATAATACAAATTCTTATAGAAATAAAGTAAATTAAAAAGACGAAAATATCTAAATGCTTAAAGTAATATTTTTTAAATATGTTTTAATAAATTTAATTTATTTATTTATTTAATATAAAGGAATAATATAATCAAGTTTCAAAATTGTATTTAAATAAAGTAAAATAATTAGAAGAAAGTTTATCTAAATTAAATGAAAAGTAAAATTGTTTATAAAAAGTTAATTATATATATATATTTATTTATATTTAATTATAGATATATTACATAAGAAAAAAAACGAAAAATGTAAAATTAATCTTATAAATCTGATATTACTGTACTGAAAAAAAAGATAGATTAAATTCTATAAAATATTCGTGAACAAGAATTTCAAATGCAAAATAACGAAGGATAAGAAGAAGAAGAGGAAAATAAAGAAAATTAAGAATAAGAAGATAAATATTGAAAAATTAAATATATAAATTTAAATATTAAAATTATATTTTTTATAAAATAATAATTTATATTTATAATAAAAAAAATAAAAAAGCTTAAATATAATATATATATATATATATTAAACATATAATATTTTTATAATAATGTAAGTGGTTTTAATAAGTTAGTTTATATTATTGCTTGTTTATCAATTGTTTTTTAAATACTAGTTTTATATAGTTAGTTATTCAATAGCATTTTATAATCTTTTTGTTTAAGTAATAAGCAATATTTAGTTTTTATTAGTTTCTTCATTTATATTAATAAGTTCATTTTATAAACTAAATACATATTATTTTAATTTATTGTTTTCTATTTAAAAATCTTCTATTTTTTATCCTGTGAATTGTATTTAATCGGAAATAATTTTCTTTTATATTTCTAAATTTTAAATTCTTCTATTTAAATCCCTTTCTCTTTAAAATTATAATCCCTTTTTATATTCCTAATATTTATCTTAGCTTTAATCTTTTTATTAACTTAAACTTCTATTTGATTATAAAATAATATTTTGAATTGAATTTTATTAATTATTAATTGATTAAGTAGGAGAAAATAATTAATATATTTAATATTAATTAGCCTAAGAAGGACTATATAAAATTTAAAATGATTGTTAAGTTATATTACACGGACTTATTAATTAATATGTGCTTATTGAATTATCCTAAGGAATTTAAACTTACGAAACACTAATGCTTCTTGGTTATTTTTGTGTATATTTTAATTAATATAATTTTTATTTATTCATTATTAATGACTTTGAATAAAATTTATATTTTTATAATAATAATTAAATTTTTATAAATATTTTATTTGTTTTTATTATATTAATATTTCTATAAAAAAATATCACAAAGTAATATTTTAGTTAAATAATTAAATTTCAATAAAAATAGCATTTATTTATTTATTTTTAAAAAAATAAAATATTTACATAATTATTATATTTAAAATAAAATATAAACATTTTAAGTAAATTTCAAAATTTTCTTCAGTGAATGAATATAATTTTAAATTATAAATTATTTAAAATAGAAATAAAAATTTTAATAATAATTATGAAAAATAAAATCATTCATTGTCTAAACTATCATATTAAGTTTGATATTTTTTATAAGTAAATTAATTTTTATCACCTATTTGTTTATTTATATAAGCATTTTTTTAAGTTTTAAATAAATTTTTATTCAAGAAGTTCCTATTTTCTTTAAAATTACATAAATTTTAATTCTCAATTTCGTTTTAAAACTAATCTTATCCTTAATTATTATCTTAAGATTAATAACTGACCTCAAATTAATCCTATATATCATCCTAAGAACTTGAAATATTAATTTTAATATTTTTTTCCTAAAATTTTTTTCTTATGACCTATCACTAACAAAATTTTATTGATTTAATAGGTTTTGTCTTAAATTTATTTATTCTTCAATTAAATTTTCAATTTGTATTTAATCTTAAATAAGGTTTTTTTAATTTTATTATAACTCTAAAGCTTTTTGATATTTTTAATATAAATTTTAGTAATCATTTTTTAATTCTTTATTTTTAATTTCCATTTCATTTACATGTAAAACTATTTTATATAATTTTTACTCATATAATTATTCATTTTTAAGCTTTTCTTCTAATACGATTTCTAACTTTTTAATTTACTCAGAAAATGGTTTTTTTATAAAAAATATTATTAAGTTAATAATTCGATATTATTTTTATTATTCATAGTACTAATTAAAAACTAATATTATTCATTAGTCTCTTTTAATTCTAAAATAAATACTTCTTAATGTTTCAATTAATTATTCAAATTATTTATTTGTTCGTTTTATTATTATATTTCTTATTACATATTTCTTATATTTTTATTTAAATTACTATTGTTTTCTTATTATTCATTATTAATCTATATTAAATTATCTATTTTAAATTATAAAATTTAGTTTTTTTATTAAAATTCCTTCTCTATTTATATATTAATGTCCTCTTTATATAAATTCTAATCATAATCTTCTTATTTTGTCTTTTCTTTTTTCAAAAAATTAGAAGAAATTTCCAATTCATATTATGAACTTAATTAGGCATATTTATTATTTAATTAAAGATACTTATTATTTATGTTTTTTTGAGATTATTTTAATTTAATTTAATTTTCTTTTAAATCTTCAACTTATTTATTTAAAATTTGATTTTCTTAAGTTAATTAATTATTTTTATTTCTCAAATTATCTAGATCTTCTTAAAATTTAGATATTTGTTTATTTTAAATCATTATTTTTTTCTTAAAAAGTTTTATTTTATTTATTTAAATATTAATTATTTTCTTAAAATTTATTTAATTTATTATTCAATTCAAGTATTTTTTCAGTATTATTCTTATTGTTTTTGGAAAATGTTTATTCGTTTTGAAAAAATTCTTCATTTAATTTTTTAAATAAGCGCTCTTTTTCATTAAATCCTAATTTTATTTCATTTATTGTTTCTTCTTTTTCCTATAATTCTTATTTTAATTTTCTTATTTATTAGTTTAGTTCTAATAAGTCATTATTTAATTATTATATTTATTTCTATTTTTCGTTTTGGGTATTTAAACTGTTTTCAATGTTTTTTTATTAAAGATTTTATAATTCATTTTAATATTTTATATGTACTTATTTTATATTGTGTTCTTTTTCTTATATTTATCTTTATAATTTTTCATAATTTATATCTTATTTATTCAAATGTTTATTTAATTAATTAATTTTTTCTTCAAACTCAGATAAAAGTTTTTAATTTTCATTTATCTCAGTTTTTAATTATTATATTTTTTTCTTTTTCTTTAATTTCTATTCCTCACTTTTCTCAAAATCTAAATTTAATTATTTAATGGACTTATTTTATTCTTAAAAGTCAACTTCAAATTGTTTTATTTAATTTTTATATTCTTTAATTTCTTATTATTTATTAGTTTTTATTTCCTATATTTAGTTTTCATACTTTTTTTGCAATATGTTATTATCTTCAATTAATTAATTAACTTAATTTTAATATTCTTCATTTATTTCTTCATATTCTTTCAATTTTAATAAAAGTTCACTTTTTTCTTATTCAATATCTTCTTCTTCATTTAATTTATTTGTTTAAAAATGTTTTATTTAGTCGATTTCATTATATAATTATTCTTATTATTATTTTTGCATATTCATTTATTCTTAATCATTTAAATGTATTTATTGTAATTTTTAAAGTTTTTCAGTTTTATTTTATATTTCTGATTTTAAATGATTTTAACCTACTTTTAAATTTTCGATTATAATATGTAACTCCTTTATTTAAATTTCATAGTTCTTTAATTCTTAATTATGTTAATTTTAATTTAATATATTTTATTCTTATAGTTAATTATTTCTTTATTCAAGTTAAATTAGCAAATTATGTTAATAATCAAAATCTTATTCTAATTAACTCATTTTTTATATTTCATTACTTTTTCTATAAATAATATAGAATATAAATAAAATTGTTAAAAATATATATACATTTTTATTTTTTTATTTATTTAAATTAAAATTTATATTAATTTCTAAATTACATTATTTTTAATTATTCAAGTTCTTTTTTTACTACATAAAATTAATTAACTAAATCGTTGTTTTCTTTTAGTAAAATATCAACTTTTTATTAAAATTAATTCTCATTTATTTAAATGGGTTCAAATTAAACTTATTAAACAGGTTTATTTATGAAATCTTAACTTTAAGATTTTAAAGGATTTATTATTTCCTATTTTATTATAGGTTTATTCATTTATATTTAATTTGAATTTAATTAATTTTATTATATATATAAATCTAATTATTGTTTTTCTTCTTTTAATTATTTCATTTTTAATTCCATTTATTTTATTTATTAAAGTTTTTGATCTTTTGTTAATTACGTTTATTGCATTATATTAACTTCTGAATAAATTTTTAAAAATAAATAATTATATTTTGATTACATGATTCATTATTTATGATTATATTTTAATTCATTTTTTCTTATTTTAATGATATTTAAATTTTTTTATATAAAAAGAATATTTTTATTATAAAATAAAACAATTTTTTTAATTAAAAAAAAAAAAAAATACTAAAGTATAAAATATTTATTTTATAAGAAAAATAAAATCAAAATTATTTTTATTTTATAACAGTATATCCATGTTTATCAATATCTAATTAAATCAAAACTTAATTATTCTAAAGTTTTTATTATTCTAGGTATTCTTTATGCCAATCAGTCTCGCTCTTTTACTTAAACTTTTCTTGATATTCTTCTGGATGATTATTTTTACAAAATTCTAACTACTATTAAGCTTAAAGACTTTTATCCTTAGTATGATTTAACTTTTAAAATTTAGCTTACTCTATTTTTTCTAACTTTTTAATAATAGATTCTTTATGTTTAGCTTATGTGATTTCCCATTCATGCTTTTTGCTTTATATTTCTTTGATTTCTTATTATTTATAGTAAAAATAATTTTATTATTTTTATTTTCCAAGTAATTTCTGTTACTTAATAATCTAATATTTCATTTTTAAATTGTTTATTTATAATTCTTCTTCGCGTTATTTTCTTGCTAATTCTTCAGCTATTTATTTTTTAAATTCTTATCTTTTTTCTTTATTATTGTCATAATGTTATTATTTTGACATTTAACATTTTAACATATCTAATTATCCTTTTGGATGAGTAAATGGAACTTCGTCTACCTCTATTTTTTTTCTTTCTTATTCTTTATTCTTTTATATTTTTTTTATTTTTTTATATATAATTTATAAATTACTTTTTCAGACACTTTTTATTTTATTTAGTAAATTTATTCTGCTTTTAAAGCAGTATCGTAGGCTTTTCTTTCTAACATTAATTCTTCATTAGATAATTTATTTATGCGGTTAGTTAATACATTTAATTTTATTTAAATCATTTTATGGTGTTATTGTGCTTAATATAATGATGATTATGATTATTATGATTTATTTTTTGTTGAAGATATTTTAAAATTGTTTCCTGAATTATTATTAGAGTAAACACTTAAATTCATTTTATTTTTTAATTATTTTATTGTTTTTTTTTAATAATAAAATTAAATGCTATTTAGAAAAAAGAAAAAAACAAAGTAATTATTTATTTTTTTATTTTATTTCGTTATTATATGTAATTATATAGTTTTAACATTATTAATTAAATCTATTATTTTTCAAAATAAATTTATTTATTTAAAAACAAAAACATAACATAAATCAAATAATAAAGTATTATTAAAAATTAAATAAATAATAATTGTATATTATAATTTTTTATATATCAAAAAACAATATTTATTTAATTTAATTTATTATCTATATAGTTTTTTTATATTTAAAAACAATATCTTTACATAAGAGATTTGTTTTTTTATTTTCAATTATATAATTTTTACTTTATATATAATGTAAATAATTATTTTTTTATCATTTTTATTTATTTTTATTTTGTTCTAAATAAAATTCAAAATTATTATATTATTTGTATTAAAAAACATTATTCAAATATAATTTAGATATCAATATATTATTTTTATAATTATTGATTATTATTTTTATGCTCATTATTTTATATTTTAATATACTATATTCAATTATTTATTTAATTATATAATCGATGTTTATAAATATTTTTATAAATTATATTTCATTTAGAATGTTATATTTTTTATAACCTAAACATAAAAATTGTTTTAAAATTTTTAAAAATAATTATACAATAATAAAAAATAGATAATTAATGCATATTTTAATTAAGTAAAATTCAATTTTAGAAAAATTAAAGCTAACTAACTTAAAAATTATTAACCTTATAAACATAAAAAACATTATAATAATAAAATAACTAATATATATTATACAAAATTTATTATCTCTAAAAAAAATCATTTGAAATATTTTAATTATATTTTATTTTTTATACAAATCTTCAAAAAAAACATATTACTCTATTTATATAATAAATTAAATTTAAAATAAAAAAAAAATCTTAAATATAAAAAAAAAATCAAAATTTTATATGATAATATATTTAAATACATTTATATAAATAAATTTTTATGGGCTAACATATAGGAATTAAACAATTAATAATTAATATAATCTAACTATATTTTTTAAATTAATTATCATTAAAAGATAAATACTAATTTATTTATAAATATATTATTAGTAAATAAATATAAAAAATATATATAATATTTAAAATCTAATTATTTATATTTTAATTTCAAAAAATCTTTTTTATTTTTTTAAAATCCAAGTTTAATTTTTTTTTAATAAAAAAGATAAATCCTTTTATAATAATATTTTAGTTTCAACTTATTTAAATAATATCAGAAAAACTTCCAATTATAAATAAATTTAGATTAAATTTTCTTATTGATTATTAGTAAAATAACATCTGTATTAGTAAATCAGATAAAAACATATTTACCATTCTTGTTATAACTTTTTCTATTTGAAATTATTAAACTTTTTTTTTTTCTTTTTTATTTTCAAACAAGACAAGAGAAAATATTAAATAATGTCTTTTAATTTAATTATGTAAATTTTTTAATTTAATTGAAAATTAAGATATTAATAAAAAATTGCTTTTCTATAAAAAATAACAATTTAGAGTTAATAAATTATTTTATTTTTACCTTTCTATTGTTTTAAAAACCTTTATTTGTTTATTTTAAGGACTAATAAATATATTATAAAAAAAAATATATGCTAATATATATAATTGAATATATTATAAATATAAATGATTTATTTATCTTGGTCTAAAGTTAAAAACATATTTATTTTTTTGTAATATTTAAAAAAATGCTATTATATTTAGATTTTATAATTAATTAATTTTGACTTAATTTTAATTTTTTCTTTTTTGAAATTAATAAATACAAATTTAATAATTAATTTTACAATACAACTTAAAGTAAAAAATTGTTATTTTTAATTAATTTTTTTCTTAACATTATTTTACTTAATATATATATTAATAAAAAACTTTAATCAAAATTTATTTAATATGTGCTAAACCATTACAATTTGTATTTTTTTTTAATTTTTATAAGTCTTTTAAATAAATAATATAATGAACTAATATTTTATTGTTCGTATAATATAAATTTAAATCTTTATTCTTAATAAATAATTAAAATATATATCATTTATAAGTATTAATTTATTTATTTAATTATTAAATATTATGTATCATATTTTCCATTTTTAGCATGAAAACATAACTTTATTATCATTTGCTTCTGTTTAATTATCAAATAAAATATTTGCTCTGCCTCATTAGACTAAATCCATATCTGAATCTCAAATCTTTTTTATTAAAATATAATTATTTAATTATAAGGAGAAAATTTTTTTATATAATTCTAAAGTAGGGGTTTTTTAAATTAATAAAATTTCATTTTTTAACAGAGATTTTTGTAGGTATAATTAGATATTATAAATTAATATTAATTGATATTAAACTAAAAAGAAAGAAAATTTTTATTAGGTATCAACATCTGTATCATAAACATTTTAATTTTATATTTTTAACCATTTAATTTTATAGTATGATTTGCTTTCAGGAACTCTTATAATTAATTAAGCCTAAATTTTAATTATTTAAGTTAAAAGTATTGATTTCTTGCTCTTAAAAGTAATAATAATATTATTATTTTTAATTTTTTTAAAAAAATTATTATTTTATTTCATCTATTTTTATATAAAAGTTGTGTTTTAATAAATTGACGTTTTTTAATTAAAAAATTAAAAAAAATATATTAAAATGAAAAATTAAGCATATTTTTATAATTAAAAATGAACAATAATTATTTTAAAAATATAATAAAGAAAAATATATTTAAATATTTTAGTTAAAAATTATTACAAGCCTTAATCAAAAGTATTTAAAAATTTTAAATATATTCTGTATTAATTTAAAAATATAAATTAATTAATAATTTTAATTATTAAGAAAATTGACAAAACATTTGGAAATAATGAATACCAATTTTTTAACTATTAATTATAAAGAACGATAAAAAAATATATCATCTTCCACTTAAATAATATAAAGTAATTCAAATTTTTGTGATAACTTATAAGATTTTGCTAATTATTAAAATTCAATTTCAAACAATTTAAAAACTTTATTGTAAACAGATATATTTTCAATATAAGAATAACAAGAGTAAAGATAATCAATCCCTTTTAAATTTGGTGATGTAATATCTTTAAGCCCTGATGATTAACATTTTAAATTTATAATGAGTGATGGCTTTGTTTAAACTAAAATTTAGGTAAAAAATTTAGAATATGATGGTAACGGATAACTATTTGATAGATGTTTATTTAGAATTTATCCAAAATTTAGCTTTAATTTTTAAGATATTATTTTAGCAAATAATTAATAAAAATAATATTAAAATTAGGAATCTAAAAAATAAGGAAAACTTTTGAAAAAAGTTGTTAATTAATAAGATTTATAAAATAATATTATTTAGGAATATAAAAATAATATTGATTTATTCTAAAAAATTAAAGGTTAAGAAATAACTTTTAATTAGGATATTTAACTATTTCATTTAGCTTCCAATAAATTTTTAGTATGTAATTACTCAGAATCAGGTTTTTTATAAAAATATATTGTTTTTCATATTTTAATATTTTTAAATTCTAATTAAACTAATTAAACATTTTCTTTTATTTTATTTTCTAAATTATTTTTAGTTATTGAAAAAGAAAACTTTAAGTTAGAATTATAACAGTTTTCGTCATAAAATACAATTTTCAGATTTATAAACTCTTATTCATATTAAATTAGAAGTAATGGGTAAAATCTAAGTTTTTGTTAAATTATTTAGTTTATTTTATGAATATTCAAATATATTTTTTATAATATTTTTACTAAAATAAATTAATTTATAGGGTAGTAAATATTAATGATTTAGTTTATATTAGTTGTTAAAATTCTTATCTTGGTAGAATACCTTATATTCGTTGTTCAGAAATAAAAAAGTTAGAAAAGAATATTAATACAATTAAAATCATTAATACCGAAGAAATAAAAAACACATAAAGATAAAACAGTTATTAATATTAATAAATATAAAATTTTCAATAAGAATAATAACAAAAATAGATTTAAATACAATAATAAAATTCATTAATGACAACGTATTCTTATTCTGAAATTGCTTAAGAATAAGTTTATATATTTAAAAAAAATAAAAAAAATATTAAAAATATTAAATAAAATCTATTTGTTATTATTTATAGGCTATAGTAAATCTACAATATTAATTTAAATCTAGAAGAAAATAAAGTGTAGATACATAAAATAAGATAAAATTATATGGAGATAGATTACAACTAATAAATCAGATTTTTTCAAACTAACAAAAACAATATTTAAATATACCTTCAAGTAATTTAAATTAAAACTAAATTGTATAAACTACCGATATTCTAACCAATTCAACTTAATCAATAACAAATTAAATGAGACAAACTTAAACTCAAAAAAGAAGATTTTCTAGTAATAATTTAAATTATTTAGAATCTAATAAGTATAATTAAGAAGCTAATGTATCATTAGATTAGAAATCTAAATGGAGAATTTTAAAATATAATAATTACGAAGATGACTAAAATTTATTAATGTATGGCGATATTATTTGGTTACATCATATTGAATAAGCTAATACTTTAATTTTGAAAAAAATAGAATAATAATTAAATGTTACTATTGAAAGCGCTACTTAAAGAGAAGTTTTTTAAAAATATGAAGGTAATACTAATGGAATGTGGGTCATTGAAAATCTTAATTTTTAAAAAGGTGGAAAAGTTAATTGGGATGATATTTTTTTGTTAAGGTTTATATTTTAAAATAAAAAATTATTTATATCATATAACTTAGAAACTTTATTACTGGATAATATCTAAATATTATAGTCCAAAATAATGAAGAATTTTTTTTTGAAGGATATTTTAATGTTTTGAATGCTCCTAATCACAGTTCGTTATTTCAGTTTACTCAACTAAATTTTTAATAGGAAACAAGCAATTTTATAAATAAAGATTCAATCTTTTATTTAAAATCTATTTTACATAAAGTAATTTTTTGTAAAATATCAAAAATTATATAAACAAACATAAATATGTAAATAAAAAGGGATGGATTCACATAAAAGAAAAATAATATTATGAAAATTAATCTTTATAGCATATAAAAGATGAATAGCTTTTTAATATGATAGGGAAACTAATAATATAAATAAGAATAAATTAACCATTAGATGAAGATGCCTTTAAGCTTTACAAAGCAACAATTGCAGAAATATAAGAAGCTAATTTTTTAGTAAGTTGCTTTCCAATTCTTAAAGCTTCGATATAATGGTTAAAATAATTGTAAAATATTGAAGATCGTAATATGTTAATAAAAGAATTAATAAAATAAGACTTTGAGGAAAGATTTAAAACTTTAAATCAATGTTTGAATGATGTAAACGATTTCTGTTAAAATAAAATAATAAATATATCAATAGAAGAGTAAACTTTGAACTTTGGGAAATTAAATTATTAAAGATAAAAATTATTAACATAATTATATTACATTGATTTGATAACTGAATTATTATAAAATTTATTAAAAGAAAAGGAATTAGTTGAAATAATGAATATTTTTTAGGAAGAAAGGAAATAAAAATTTGCTCTAAAAATAAAGTCTTGTTTAAAAAAATAAAAAGTAGTCAAAATAAACATAAGAAAACTAGAAATGTAACTAATGAATAAGTCCAAATATTATATTGAAGAATCTGAAAATATTATTTAAGAAAAAGCAAATATTTTTAGATTAATCTAACATTAAAAAAATAAAACAATGAAAAAATATGTATTTTATTTAAAATAGAAATATTCTTTAGCATAAAATGCTTATAAACTAATGATCTAAATATGCAAAAATAACAATGAAAATGGAAAATATGTATATAGTTAAAAAATAGGACTAATAAAATTTCAATCAAAATATATAAAAGAAGCTATAGATTTTATTATTTCTATAGTAGGTAAAAATGAATTTATATTAAATAATTTAACAGATGATATATATTTAGCTGAAAGAAAAAAACGAAATTTAATATCCTTGTAATCATTAACAATAAGTAAATAAAATGCACTTAATTAAATATCAGTAATATAATAAGAATTAGATTTTAATTAACTAAATAATAATATTTTATTGTATTTTATTAACTCTGTTTTATAATTAGGAAGTTAAAATAGGAACCCAAATTTCTTGTATTTTTTTCGATCTATATGCAAATTTAAGGGTAAAGGCATTTCTGTTAATTAGGAAATTATTTATAAATTTCTCTAATAAAAATAAACTTTAGAAAAATGTCTTTTCATTCCTATTTCTATTAATCCTAATAATCATAATTAAATGTTTGTTTTTTTTAAAGATAACTAAAAAACACTTTTAGACGAAAAAATACTAGGGAAAGACGTTTCTATTTATTAAAATTAACAACTTTTATATTTTGTCGAATAAATAAAACTTCTTTCTGATCTTTCTCTTTCTAGAAATTACTTATGGAATGATAGACTTGAAAAAATGTTCCCTTTAGAATATTTAATCAACTAAGTATTTAACGAAAAGCTTCATGATGAAATCAGAAGTGCTTTTTGCCAATTAGTATCAACTGTATATGTAGATCACGAGCCTTTAAATTTACTTATACTACCGAAAATGTGTAGAATATATAAATCAAAATATTAAAAATATAACTCTAAGAAATAAAAACATATAGAAGAAGTTGAAGATAATGATATTCTTAAATAATTCAATTTAAAAACTGTGTAGAAAAACAAGACTATTTTTTAACAAAGATAAAAACATTTTGAAAAGCTTGTTTTCGATTGCATATCATTCATTAATTAAAATATTAATATTATAAAATCCTTTAATAAATCCTAAGATTCTAAAAATAAAAAAAAACTTTTTTTTAAAATTCGCATTTTAATATAGTTAATGAATAGAACACAAAAATTTTATAAAATATTTTAACTTTTAATATTATAAAATTATTTATAAATTTAATCAGATGTAATATTTTAGAAATTATTAATTAAAAATAATTATATCCTGAAATTTTAAGATGTTTAGTTTAACTTTTTGAATATGATTAAGATAATTTAGTCCTAACTTTAAATTTATCAAAAAAAAGATAAGAAAAAATAGAAACCTTTCAAACTGTTCATAATTAAAGTTATTTTTCTGCCGGCCTTAGTGGCTTTAAAATTGTTGCAAACAAAATTATGGATGTTACCTAAAATTTAACTATTGGAACTATTAAAATGGTAGAATGTTTCATTGGAATGGGTAATTAAAAAAAAAAGAAGTCATCGAATAATTATCTGAATAAAGTGAAAGCTATATTTAAAATAATCCTTTAATAGGAAGCTTAATTTCTTTAATTTAATTAATTAAAGGATAACAATAAAATGAGGATTAAAATTAAAAAAATTAGATTGAAATAGATCTTAAATAAGAAATTTGTAATCTCATTCATTTTTTTCAAAATTTAAGAATGGATTATTTAATTTATAATTTCTTAACTTGGTTTGATATAATAGGTACTTTTTTATAAAAAATAAACAAATTAATAAAATTATGAATTTTATTTTTATTAAGGAAAAGATTTTAAATTATATGAATTAAATGATGAATAATTATAAACTAAATTATAATAAATAATAGATGATAAATTAATAACTGTAATTCCTAATGTTTATAAAACAGGGATTTATGATATAGATATTTAATTTAAACCAATTTAAAAAGGAATCAAAATACCTAGATTTTTCTTTTAAAAAGATAATTAAAAAATTAAAAGTAAATAAAAGCCATTTATTGATTATGTAAATGAATAATAAAATTATTTCCCAGATTTAGACTAATTATTAGTTGGAAATTAAACAAATAATAATGTAAAATTTCACAAATTATAATATTATTTATTTATATAATTATTTTTATCATTTAAAATTTAGATAATTAGTTCAGAAATATTGCCATCATTATTACTAACCTTTTATTTAATCCCAGATTTTTAATTTTTAGATAATCTATTAGGATTAATATTAAAATTATTTAGTTAAACATGGCATTTATTTAATAATCTTTAGTAATTAGAAATTTTATTTGATAAGGAAGATATATTGCCATACAAAGTATTAATTTGATTTATTTTAAATATAAACTTAATTAATATTATAAAAAGGTATATTAAGATAGAATCTATAAATTAAAGTTAATAGCCGAAAAATCTGAAGTTTGGTTAAATTAAATATCAGAATAAATAAAAGTAGAAAACTATTAGAATGATAATATTTAAGAAACTATTAATGCATTAAACGATATTAATTGCTTATTTTTTATAGGAAGCCTAGTAAATGAAGATGGATCGATTATATCTTCTTAATTTTATGATTATTATATAGAAAACCTAAATAAACCAAACTGTTATTATGTATTTGAGAAAATTAAGAAATAAAGCGTTTCATAAATTTATAAAACAAGATAAAAAATATTCACTTTTTTAGAAGGATGTTTGCCTGTAATAAATTTAATTAAAGACGCATAAAATTAATTAGCCAAATTTTTAAAATAAAATGGTGTCCCTGACTAAATTAAATAAAAAATAATATAATTATTAAAAAGTTTATATTTAGTTCTGACACATTTTTGTTTTGATGCAGAGGAAAATTAAATCTAACTTTCTCAATATATAGGATTTTTTTTGGATGAAATTGCTTTCGATTTCGGATAATTAGACCTATTAGATGCTATTTATTCAAATAATAAGTTTTTATGTGAAAGCTTTTCTGATTAAAATTTCAAATAAATTTAAAATAATATTAAAGAATTCGGAAGACAACCAAGGTTTTATAAAATATTTTTATATAAATAATATATTATATATTTAATAAATCGAAAATTTATAGGTTCATTTAAATATTAAAAGTAATTTAAGTTTATAAAAATTATTCATTTAATTCAAATATTCATTTAATTGAGAATTAAATTTAAATATTTAAATGGCTTATACCTAATCAATTTACTTAAATATTAGAATTAAATAAGTATGATTAAATATTATATGGAGAAGTAGATAATAAAAAGCTTAATTTAAGGTTCGATTTAACTATAGAAGATGAATTCGAATAAGATTATACGAACATTGATAAATAATCTCTATTAGAAAATTAAATTAACTCAAATTATTTTATTGATGTCCCTTTTGTTTATCATGCAGTCCTTATTGAAATATTAACATTAGCTATTGAAGGAGATGAAGGATTTAATATGAATGTTTAAAAAATAAAAAGTACTTTTCAATTAGATTACATATTAAATTTATTATTAGAAAGTGATGATTTAATTGATGATTTTAACAATAAAGACTTTTTGTAATTTAATGATAATTAAATATATGAAAAAAGATATAAAAATAATTTAATTTTAAGAATTTAAAATAAATAAAATGGATTCTCTATTTTGAAACCAAAAATATTAAATTTAATTAATAAAACTTATTTAAATAGTTCTTATGTAATTTTTATTTTATTTTATTTTTAATTTTTAAAATAGCCAATGATTGAAAGCTTAGAAAAAGATATTAATAAAGTTTTTGAATTTTTAAAATATGAAAAAGAAAGGTTTTAAAATCTATAATTTTACGATAATGTTAAATAATAATATTTAGATTATTTTTTGGATAACTTTGTTGTTTTTTGTACTAAATATACTAATTTAATCATTAATATAAATAGTGAATAAGACAAGGGAAGAAGAAAAGATTACAAATTAATGAATTTATTAGTTTAGCAATTAAATATTAAAAATCCTATTTTTATAAAGTCGAGCTACAGTATAATAAATAGAAATAATCTAAAATTTTATATTATCAGTAAATGAAGAATCATATAAAGACTAAATAAAATTATTAAGCTAGCCTATTTACAATAATAACGATGAAATAGATTTGGTTAAAAATAATTAAGATATAGTAATTTTTTTTTATATTTAAATTTATATATATATTTAAATAAATATATATATATTTATTTATTTATATTTTTATATATATAATTATGTATAAATATTTATATTATATATATATATTTTTATTTTTAAATATTTTTTTATATATTTAAAATAGATTGAATAAAATTAAGTTAAATGTTAATTTTTAAAATAATAATGGGTGAGTTAAGAGAATTGGAAAAAATTAATAAATTTATGTATTAATAGTGATGTTTTTTTTAATGCAAAATAAAATGAAATTTCTGCACTTGCAGAAACTATCATGAATATAGAAATCTTATATGAAGGATAAATTTAATTTAAATTTTTATTAAAAAAATTAATTGAATATTTAGATTAAGGAGTTTAAAATAGTATGGATTTTAATAACATGATATATGTATTGTAAATATTAGAAAAAATAATTGATATTAGTGAAGAAAAAGGAAATTTAGTTGAAATGTAAAATTTATTTGACTAATTAGACGCCACAAAAATGTTTCTTAATTTAATATCTAATATAAAAACATACCCTTTTGAAGATAATTTATTAATTGCTTTACTTAGCTTTATGACAAAACTTACTTCAGGTGGTAATTCGAAAGTTTAAAAAACTATTTTTAATTACTTTTTATGTTATCCTGTAAGCGAAATGCTATTTAACAAGTTTAATAATATTTTACTTGAATTTATTGAAGAACTTAAAGAAATGTATAAAAAAGAAGAATAGATTAAATTAATTAATCATAATGTTAGTACATTTTATAATTAATATAATTGTCATATAAATGAACAAAGTTAATTCAATTAAACAAATCATGCTACTGTAAAATTTTCTGGATTTGCTACTTCTTATATTTCCAATATTAATTAAAGCGTGCTTTTAAATAAAACTAATAACTTAGATAGTAGTAATTAGAAATAAGAAGTATTTACAAATTAATAAAAAAATAAAAACTCAGAACTCGTTATGTAATTATTAAGATTATTATAATTATTTTGCGAAGGACATAATCTAAATCTTTAAAATTATTTACGATATTAAACTAATAGTAGAAATTCTTATGATTTAATAACATTAGTTGTTGATGTATTTTTATTCTTATTTTATTATAAAAATTTATAAATTATTTTTTTTAAAAAAATTAAAAATTAGCTTTTGGATTAATTCTGTGTAAAATTAGTTTAATAAAATTATGAAAAAATAATAAAATGCTTAGATACTTTAACTGAATTTGTATAAGGTCCTTGTAATGAAAATTAACAAAAAATAATTGACTCAAAGTTTTTAGAAATATCTTAAAAAATATTAAAAGTTGAAAAAAATAATAACCCAATATAAATGGGAAAATCTAATATTTAAAAAAGTAAATAGAATTTAGTATCTGCAGAATAAAATAACTAATTTGATTAATAATCTAAATAAAGAAAAAAAAAAAAAAAAAAGAAGGAAAGTCAGATAAATTACTTAAATGGTAACATGAAAGGCTAAAATATAAAGTAATGATTTTAGTCACCAGTTTATTAGAATAAAATTCTGATAGCTTAGTTATTAAAAGAGTTATGAGAAGTTTACCTTTAAGTACTTTAAAAATTAACTTAGCTATTATTTATAAAAGATATAAAAAAACATTTAAAGACTAATATACTATTGATTGTTTTAATAGTGTATTTTATTATTATTATTATTATTTATTATTGTTATTGTAATTTGTATTATATATTAGTTTAATTTAAATTCTCCAGATAAAAATATAAAAAAAGAAAAATTAAGATAATATACTCTAATTACAGAAACAGGATTCTATATATATTTTTTAATCACTTATTACCTTGATTTACCTTCAAAAATTTCTTTAAAAAGCGGCAATAAAGTTATTGATTAAGATTTAGATATTGAAACAAAAAAAGAGCTTGATGATATTTAAAAAAACTTTATTCAAAAGCAGGTTGTTTTTTTTTTTAAAAAAAATATAATTTAATAATAACTTATAAAGGGAATGTTTATTTTATAAAAAAATATAATTGGATAATTATGGAAATTCTCAAATGCCATTTTAGCAGGATTATATAGTTATTTAACTTATATAATGAAAAAATTTAATAAAAAAAATGAATAGAAATATTCTAAAGATGACATAATTAATAAATTCTTTAATGAAGGAATTCTTTTTTTTAAAACTAATTCGGCTTCTATTGAAATTGTTAGAGATAATTAAATTGAAAAAGTTAGGTTCATTAAGTTACCTTATTGTCATTATTTACCTAAAGAAACTAAAGTAGAATTTTAAAATAATGTTATAAGAGATTCTATTCATTCGAAAATATAAGGTTTTTTTATAAATTTATTTATATAATTTTTAAATAGGAATTATTGATAAATATAAAAATTTTATAATAATATGTAAGCATGAAGAATAATTGGCTCTATTTTTCAATAGAAATACATTTGCAAGTATATTTGCAAATTATGTAGATATGTGGAGAGATATAGCATTTATTTTAACAATAATATTAAATGCTTTTATAATTATTAGTTATTCAGAATTTAATAATGATAGAATATGGAGTCCTAAATTAAATGATGACACAACAGTATAATAAACAAAATAACTTTTTAAAATTTTTGGATACATAATGATTTTCTGTTCTATGCTCGTATTACTTTTCTTCTTAGTTAAAAAGGGACCTCTTTATTTAAAAGAAGTATGGTAAACAAACGAGGCTTTTTTATAAATTAAAACAGGTAAAAATATAATTTTTAAAAATATTTTTTTCTTTGAAAAATAAAATAATTTAGGATTAATTGTATAATATGTAAAACATTTGTTAATTATAGTATCAAGTTTAATACGTTTTATTATAAACCCTGAAGTAGTTTATTATTTGACATATGGAACCTTAGCTGTTTTAGCAACTGAAATTCATCCATTTTTCTTTGCTTTTCATTTAACTGAATTTTTACTGAGATATCCCACTTTAAGAAATATCCTTAGGGCTGTTTATGAGCCTTATATTTCTTTGGCTTTAACATTTATTTTGATTCTACTTTTTATTTATTTCTTTAGTTTATTCGGATATATTTTTTTTGATAAAGCATATCATGGAAGATGCTAAGAATTATATTTGTGCTTTTTTGAAACTTTTGATTAAACATTCAAAAATAATGGAGGTTTAGGAGGTTTTTATGAATCTAATGATCCTAAATAAAGTAATGATTATAATTATGAAAGATTTTTCATTGAAAGTTTCGCAAATATAAGTATTAACCTTGTAATAATATAAATTTTTTCAGGTATTATTATCGATAAATTTAGTTAGCTAAGATCTGAAGAATTAGAGAAGATTATGGATATTTAAGAGATGTGTTTTATATGTGGAAATACAAGGTTTTGTCTTATTTATTTTAACATTTAAAAAATATATAAAATTAAACATTATAAGGGAACTATTTGATAGAAAAAGTGATTAAGGATTTGTTCAACATATAAAAAATGAGCATTACTTATGGAATTATGTGTTTTATTTGGGTTTTTTATAAGATAAAGAAAGTACTGAATATACTGGAATAGAAAGCTATGTATCTGAAAAACTCAAATCTAATGATACATCTTGGTTTCCTATTTAAAGAGCTGCAATTTTAGTTGATGAAGAAAAAAAAATATAAATGGAAAATAATGAATTTACAGATTTTTAAGATGAAGTATTTTAATAAAATTAGCATTTACATTTTTTTTAAATATAAATATTATTAATCTTATTTTATAATTTTAATAAAAAAGATAAAATAGCTGAAAAGATATTAAATGTATATTTAAGAAAATTCGAACATTATTAAATAATTAGAATAAAATGTTAAAATTAATATGAAGAAAAACGAGCATAAATGAGCATAAATAATTTTAATGATTAAATTTATATTTTGTACAAACTAAGACATTTAAATTTATAAAAATTATTAATTATGACTAAAAAGAATATTTCAATAATATATAATATAGAAAACTATTTAAATTGATATATATAATAAATATTTATATATTGATATATAAAATATATATATATATTAATATATAGTACATATGTATTAATATTAATAAATATATATATATATTATTATTTATATATATATATATATAAATTATAATTTATAATTATATTATTATTTAATAAATAAATTATTTACTTGTTAATTAATATTTAATTAACTAAATAATATGTAATATATAATATTTTAATACTATCTTATCTTTAATTCCAAAAAAATATATTTTTTATAAAAGATAATTGATATTGATATAGTATTCTATAAAAAAATATATAAATGAGAAAATTTCTCCGAACAATAAAACCTCAAGATCTTCGAATCGAAACTATAGGATTTATCGGTTTAGGCAACATGGGAGGTCCAATGGCATTGAATTTATAAAAAAAAGGTAATTACGAGGTTATAGCATATGATGTTAGTTAAGAATAATTAAATAAATACTAAAAAGAAGGTTTAAAGACATGCACAACATTGAAGGAGTTATCAAAAAAAGCAAACAAATTTATAACTATGTTGCCTAATTCTTCACATGTTCAAACTGTATGTGAAGGTCCTGAAGGATTGTTTGCTTAATCAGAAAAAGGAAGTTTAATAATTGATTCATCAACTATTTCTTTTTAATCAGCATTAAATTTATACAAAAGTGCTTTATAAAACTCCAAAAAATATATCGATACTCCTGTTAGTGGAGGAGTAGGGGCTGCTACAGCTGGAACATTAACATTTATGGTAGGAGCTGAAAATATTTAAATATTTAACGAATGTAAAAATTTGCTTTAATTCATGGGAAAAAATATTATTAACTGTGAAAAACCTGGAGCTGGTTAAATTGCTAAAGCTTGTAATAATATGGCATTAGCTATTTAAATGATTGCTACAAGTGAAGCCATTTCTTTAGGAGTTAAATTAGGAATCGACCCAAAAATCTTAAGTAATATTATTAATACTTCAAGCGGTAGATGTTGGAGTAGTGAAGTTTATAACCCATGTCCTGGAATTATGGAAAATGTACCTTCTAGTAAAAATTATGAAGGGGGATTTGCTACTGAATTAATGATTAAAGATCTTGGGCTAGCTGTGGAAGCTGCTAAATAAGTTAATGCAGATACACCATTAGGAATTCATGCGAAATATATTTATGAATAAATTATTAAGTCAGGATTAAATAGAAAAGACTTTTCAGTTGTATATTAGTTGATAACATAAAATAAAATAAAATGAAATTTATTTAATCATTAAAAAAAAAAATTAAAAAATTATAAATATATTGAAATTATAATATTTAAATGTATTTAAAATAATTAAAACATAATGAAATATTAAAATATTTATTTATAAATTATTAAAATAAGATAAAATAAATTAATAAAACATGTAATTATATATATATATATAGATATAGATATATATATATATAAAAATTCTTTAAATAATAAATTTATTATTTAATTTATTTATTAATTTTTTTATTAAAAAATATGATTTTTAATTTAAATTTATTCATAATATAATAAATCTTTAAATATTAAAAAATTATCAAAATGATAAATCTAATTATTCAATAATCATATAAGCGAATTCATATTTTACGCTTTGAAATTTTCTTTTTAGAGCGCTTTACTGATTATTTTATTCATTTTTAATGTGTAATTGACATATAAAATTAGAAATCTCTTAAACTTATTTTTCTTAAACATTAAATTCATTAAATAAATACTATATTTTTTATTCTAGATTTCCTTTTCTATTTTTATTTATTAAAGTATATATAGCTGCACTTGTTACTAAACTAGGAGAAAATTTAATTCCTTCATAATTAAAAATACATAATTCTATAAAATATTATACGACAAAAAAATATTATTTGTTAAATTATAAAATAATTTGAGCTTTCTCCAAAAAACGGAAAGGAGTTGTCATCGAAATATTAAAATCTAAAGCTTTTAACATATTACCTTCACAATTTAATACATCTTCCTTACTATAAGCTCCATCACATATATAAACTAAATCTTTTAATTTAGGAGGATATATTTCTTCATATTTACAAGCAATAAATAAGGCTGAAATTCCAACCAATTGAAATTTACTTTTTTGGATTTTTTATATTTTAGATAAATAAATATCTATTATTTATATTGTAAAATGCAATGTTTCACTTTTTAATTCAAATTTAAAATGGACATCTATTAGCCAATCTATTAATATTAATCTCATTTTTGTATTTATATTTGGTTAGTATCCATTTTCTATATATGGTTCAATAATAAATTCTTTCTTTTTTTTTAATTATAATTTATATATATATATAAATATAAATATATATATATTTATATATATTTATATATATATATATATTTTTATATTACTTCTTTTTATAATAAATAATTATTTATTTCGTCTATATATTATTTGACTTATGATGGTATTCTTATATTTTCTTATTCAAGATTTTACTTAGAAAATAATTTTTGTTAGGATTCTACCTTTGATTATATATCCAATTTTTATATTTATTATTTTTAACTCATATGATCATATTCTACATCCATTTTGCTTTTCTTTTATTTTGTTTTAAAATATAAAAATAAATATTGATATTATTAATGTTTTAAAATACATCTATTTATTAGTTATTTGTAGATATGTTTGATATATCTGTCCCAAATATTCTATTTGAAAATGCATTTTACAGTTATTTACTATTCTATAGATTTAATTATTAGTTTTAAGTGTTCTACTAGAATAATTTATTTATGTTTATTAATAATATTAAATTATATAATATATTATACCATAATTGGATAATAGCAAGATTGAAATATTTAATTTATCATTTTTTTATAAAAAATATAAAATAAATGTAATAAAAAATTTTATTTTTAATTAAGTATTTTACAAAAAAAATCTGAAATTCAAATTATTAAAAATTAATTTCTGTTAAAAATAATTAAAAATAATCAAAATAGAGAAAAAAAACAACAAAAATTAAAAACACATAATTTTTATATAATGAAATTCTTAATTATAAATAAAAAATTTTAAATAAAAATAATAAAATAATAATAATAATTATAATTATCGAAAGGAAAAGACTTTTTTATGGAAATTATTAAATATGAAAATATTAAAAATAAATTTTATTATTAAAACAAAGAGTTATATTATCATATAATAATTATTTATTTTTTTATTCAAATATTAATACGAAAACAGATTTAAATTTTAATTTAAAAATAGATTTAAATTTGAAAAAAAAAAAAAAAAAATTAAAAATAATTTAAATTTTTTCAAATTAAATAAATAGAAATTTAACAATATTAAATATATAAAATTTATATATAAAATAATATATATTATAAATTAAAAAAAATAGTATGAGAACAATTTTACATATTAAAAATATTATTTTAGTTAACTATATTTTAAAAAATATAATTATAAATTTTATTTCATTTTAACAAAATAAGCTTAAATTTTTATTAATTTTTTTTTATATTTTAAAGTTGAGTAAAAGTAAAAATTATTTATAAATTTTAATATTATATATTTTTATAATTAAAACTATTTTATATATTTTGTAATTAAAATTTAATAAAAATTGCACTATTAAACTTTAAATGAGTTTCAAACAAAAATAAAATTAAATACATATTATTCGAAATTTTCTATATGCATCAAAATATTACAATTGTTTTATTTTTCATCACTTTTATTTAAATTGTGATCCAAAAAATTATCAACAGATACCAATTTAAATTACTTTTATCTTATCACGAGTTAATATTTTATAAAATTCAAAATAATCAGCCAACTTTATTAAATGATATTTAGTTAAATAAACTAAATTTAAATTTTCATTTATTCACTATAAAGTTACTTTAATTTATTAATTTCTTACAAAAATATAGTTAGGGAAAATTAAATTTACGTATTTATAAAATGAATATTATATGGTAGTTTTTTTTTGACAGAAATACTATATATTTATTTAATAATTATCATCTATTTTAAACAAGTAATATTTATTAATATACATGAAAAGAATAAAGGAATTTAAGTTAAAACTCAAATTATTTTTACATTTCAAATAAAAAAAGTATTGATTTGTTAATTATTTATTCAAATAATTTAATTTTTTATAAAAATATTAAAAATAAAGAATATAATATAATATAATAGATGAATTAAATGAATTTAAATTTTTTGCATCTATTTCATAAAAATTGTAGAAATTAAAAAAATTAATAAAAAATTTTATTATGAAAAATAATAATTGTTTAATAATAAAATCAAATACAATTAATATTTTGCCTTATTTTATTTGAATAAAATATTATATTGAAAATTTTCTAAGTATATTTAAAAAAATTAGAGATTATATAAAAAAATTATAAATTTTTATTTTGATTTTATAAGTATTTGCAAAATAATTATAAATTTATTTTTAATTTAGATGAAATAATGGTATTATTTTTTTATATATAAATCAAATCTTAAGTTTAATACAATTTTTAAGTTTGAAATAATAATATTTGTATAATAATAATTATTTTTATTAAAAATATTGAAAATTTTAAATTTAATTATTATTATTATTATTATTATTATTATTATTATTATTATTATTATTATTAATATTTTTTTTGTTTTGTTTTGTTTTTTTATTTTTTTGATTATATTTTTTAATTTTTTTTTTTTTATATACTATTTCTTCTGTTTTAGAAAGATAATATTTTAACTAACCTTATTATTATTTATACTATTTTTTTTTTTATTATTTTTTTTTATTTGACTATATAATATTTAGTATCATAATTATTAATTTATATTTCTTATTTTATTTATATAAATATCTATTTTCATATTAAATAACTTTATATATATTTTTTTTTTTACATTTTTAAACTTATTTAATATTTACTCTATTTTTTTTTTATAAAATTTAAATAATAAATAAATTCAAATATATAATTTTTCTTAAAAATTGATATCTTTCTTTATATTTATTTTATAAATTAATATCTTTCTTTAATTTTATTTTTATTTTTATAAAAATCTAAAATTCATATTTTTTTTATTATTATATATTTATTTTTTTACATATTTTTGCAAAAATTTATCTTTACTGCTCATTATATCTTATTTATTTATATTAATTTTTTTAGTATTGTTATTGTTCAAATATTAAAAGCCTTATTATATTTTGATTTAATATAAATTTATATATTTTAATCATTTTAATTTTTCCTTTTTATTTGAATTATATATTTCAGTTGATTTCTTTTTATCAAATTTATATTATATAAAAGATTCGTGATGTTTTTTATGTATTTTTATTAAAATAATTTTTTATTTTCAATCTACTATTATTTTAAATTTTATAGTTACTTAAATAATTCTTAAAATACATTTAATAGAACGTATGTGTTTAAAATATATATTTATATTTTTTTATTAATTAAAAAATAAATTTTTAATTATTATTAATATTTTAATTTTATATTTTTATATATTAGTTTATGTTATATTTATTATTTAATTTTTAAAAATAAAAAATTCTTATAATTATTTTAAACAATTCTCAATTATATTTAATATTCAAATAATAATAACCAATTTAAATATATATTTATTTCTCCTAATAAATCATTAATTATTATAATTTATATTTATTATTTTTTAAACAAAGATTAAGCCCAAATATTTTCTGTTATTTAAATATGCATAAGTTTAATAAGTTATTAAGTAATGCAAGACAATTAATTTAGCTTATTTCTTTTCAATATCTTAAACGAACATAATACAAGCATAAACAAGCAGATAATCATATACTTACTTTTAAAAACTAAAAAATTACTTTAGTACTTATTTTATATTATTAAAACAAGATATGATAAAAAGTAATTTAATTAACATTTTTATAGGCATATAAATATTCATAACAATAGTTTTATAAAATTTACAATAAATAATTCTTATAATTTATTTTATATAAAGCAATAATTCCACTATTAGCTATATCAATTAAATAGCCGTAAAATTTTAATCTTATTTCTAAAACTTTAAGAATAAAATCTTTATCATAATTAATTTAAACAAAAGCAGAAATTTAATTTTTGTAAACATTATATAATTTTTTATTTTATTTAGGATATATTTGCTTCTTTTTTTTTGAAAATTATTGATATTTGATGATTTCAATTTAAAGTATATGCAAACTACTTTTTTGGTTAAGCATTTTTTGATTGAAAACATCATTATTAACTATGGTTTTAATTTCAATTTTAATTATTATTATGATTACTTATTAAATTAAGTCTAATACCATTTTTTTCATCAAAATCTTTACTATTAGAAACGGAGTTTTCTTTTTTTTTCACTACTCTCCCCTTTTTTTTTTATAAAGTTTAAAAATAAAAATATTTAAATAGAAAATTTTAGAATAAATATATATTTTTTTTATTAATTTAATAAAAATAGTATTTTGAAAAAATATGATATACAATATAAATTTTTATTTAGTAATATCTATCTTAAAACTATAAATAAAATAAAAATATGATAAAAAAATTAAAAATCCATAATTTATTCAAATAAATAGATTTACAAAATAAAAAATACTTATATTTTACCAATTAAAATATAAACTAAATTCTAATAAATGAATTAAAATAAAAAATAATATTTTCTAACAATAATTTAACCGAAACAGAATATAAATTTAAAATAGATACATTATTTTAATCATTTCCATTAATTGAAGAATTAACATAAAACGAATAAAATCAAATAAAAGATTAATATGAGAATATAATAAACAATATTTTTATAGACCAAAAAATAAAAAAAAGACCAACATAGAAATAAACAATATATTACAAAAAGCAATATAAGAAAATTCAATAGAAATAATAAAAAAAGAAAATTTAAAAATTTAAAAAATTCAGACAAATTCTAATATACCATTTCAAATAAAAAATTTAGGACAATTAAAAATATATGGTTTGAATATAGATAGAACTAAAAATGATTATATTCATAAGTATAAATATAATAAAGAAAATCAAAATACTTTGAAATTCCAATTAAGGTTTACAAATGAAGATAAATACGAAGATAAAACTTTAAAAGAATTAGCACCTGAAAAATTTAATTCAAAAAAAGAAAAATTTAAAGAATAAATAAATGATATTGTTAAAGAGTAAAAATAAAATAATGATGTTTCTTTTAGAACTTTTATTAAATCTTTCTTTTTAAAAACAGGCATAATTAAATAAGATTAAAATGAATTTAATTAATATTCTGAATAACTTTTTTAGATGTAAAAAAAAGCTTTCTAATAAGTAAATACTCGTAGAGATTTTATATTTGTTTAGGATTTTCTTATTTAATCTCATATTAGTTTTTAAATAACCACAAATGATGATACTGTAGTTTGGAAAGATAATTGTGACTCGGATGGAATGTTTAAACACTTTATTAGAACTGAGTTTTCTGGATCTGATTCCGAAGCTCCTTCTTTAAAATATTAAAGAAAAAGATTAATTTCCGATATCGATGGATTTTTGAAAGGAAATCCTCTTTGTTTTGTTAAGCAATTCTATTAATCTAGTTAATAATTATAAAATTGAAAACAAATTTTTTATTCTAATATATATTATTTATTCTATGTTTAAAAAAAAATAAAAAAAAATGAAAAAATAAATCATAATTTAGAAATAATAGGATAATCAGCAAAAATAGCCTTTTTAGCTAATTCAGTAACAGAATTAGTTTAAAGTAAATTTTTTTTCATAAATCTATAAATAGATTCTTCAATTTTTTCAATCTACTCATTAGAAATTTTACATTTAATAAATACTTCATTATTATTATCACTTTATTCAATTTCCAAATATTTTTCTTAAACAAATTTATCAATTCCATTCTTAATATTATCAATTTAGCAACTTTCATGGAATTAAATTATCCTTTCGTCATGCATATTTTCACCAAAAACTTAAATTTATTAATAGAAAGTTTAAACCGGAATATTTTTATTTTTATATCTTGATAAAGGATATATATAAACTGTTACAAGCCAATAAGTTTCTAAAATTGGCCAAATAAAATTACAATTGAAAATTATTTATTCTTGATCAATAACATAAACTTTATTATCTTAAAGTTTTATAATTTCCAATTCAATCATTTTAGGTATATACTACTACTCAAATTCTGATATATTAGTTATGGTTTCATTTAAAATATATTCCTTTTATAACAAATTTAATAAAAAATAATACTCTTTCCATATTTTTTGGGCTAGAATTCCCTCTTGAAAGGCCATTTGATTCCCAAAAGACATCAAAGCAACCGAAAATACTGCTTCAGTACAAAATACATGAAATATTGAATTTCTGTAATAATTTAAAGTTAATAAACTTGTGAAAGAATTTACTGGTTTTACTTCTTTTAATTCAAAGGGATCTTTTTTATTCTTCACTATTGAATTTTATAATAAATTCATTCCTGTCCTTAAAGTTATTATTGCTCCAGATTTATCATTAGGTATAGATATTTTTCCTTTTCTTTAAAGTATTTTAGAATTTAACCAATATATTTTTTCAAGTAATTATTATTCTCTCAACCCTTTTCTATTACTTAATAAAAGCGCAGAAACAATACCAGTAGGCATACAAACTAATTAAGAACTCAATTAAAAAGTGATTAATTAACTTATATCTTAAATACTTAAAGACTAGTGTTTTTAAACAGAAATAGGAGAACATATATTAACATAAATTCTTCCATAATTATTTTTAAAAGATTTTAAATATTGGATTAAATTAGGCATATTATCTTAATTATCTCCTGAAAAATCAAATGGAAGAAAATCAGCTTCGAAAACCTTTTCATAATTAAGTGTTATCGGTAAAATCGTAGCTTCTTTTATCTTCCCATTTTTAACTGCATCGAAAACTACACTAATAAAACTATTATCGATTTTATTTATTTTTCCATTTCTTGATCTACTATTTTCAATAAAAAATTCCAAAGGAGTATCATCCATTAATAACTATAAAATATATTATTAGAATACAGCTGAATAAATTTTTTCAGATTTTTTTGATTGCTTTTTCCTTAAAAAAAAAGTCCCAAAAGCTCTCAAAATATGAATTAGAATTGGCTTTTATAACAAACTATTTTAATGAGTAAGTATATGGGGAGAGCGCATTTTATAAGCAAAAAACAAATAAGATACTAATAATGAATCTATAAATGATTTATGAGTAGGTATTATAATTAATGGCCCATGAATTGAAGAGTCGTGATTTAATAAAGAAGAGAATTATTCTTCATTAATACATATTTTTTCATATATTTTTTTAAATATTTTATGCAAAAACCAAGCTGTAATTTTTATCCAAGTGGGATTATATGAAGAAAACATTTCCTTTATTATATTTATTGCTTATTAGTTAATTTAATCAACTAATTGTGCTGAATAACCTTCATTTAACGTTCTTTCTTCAATTACCTATTAAATAGCGCTTTAAACTTATTGAGAATTAAGAACTAGAATTTAATATTCACTTTAAGGCCTTATTTTAATAGGAGGACTATGTGAAAGAACCCAATTAATATCAGAGAAATAATATGATTCTTAGAGAATATTTTTGGTAGGAGGTTCAACTTATTCATTAAGAATAAATCTACGTAAACCCCAAGAAAACATAAGTAAATACTATTCCCAATTAATATTGGAATAATCCAAAAAGAACATTTTTTATTCCTCTGGGCTTAATTAATTTCTCAAAGGAATGATTTTACTATTATTAAAAATCCATTCATTAGAGCAAAAATGACTAAAAAGAGCACTTACTTCTTCTGATTTATAAACCATTTTTTAATATGAATTTGCTTTTTTTTATTAATTTTTATCACCAAAATATTATGCGAATTTTACTAGAGAAAACGCTTCTAATCTTCTCTTTATTTAATGAAATTTTAATAATTTCTAATTAGTCATTAGCTGCAACTTTATAGTTTATATTTTTTTCTCAGGAGGATTATGTAAATAATAATTCTTCCCAACTTTAAATGAAAGACCCCATGTCATTGGATTAATTGAAGAAGTTGCAGAATGAAAAACATTTAATTTTTAATTATTAGAAAATAAAGCACCTACGACAATTATTTAATCAGAAACGCAATCTACAGGAATAATATCTCCTATTTTTTGTGCATCACAATGTATATGAGTGAGCATTCCAATTGCACTCAATATGAAAATTGCAGAAGCAGCTGTTACCCCTTCTACCCAACCTTGGGTTGGCTATTCCACTGAAGAACCTATTATCGAAGGTCGAATTATCGTTAAAGTCATTTAAGGAGGTTTTAATTTCTTAAGTATTCTTTCTACTGCAGATTTTGTAAATACATAAGTGTTTGGATATTATCCTAATATTGTTTTGGTTTATGTAAGCATTTCTTATTCAGGTAAAGCTTCTAGATCATTCATTAATTATTCTGTATTTTAGTTTATATCGTAAATTTCTTCCTCAATCCATCCTCGTTTGTCACTGTTTACATAGGCAGTTGAAACATGTATAAATTGATTTAAATTTTGACAACTCTTTGCCAAATCAAAAATACGTAAAGTCCCACGTACATTCATTTAAATTGCATTTGTAAGTTTAGCGTTGAAATCTACCGATGCTGCACAGTTTATTATTAAATCTAAATTTTATATTAGAATACTTCTATCTTCAGTCGATAAGCCTAGACCTTCTTAGAGTAAATCACCTTTTATTTTTTAAAAAAATAAAATAATATATTTTTTTTATTGTATTACCTTGTATTAAATGGACTTTTTCTTATACATAACTAGTAAACTATTCACCATATCTTCTTTTTAGTGTTTCAAATATTTCAGAATCCATAACTGTTTTATTAAATCTTTCCTATATTGTCGATCCTTTTAAGGAACGTATAAGTAAATATATTTTTCCAACTTATGGAAGCGCTCTAAGATATTTTTCGAAAATCACTTTACCTAAAAATCCGGTAACACCTGTTAATAATATATTTTTATTAATGTAAAAGTTCTATATTTTCATAAATTTTAATATAATAATATTTTTTATGTAAAAATTTAATAAATTTTTTTTTTTAAATTATTTTACTTTAAAATAAAATAAATTAAAGATATAATATCTAATAATAATTTTTATTTATGCTACTATGTATAATCATTATGGTATATAAAGTTATTATGATTTCAATTTTCTTTACATTATATTTTTAAATACTTTATTATGATTTTTTTCAAATAAAATTAAAATTAATTATATAAAATAAATAAATTGCAAAATCAATATATTATAATATAATTACATTTAACTAGAAAATTTTTAATTTTTAATTTAATATGTTCTTCTTAATTTTTTATGTTTTCCATTTTTGCTAAACATAATAACATTAAAAAATTATAGAAATAAATTATGGGAAACCTTCAAATATTACAATGAACTACAACGAAGCAATATTCGTAGAATTTGATTAAGGAAATGATATAATTGACAAATACAAGCATCCATATTTTTGTAATTTTGTATAATCTTAATTTACAACAAAAAATATTCAATAAATAAATTTAAATGAATATTGTAATGAAAACGATTGCTTGATTTCAATAAATATATATAATAAATTATATATTTATAATTTATAATAAAATAATATATCAATAATTTAATTAGATTTTTAAAATTAGTAATTTATTAAATAATAATTATAATAATTCATACTTTATAATTAAGTACAAAATAATTTTATAGTGATTGTCCCAAATCAGGTATATGATTTAAACTTTGTTTTATTTGGAAATAATTAAATGTGTATTATTGAAGATAATATATTTTTTTTCTAAACTTTTAATTAAGAAATAGATCCCTCTTAAATTATTCTATATAAAGATAAATTATTTGTAGGAAACATTAATCAAAACATAGTTTTAATTTTTGAAATAAATTTTACTTAAAATTAATTAATTTTAATTGGTGATATATAAGTTTAAGCATATTTAAATGATCACTTAAACAATATTAAAATCAAATTGCTTTAAATTGTTGAATAATCAGAATTATTATATTAAGTTTTTATTTTTGAATATAATTTACAACAACTATTAATATTCAATTATAATATATAAACTCAAAAATACGTTTTGATAAATAATGTAAAATATAATTAATTGATAACATAATTAAAAACAGAAAATGATATTCAATATATTTTAAAATAAAAAAGAAAAGGTTAAAAAAATAACAGTAATTTAGAAATATTAAAAACTACTTATGATTTTTAATAAAATAAATATAACTTAGGCTCTTAGGTTTAAAAAGTTGAAATGTCTCAAAAATTATTATATATTTTGTAAGATGATGTTGTAGCTTTAATTTGGAAATTTATTCCTTAAACTATATTTAAAAAAAATAATTTCTAGCAAACTATTGGATGCTTTAATAATATAGATAATATGTGGCCTTTGTACGTCTATCCAGTTAAATAAAATTTTAGTACTGTATATAATTCTAGTCTGACAATTAATTAAACTTAACTTGACAACTAATAATAATCAAAAATTATATATCCAGGTAATATAAGTATGACAAGTTAATTTTATGATTATTTCATAACTTTAAATAAAAATACACTTTAAATATATTAAGTAGAAGAAAAACTGCCGTATCTTATGTGCGATTCAAATAATTTAGAAGATACTTAATACGACTATTATTGCAAAATTAGAATATATACCCTTAATAATAATTATACTGAAATATTATATATTTAGCTTAATAGAGAAATATTTTAAAATACAACCATTGCTTTTATTGTAGGTCTATCTTTAAGCCTCACTATCTCTTTATTTATTATTATTAGATTTTGTATTTACTTCTATAGATAGAAGCATTAGTATTAACAATTATACTAAGAATAAAAACAATCTAATGACTCATTTGAAAAAGAAATATAATAATAATAAAATTAATTATAAAAATTAAAGCTTGTATAACGTAATAATTAAAGGTGATAAAATACCATTAAGTTTTTCGATTTCATATATTATTATTATAAAATACTATTATTAGAATATATATAATAATTTATTTAATTTTTATATATATGCATTATATGTTTTTATTTTTTCTCCATTATATAAAAATATTAAGAATAATTTTTGATTTATTATTTTTTATAAAATATTTTTATAAAAATTAAATTCATAGAAAATAAATATAATATAAAAAAGTAGAAATGTCAAAAAATATAATAGATTTTCTTAAATATAATCATAGATAGTAATTAAGAAGAAAATAAATAGCTTAAAAATTTTAATAAACTCGAAACTTTTATTTATAAGTTTATTAAAATGATAAAAAGGTTATAAATAATTAAAATAATTAAAATATAAATAGTATGATATTAGTAAATTGCAAATTAAAAGAAGAATAAATGAATTATTTACTTAATTATTTTTAATTTTTGGTCTGTAATAATAATGAGAAAGAAAAAATATTATAATTTATATTATAAATTTATTAAAATAATTTAAATTATTTCTAAAATAATTTAAATAACTAATACTTATTTAATTTGAATTTAATAAAATATTTATAAGAGGCTAATAATGATACGATTTTACAAATTTTAATCAATTATTAGCAATAAATAAGATAAATTCTAAAAATTAACATAATTTAATAAGATAATATGAGTTAATGCTTAACAATAATTAATTTATTTACACTTTTTATACTTTAAAGTAATTTTAATTAGCAAATTTTTATTTTGACCAAAGAAGATTTTATTCCATTAATTAAAATGTGCATTTTTAAAAACTTTTCTTTAGTAATAAAATAAAAATGTTATATTACTTTAAAAGATTTATCCTTATGTAGCAATGAATACAAGGACTTAATTATTTATAGTGATATTATTTAAAAAGATTTCAAAGCAAATATAGAATCAGAATGTCAAGATGATGTATTTTATTTATTTTTTTAAAAAATATTTTTTTATTCTAAATAAATTAAAGTTAAAAAAAGCTTCATTTTAAATAGTGATTAATTTATTTTAATCATGCGATCAGTAAAAAAAAAATTATATAATATTAATTAAAATAAATATATATTTTTAAAATTAAAAAAATAATAATAATATAATTTAAATAATTTATAAATTATGAAAATGTATATTCTTAAATTTATAATTTTAAAATATTTAGTAAAATTTTTTTATTTATTTAAAATATATAAATTAAAAAAAGTAATCATTAATATGTTTTATTCTAAAAGAATATTTTCTAAGAATTTGTTACCAATTTTCCTAAATAAAATTTGAACTCATATTAGTTTTAGTAATTTTTGAAAACTCTTTTATATATTTTCGAGAATGGAGAAATTTTAAAAACAATAATGTCACTAAAATATAATATTTTTGTCAATTATTTTAAAAAATATATTAAACAAATAAAAATAAATAATTTAGTTGCTATTAATTAAGAAATAATTTTTTTGGCTTAAGAAATTTAATAAAAATATTTAAAATAATGAAACTTATTAGTTTAAATGATTAAAATAAAATAGTTAGTTATATATTAAAATCTTTATATAATAAAAATGAATAGTTAGAACTTTTAAAATAAATATATATTAATACATTTAATTCAATAAAAATATAAATATATAATTAATTTTTTATATATATAAAATAGATAAATTTGTTTATTTTAAACATTTTAAATATTTTAAATATTTTTTTTAGTATAATAAATAAATAATTTTTTTTAAATAAAAAAAAAATGGGTTGTAATACATCAAAAAGTTAAAATTAGAAACAAAATAACAACAGAAATCAAAAAAATATAAATTAAATTTCTTAAAAAATTCAAAACCCATAATAAAGTATTTAATGTTTTAAAAATATATATATATTTTTTTTAAAAAAAAATAATAATATTAAAATATCCAATTAATTTATTTATTAATTGACTAAAAAATACTTATTTATATAGATATTGATAATTTAAAAGATGTGTACTTTTCTGCCGGTAATATGGTTGGAGAAAAAATGGGGAAAATTAATAATGATTACACTTTAATGAATCCACCTTTAGGGAAAGGCATATATTTTTAAAAATGTTTTTATTTTTAAAATAATTATAAATAAAAATATATAAAATAAAATATTAAGGTGCTTATGGAGAAGTAAGAAAAGCAGTTCATAAATAAACATAAATGATTAAAGCAGTTAAAATTATTAGTAAAGCTCAGACACCAAAATAAGAGTAAGAAAGGTTAAAAGTTGAAGTTGAAATACTCAAAAGTTTGGTAATAAATTAAATTATAATATATATTATTATAAGGTAGTTATTCAAATTTAAAATAAAAGTTAAAAATATATTAATTTTTATTAATATAAACTGAATATAATAAAATACTTTCAAATAATAAACTTTCAAAATTTTTATTATAATATTTTATAATAAATTAAACCATATATATTTTAAAATAACATTTTACTATTTTCAAAATAAAAAAATTATTATATAAAGATAAATTAAAATTAAAATAATAATAATAAATAAAATAAATAATAGGATCATCCAAATATTATAAAAGTTTATGAATTTTACCAAGATTCAAGATTTTTTTACATAGTAACTGAATTATGTTAAGGAGGAGAACTATTTGATAAAGTTATCGAAGAAAAATAATTTACAGAAGCTAAAGCAGCTGATACAATAAAACAAATACTTGGAGCAGTTTATTATTGTCATTAAAATAATATAGTCCACAGGGATTTGAAACCAGAAAATATATTATATGAATCAAATAAACCTGGAGCTTTAATGAAATTAATTGATTTTGGAACATCTATAGCGTTCGACCCTAATGAAAAGTTAACTTAAAAGCTTGGAACACCTTATTATATAGCACCTGAGGTATTAGAAAAAAATATGATAATAAATGTGATATTTGGTCTTGTGGTGTTATTTTATATATTTTGCTATGTGGATACCCACCTTTTAACGGGAGTAATGACAATGTTATAATGGATAAAGTAAAAACTGGTAAATATAATTTTGATGGAGAAGAATGGACATATGTATCAGAAGATGCAAAAAATTTTATAAAAAAGCTTTTAGAAAAAGATATAAAAAAAAGATATTCTGTAAAAAAATAATAAAATATAAATAAAAAAAAAAACATTAATAATACTTTTAAAAGGCAATTGAAGCATTAAATGATCCTTGGATTAAAAAACATAGTGATAAAATTTAACTTGATATGCCTAATTTAATGAACTCACTTAAAAATATGAGAAATTTTAGAGTATAAATTTTGATGATATATATATTAAAATATATTAATTATAAATTTTTTTTTTATATATATATTTTTATATTTATATATATATATATATATATATATATATATATATTTATATATATTATTATATTTATATTTATATCTTATGCTTTTAGGCAGAGAAAAAATTATAAGAAGCAACTTTAATGTTTTTTGTGAATAATTTAGCTACTAAAGAAGAAAAAAATGAATTATTAAAAGTTTTTTAGTCTTTAGATACTAATGGTTTTTATATTATAATTTTTATTCAAAAAAAAAAAATTAATAGGAGATGGTAAATTAAGTAGAGAAGAACTTATAAATGGCTATAAAAAAATACTTAATTAAGGAGAAGAAATCGAAGCTGAAGAAGAAGTAGATAGAATAATGAGTACTGTGGACAAAAATAATTCAGGTTCAATTGATTATACAGAATGGGTAATGGCAACTATCAATAGAGAATAATTATTATCTAAATAAAGATTAGAGTTGGCATTTAAAATTTTCGATAAAGTATTTATTTTTACAATTTATTTTAACATTTAAAAATATAAGGATGGAAGCGGAAGTCTTTCCGTAGATGAAATAAAAGAAATGTTTGGTACATAACTAGGAATATCAGAAAATGTTTGGAAAGCAATGCTCAATGAAGTAGATGATAATGGAGATGGATAAGTAAAAATCTTTTTTTATTTTAAGAAAAATATTTATTATATTTTAAAATTATTAGATTTCATTTAAAGAGTTTAAAGAAATGATGCTTAAATTAGTTGACAATGAACAAAAGAATACAATTAATGATTTAACAAAATAAAATTGAATCTTAACTTTTTTCTTTTATTTATATAATTCTTAAAAATTTATATTATTATATAAATAAAATTATATAATTAATTTATTTTTGAAAAAAAAAAAAAAAAATATTAAAGAGGACTTTATTAATATTTATAAAATTTAGAAGAAATTTATTTAATAAAATTTAAATTTAATTTTTAAAGTTTTATGTATCTAAGATTTTAAAAAAATTAATTAATAAATTATATTTTTATTAATTTTAAATTAAATGGGGATATTATAATAAAATAGACAATTATAATAAATATAAGTTGTAAAAATCTTTAATAAAAAAAATATTTTAAATTTTTTTAACTTTATTATTTTAAATTAATTTCTATTAAAGATTATTAATGTTAAATTTAGTTTCATAAAATAAGGAAAAATGTCCATATTGTTCTAAAGATGAGGTTCACTACCTATCAGTAAATGAATACAATAAATAATTTTTATTAAAAAAAATATTTTTTTCCTAAATTTATACTAATTAATTTAATATAATATAAGATCGAATTAAAAAAAGGTCGGATTACATCTCATATAAATGAAAACTAATCAAATAAAATTTAAACAAATATATATACTGTAAAAAAAAAAAAATTAAATAATAAATTTTTTATTAATTTTTTATAGAATATGTCTATTTTACCTAAAACAATTTATTAATACTTTACAAAATTAGGAAATATTTTTTTTTTAGTAGTGTCATTAATTATGTTAATAAGATAGGATTTATCTTCTTTTAAAAAGTAAAAATAATATTTTTCTTAATTTAATTTAATTTATATATTATTTATTTTCACATAGCTGGATTATTATTTTTCCCTTTAATGTTCTTTTGCACAATACACATTATAAAGAATACATAATAGACTTGTAAAGATAAAAGATTGATGAATAATAAAATAAATAAAAATGCTAGGTTTTTAAATAATATTATTTTTTATTAAAACTTTTAAATTTATTGAATATAGAGAGGAAATATAAAAAATATAGAAGAATATGTAAATGAATATAAATAATAGAATTTTTTTTTAATATTTTATTTGATATTTTTTTGCATTAACCTAATAGAAAAAAATTTAAAGGAAAAAAATCATGTTAGCAAATTAAGCTAATAATCCAAATCAAACTTTAAGATAGAAATAAATTTCATAAATTTAAAAAGAACAAATAATATAAAACTCTTAAAAAGAATAAATTGAAAATTTATAAACAATTTATTGGGAAGAATTAAGAGTGGGAGATGTTGTTAGGCTTCAACATGGAGAAACCGCACCGGCAGACATGATTTTATTAGATTCTAATAAAATAAGGGATAAATAGGCTATATGCTATATAGATACAATCCCAGTAGATGGTAAAGAACAATTAAGGTAAATAAGTGCAAGTTCTCTAACTAGAAGTAATATTTTTTTAAAATATATATAAAATAAATAAATAATAAAATAAAAGTAATAAATTTCAAAGATTATAAGAAATCGTTTTTTAATAAATACAGGGCTATTTTAAATTTAAAATTATCATATGAACCTCCAAATTAAAATATTAACGAATTTAATGGCTAATTACGTTTAAAAAAAGATCCAAAAATAGAATTTTTAACAAATGATAATTTCATTCCTAGAGGAAGTACAGTTTATTTATAAAAAAGTAAGGATTGGATATATGGATTAGTTCTTTATACAGGAATGAAAACTAAAATAATGATTAATAGAAATTATTAAAATTATAAAAATTCTTATTTGGAAGGATTAATTTAATATTATTTTTTAGCAAATGTTTCCTTAGTAATTGTCTTTGCTATTGTTAGTATAATTGTCCTTATTGCTAAAAGTAAAGAATCTGATTTTTTAATTAATTATGTTGATAAGGATGTTGCTAATTCCATTAGATTTTTCACTTATATTATACTTTATTCATAAATGATTCCGATTTCTATTTACGGGGTTTTAGATATAGTTACTATATTATCAAAATTCAAAATTGAAAAACAAAACAAAAAAAAAAAAAAATACTTTAAAATTAACGATCCAAATGTTTTTAGTAATATGGGCCATGTATTTTTTTTTTAATTTATTAATTTAAATTATAATATTTTAAATAAAATTAAAAGATTGATTATATTTTTATGGATAAATTTACTGCTATTCATAAAAAAATACATGATGTTGCAAGAATCACTACTTATAATGATGATTATAGAATTGAAAAAGATGATATTAGTAAATTTTTAGAAGGAAAAGAATTCAGTAATAAGGATTTTAAGAACTTTTAAACAATAAATTAATTAACATAAAATGCACAATTTACATTAAATTTCATAGAAGTAGATGAAAAAAATGATGAATATGATATATATAAAGATAATAAAAAGGAAGAAAATAATAATAATAATATATAAAATATAAAAATATAAACGAATGGTGCTTAATTTAATCCAATAAACTCTAATTAAAACTAAAGTATGTAAACAGACGATTTTGACATTAAAAATATTTAAGATAAATTGTTTTGTAATTAAATGGAAAATTCTAATAAATTACCTTTATAATTAAAAGAATATTTATAGAAAGAGCTTCAAAATACAAAAAATCCTGAAACATCAGAAAAATAAGCAATTTAATATTCTTAAATATCAGAAAAACAAATTAGTTAAAATTTTTAACAAGAATCGAAATCAGAAACGGTAAACATTGATAAATAATAGCCTATTAATGAATTATCGAAAGCCCAAATATATACAACTTATTAATATGTTTAAAAGATATAAGAAATGTATGATGAAAATAATATAAAAGGAGATTTATCATAAATAATAATAGCTTCTCTTATTTGTAACCATGCCGAGCCTTCAAAACACGATACTTTGGAAATTGTTGATTCTAGTATACTTTAAAATGAAAATTCAGTTTTATAATTTGCTAGTTAATCTGGTTTTACATTGTTTACTTAAAAAAATAAATCCTATATTTATTTTGGTGTAAAAAAATTATATTTTATTTTAAAATTAATAAAAAATAGAAAAAAAATGTTGTTTAAATTGATGAAAAAATGTTTAATTATTAAAGAGGAGACAAAAAAACATTTTCTGTTATAGTTTAATTGACCTAAGATAAAAAGTAATCATTTTATTTATATTGTAAAGGAGATCCTGCTTATATGAGAAACAGAATGTAGATTAGTATTTAAGAAAGCATTAATTTTGATATTTTAGTATAAAGCTTTTAAAAATAAGGCCTTTAGCCTATTGTTTATACAAAGAAACAACTTAGTTAAGCTTAGTATAATAAATATATTGAGTTATATAAATAAATATAAAATAATCCTTAAGTTTAAGAAGAAGAATTAAAATAATTAGGTTTAGAAATAGAAGTTAATTTATAATTTATTGGACTATTTGGTTTAAAATAAAGAGTTAATTAAGATATTTTCCCTCTAATTAATTTATTCCAAAAATCAAATTTGAATTTATACTTATTATCAAGCGAAACTTAAGAACAAACTTTAAATACTGCAATGTAAAAAAAAAAAAAAAAAAATTATAATTTTTTTTTAAAAGAAACATAGGAATAAGTTAAGGTTTCGGAAGATAAGCTAATAAATAATATTTTTAAATATCAGAAGATAACACAGAATAAGTATGGAATTAAGTCCGTTAGATTTTATAATAATTAAAGGATATATTTTCTACATAAAATTAACAAAAAATTCAAGCAGAAAAAGCCAAAAGAAACAATTACGAGCTTGCATAACCTTTGGACGAAAAAAAGTAATAAGAAACCGTTGATAAGAATCTTAATTAAAAAGAGGAAGTATAAGATTTAGAAAGAAGACTTTCTAAAGCATTATAGTAAAACATTATGCTTGAAAAAATAAATTAATAATATTAATTACATTTAAATGGTAAAAGCTTTTTATGTTTAACTTAAGATAATACTCTTTTATAACATTTTACTTTTATTTTATAATTCTGTAGAGTAGTAATAGGTTATAATATTGACTAAGAGTCAAAAGGAAAACTAGTAAATATAATTAAAAAAGGGATGCTTTTTAATCCAACAGTATGTGCAATTGGAGATGGTTACAAAGATACTTAAATGATGAAAAATGCCGACATTTCAATTGAAATAGTTGAAAGTTGTCCTTAGTCACATACTGAATTTTGCACAGGAGAATAATTTCATGTACTAAGTAATGGAGGAGATATACAATTATCATAAATAAAAGATATAAAAGATCTAATTTTGCTAGAAGGAGTTAATAATTTTTTCTAAACTTAAAATTTGATATACTTTTTGTTTTATAAAAGTTTACTTTTTGGACTCTCTTTATTTTACTTTAATTGGTATTCATCTTTTCTTGGTACTTCTATGTTTGAATCTATGTGGGTATTCTTGTACGATTTCATATTTAATGCTGGAACTGTGATTCTATACGGACTATATGATACTCCTTTCCAAAAAATCGTCTTATAAATTTTCCCTTCACTTTATGTATCTGGTTTAGTTGAAAAATAACGAGTTTTATCAAATTTTGTACTACAGAGTGTCTTAGAGGGTCTTTTTTAAGGAACTCTTATTTACTATGTATCCATTTATATAGTTTCCAGATCTCTAAGTATTGATGGATATAATTCTGACTTTGGAATCATGTCTTTAGTTATTATTTATAGTGTCATACTTGTTTTTAATTTTAAAATTATCTTAACTTCAGAGAGTCATAAAGTAAGAATTGTCTGGGCTGGTCAATTAATTGTTTTGGTACTTATTATAGTATTTATTTTTGCTAATGATACTGATAATTTCTCGAATTGGGATTGGGTTATGACAACTGGTGAAATATTCAAAAGAGGTGATACTATTTGTTGTTTGATTTTTAATGTTATTGTATCTCTTATTGTTTCTCATTTTGTAAATGTTTTTATGGTCGAATATCTATAACCTAATACCTATTTGCTTAATGCTTCAAAAATTTAATAATAAAAATGTTTGAACTATTATATATATATTTTATTTATTTTTATTTTTATTATTAGTAAATTGGAAAGAATATAATAATTAAATAATTATTGAATAAAGTCTGAAAAGAGAAATTGATTTAGGACTTTTAATTAAGAAAATCTTTACATCATAAAGTATTATTGAATAATCAGTTTTAGATAGTAAATAAAAAATTACAAATTATATAAAAATAATAAATTTTATTAGTGGTTTCTGCATTTGAATCTGATGTAACACATATGTAAATAAATCCATATTCATTAAAATTTAATGACTAAAAATTAGAAAATAAATACAAATATGAACGTACATCTTCAAGCTCTTCAATATTCCGTTTTACATATTTTATTATAGTATTAATAATTGTCGTATACATAATAGTAGATACTATAACCGATAAAGAATTAGATTAAATTAGAGGCTTTTTACGAGCAGGATTTGGTGGTTTTTTCGTATTAGGATTAATACTTGTATTAAGTTAAAAGTTTCAAGATTTATATTATTCATTATCATTTTCACTTCTTTTCATTGGGGTAGTTTTCAAAATAATACTTGATTGGATCGAATCAAATTTCAGTACTTCAATGACTACAATGATTACTACTTGCATTCTTACATTTAATTTTGGTTTAAATATTTATTCTGTAATTATTTTGAATTTAATGAACTCTTGTAGCTTTATTATAAGAATTATTTTTATTTATTATGACAAAGGCTATTACGATTAAAATGGAACTAATTAAGATCTTTATAATTTCTTTTTAATTGCTTCATTTGTAATTATGCTTTTTTATGTGTTCGTATAATCTGTATATGTAATATACAAAAGTGAAAGTGAGAAAAGGAAATATTTTGTAGCTTAATAAGATATAAAAAACGCCAAAGAACAAAATAATGCTATATTATCAATTTTAGTCCCAGATTTTGTCCAAAACAAATTAAATACAGGAAAATTCGAAATGGCAGATGATTAAGACGAAGTTGCCATTTTATTTGCTGATATTTGTTATTTCGATGACATGGTAGAAGAAGAATAAAACAATATAGTTTCTATACTTGATGAATTGTTCAGAAATTTTGATATCATTTGTGAAAAACATGGTGCTTAGAAAATCGAGACTGTCGGAAAGACATATATGGCAGCAACAGGTATAAAAGAATGTGAAATAAACGTGTCAGAACAAATAAAGTAAAGAGGAAAAGGCGAAAGATTAGTAACAATGGCAAAAGAGATGTTAGAGCATGCCAGCAATTAAAAATGGGGAAAACAATAAGAGCCAATATAATTAAAAATTGGTATTAATAAAGGGGAAGTAATGGCAGGTGTTATAGGAAATCCTAAACCTTAATTTTCTTTAATAGGAGATACTGTAAATACAACTTCTCGTATTTGTGCTTAATGCTCTTATGGTAAAATAATGATTACTTAAAAAATTAAAGATGAAGTAAAAAATATGAATCATTCCTTCAAACCTATCACTTTTTAACCCAAAGGTAAAGATGTGATGACTGCATATGAAATTGCAGGCCTTGCTACTCAAAAAAAATTTTAGGGAATCCTTAAAAATCTCAATAAGCATAAAGATGCTATTAATTAAATTCCTTTAAGTAACAATTAGACAGTTAAAAAATAAAACTCTATTACAGGTGGATCTAATAATAATTCAGAAAAATAAAATAATATTATCAATGTTTTAAGAGGTAAAAATCCTATTAATTAAGAAAAAAACAATAAATCTTCACAAAACTAGATATTAAATTAATAAAATACTGAATAATAATAGTTGACAATTAAATAAAATGAAGAAAACAGATTAATGACAAATAACCAATATGGTCCTGATACTGAATATCAAGATGATGATGATGAAAATGATGAAGATATAGATTTTGAAGAAGATGTAATATTAGAACAAGGAGATTTAAAAACAAACATATTACTCATGATCGACAAAAACGTTCCAAACGATTCTATTTATAAATTCAGAAATCAAACAAAAAAATATAGTTTGCATGTAAACAGAATAATGATTATTTTTCTTATACTTCTTTATTTGATTAGTACTATGTTCTTAATTACTGTTAGATCTGCTTTTTAATATTCCAGTGCTATTTTTATTATTAGAGGTATTTATATATTTGCTTTAGTTATTGTATTGTTTACTCTTTCTTATTCTTTTTCTAATGATTAAATTAGATATATAACATAATTTATACTTATGCTTGGTTGTGTCCCTTCATTACTTTAAGGCTATTTCTGCTTTTAGGATGATTTCTTAACTATTTAAATTATTGAAGCATTAATTATTTATATGACGTCCTCTTATATTGTGTATTCTTTAATATATTTTTAAATTTTATATTTTTTTATTAATAAAAAGTATCTTTAACTTTATTGATATTATTGTTTATTCTACTATTATAAGCATTCTTTTTATTGCTTTGATATTTGATGATTTAAATGTCACTAATTGTTTCTTTTTTTGGGCTTTTATTATTCTTATTATTTAAAAATCATATATTTATTTACGAAATTCGTACAAAAATTACAATTTTACATCTAAAATTAATAAAAAGAAAGATAAAATGTAAGGATTAGTTAATTAATTATTACCTGCAGTGGTAAAAAAACATAAAAGAAATTTAAAAAATATAATATTTTTTTAAAAGGCATTAAATAAATTAAGAAATTAAAATGTATTTTTAAATAATAAACGTGAATTAACAGATGAATTCGAAGATGTAACAATATTATTTGCAGACATTAAAGGATTTACTGAATTTTCTGATAAAGTAAAAGATCCTAAGAAAGTCCTTAAAATGTTAAAAAATTTGTTTGAAGGATTCGATAAATTATGTTTAAAAAATAACGTTTTTAAACTATATACTATTGGTGATTGTTATGTAGTCTTGAGTTTCGTTGTTGCGGAAAGATAGAATATTAAAGAAGAAATATGTTAAGAAGCTAAAAATGGTATATTTATATATAATATATATATATATATATATATATATATATATATATATATATATATATATTTAAAAAATTAAAAATAGTCGTAAATATGGGATTGGAAATGATTGAAACAATAAATCATATCAGAAAAGATTATACATTTTTAAACATGAGAATAGGAATACATACAGTAAATAAATAAATATCAATAATATATATATTCTAAATAAATAAAAAGAGCAAAAAAATAATTGGAGGTATTTTAGGAACCCATGTAGTTAGATATGATGTATATGGAAGAGACATTAGAATTGCAAATAAAATGGAATCAAGTGGGGATCCTGCAAAAGTAATGATTAGTTAATCTACTAAAGATTGGATTGAAAAAGATCCTAATTGTCCTTACAGTATTGTTTGGGCTAAAGAAGTTGAAATTAAAAGTAAAGATAAACCTACTGAAATTATATAAAGCTATTTTATTAATAAAAAAGGATATTATTAATGAAATATATAATAAATAATTTTATATATATTTATTTAATTATATTTTTATTAATTTAATTAATAAAATATATATATTAATATTTTTTATTTCTTTTGTATTTTTTTAAAAACTATATTAAAAAAAGTGTCATTATCTATTTTATTTTATTTTTATACTGAAAAGAAAAAATATAATAACAAATAATACATAATACATATTATAAAAAGATTAAATCATATAGTTATCCTTAACTTTTTAGTTTTCCTTATGGTAGAATTTAAAACAAATACTTTTAAATTAATTGCGATAAATTAAAAAATACATTTATATAAACCAAATCAATATCATATTTAGCTAAAGCTATATTAAGTTATGTTATTTTCATATTTCTTTCTATATTATTTTAATCTATTTACAAAGCTTTTTGTAAATAATTTTTCGCATTTAAAAAAATCTTACTTTTCTAAATATATCGAGGCAATATAATTCCTCGAATATTTTAAGATTCCAACTCAACCGCTTTTTCAAATTTTTCACAAGCAACTTCATAATTATCAAGCATATAATAATTATCAGCCAAATTATATAAAGCTGCGGTATTTTAAATATCTAAAATAATAGCTTTTTCTAATCATTACTAGGCTTATTTAAATTATTATTTAATACAAAAAGCATTACCTAAATTATACAAATAATCAGATTTCACGACAAATATTCTCAAAGAATTTTTATAATTAAAAATGGCATTATCAATTAGGTTTTTCATATAAAAATAATATCCTAAATTATACTCAATTTGATAATTCTAGTATAATATACATATTTCTTTATAATATTTTATTGCCATATCAAAATCTTCTAATAAGTAATAACAGTTGGCTAAACTAATTTTAGCTTCTATATCATTTGTATCACATTCTTAAGCTTTCTAATAATATTTTAATGCTATTGTTTGTATAAAATATTAAACCTATTACACTAGAAGCAAAGCTCCAAATCTAGAATTTATTTTTAGAACTTCTCTTAATTATTCTGTGCTTATTTATATTCTTTCCGTCCTACATATATTAAATTTAATTAATAATGAGCTTTGTATATATTGATTAGTTTTAAACTATTATTTTATAATATTCACTGGCTTTATCTAATTTTCTTGGTTTTTAATATAATTTTCCTAACCGGAATTTCGCTATTATATTTGTGGTTGGATATTTGACGCTTTTCTTTTTAAATCAAATTTTTAATATGAAAAATAAAATAAGCAAATAATAAAATTAATAATATTCGTTTATATATATAAATATTTACTCAAAATTCATTTACGCTTATTCATAATTTTATTGCAATAACAATTTAGTTGTATGTTCAATAATTTAATGTAAATCATTAGGTTTTATATATTCATTTGTTTTTAAAAAAAAAAAAGCATTTTATTTTTTTACTTAAAACTTTTAAAAACTATTCTCTAGATTTATCAAATTTTTTATTAAATTTATTTATTTGCTTTATAAATTTATTTATTAGTTCTAAAGGGATATATTTTTTTGAGAATTGAATTTTGTTTTTAATTTTATATTATTTTAAAACTTTACATAGATTAAAAAAATATAATAAAATTAATAAAAAATTATTTATTTCTGAACTTTTTAATATTTATTAATTACTTTTTAACATCATTCATCATTTTTTAGAAAGAGATTAAGAATCTTATTTTTATAATATTTATGAATTATTTAAACTATTTTCATACTTTCTTTCTTGTGATTAATTTTATTACATTATATTTTAAAGATTTTGTTTAATTATTTTATTGTTTTATTAAATATTATTTTAATAGATTTTCAATAACTCCTACTTACATATACTCTATTTATATTCTATTAACTTTATAGAATACAATTATTAGAAGATTTATATTTAAAGTCAGAATTAAATATATTATTATTATTGATTTCTAATTAACTTTATTTAATATTTTAAAAAGATATAGATTAGAATTTTTATTTACATAATTTATTTAGTTTTTTATGATTTGAAGAAAACAATAAATGTAAATATATATGTTAAATATGAAAATATAATAAAAAAAAATATTAATAAGTATAAAGAAAATATTAAATTATTAAAAGATTTAAAAACTATATATTTAAATAATATCAATAAATTAATTATGTATTTAAAAAATAATAAATGATTAATACAAAATTATATAAATATTTATTTTATTATATATTATTAATTCTTTTATTTTTTCTATTCATATTTTTTATTATATTAATATTTTATTAATACCTATAATTTAACAAAATTAAATTAATTTATTTTATTTTATATTAATATTTTTAAAATTTTAATTTATAAATTTTTTAATTAAGTTTAAAAAAAATAATAGTATAAGAAAAAGCAAAAGTATATATTATATTAATAAATAAAATATAATTAAAGTTTATAATTTAATTTTTATATAAATATTATAAAAACAAAATTAAAAATATAAAGTTAATATTATTTATTATTACTTATAATTGATTTATAACTAAATTTTTATTTTAAGTTTATAAATATATAATTTATTTTTAATCAAAAAATCATAATTTTTCTTAAGTAACATTTATTACAGAATTATAATTTTCTTCTTCTAATTCTTTAATAAACTAGAGATTTTGATTTTAATTTACATTTTAATTTTGATTTTAATTTGGATTTTTACTCTATCTGAATTCTGCGTTTCCTTATATATTATTAAGCTAGGTTTTATTTACTTCTTATTTATTAATATCAGTTTGAATAGAAAAAAGTGATATATCTACAGATTATTGTGTTAACTATTTATTTAGATTTTCATGTTTATTTTATTCCATTTCGATATCAAATTAGATATTTTATTCATTTTAATTGCATAATTTAATTTTAATTTATTTTATTAAAAATACTACCACGACAATTACCCAAATGACTTAGCAAACACAAACTAAAGCATTAATTGTCCAACATATATTAATAATGAAAGTAACAAAATCTTTATCTAAATATGACTTATCAATATTTAATTAATCTTTATCTATAAAAGCTACCTAATAAAAGCTTTATATAGACCACACAACAATTAAGCAAACGTAAATTAAAATAAAATTAAAATAAATAAGTTGTGAAGTAAAATTAAGAGCAAAATATTAATAAACATTATATTTATAATTAAAAATAAACGTAATTAGATAATAAGTTGCAAAAAAAAATAAAAAAATTCCATTTCCTAAAAAAGTTTACATTGTTGAAACTATACAACAAACTATTATTATTTTAACAATAATTCTAAAAGCGCAATAATTTCTATTATAAAAGTTCACTAACTATTGATTTTCAAAAAAATGTTTATATTTCTTACAGTATTCAATATCTTAAACAAATATTTTATAATTTTACATTATTTTTAAAGGTATAAAAGCATAGAATATGTATGAAACGAACATTATTATTGCCAAAATAAAATCAATTATTATAAGAATTTCTAATTCAAATCTATATGTTTTTATCCTTATTAGTGAAAAAAAAATTATGTTAACTAATAAAATATCATATATTCGTAAAAAAGCGTTATAATTAAATAAAAATTTAATAATTTTATTTTTACATTTTGAAAATATAAATGTAAAACTTAAATAAATAAACAAAATTGATAGACAATCTCCACTATTATTTATAAAAAGTGTTGACTTTATATATTAGTTATTGTATTGTGTTTAGTTTTTATAATTTAATATTTATTATTTATCTATTAAATTGCAAATAATTAATTCCCACAAAACATTGGGTATATTAATAAAATTAATTTTGATTAATTCATAGAGTAGTATATTTAAAGATTCACTTTTAAAAATTTCTAAAAACAAAATAATACTAAGCAATTAATAATAATCTAAATATAACCATAGTATTATTTTATTTATTCTTAAAATAATAAAAATTAATAAAACTAAAATAAATGATAATAAAAATGACCATGTTATATATTTTACATTATCATAAATCTATATTTCTATTTAATTATAGAGAAAGAAATAATCAATACTTATCGAAGAAGGTTAAATTTATAAAATATTTCCTTATTAATCTTATATATCTCTCATTTTTTAAAGTTCAAATCTCCTATAAAGAAAACTTTAATTATAAGTCAAATATATATTTATCAAATTTTAGTTTTCTTATTAAAAAAAATATTGGAATTCAAAATTTTGATTAGATTCAATTTTAAATATTTATTATAAATCTTGATTATCAAAACTATAATTCTAATCTAATTGTAATTAAAACAAGTTCTTATTTATAATTATTAATTATCCATTAAAACATTATTAATGTTTTATATATAAAAACAAAATAATTAATGTTAATCTTAAAAACATAAAATAAAAATTATATTTATATATTTATTTATTTTTTTATATTTATATTAATATTAATAACTTTATTTTATTTAAGTTAAAATTATTGTATAATTATTATTATATTTATATAAATTTAGAGACTTTTATTAAAAAAATTTATTCTTTAATTTTTTATATTATTTAAATTGTACATATAATTTTTTAAATTTCTATTAAATTAAATATGAAAAAATTAATAAATATATATAATTTTATATGAATTATTAAATAAACGTATAATTATCGAAAAATCTTTTATAATTATAATATATATATATATTTGACATTATATCAAAATATTTTCCCCACTTTTTAATATAAATATTTATAATAAATTTTTGATAAAAGTGAATTAGATTTTTTGTTTAATATATAATTATTTTATAATTTATTTTTTTATTTTTTATATCAATGAGTAATATTGCCTTAATTTATTCTTAGCCGTAATGTCTTTGCTATGAATTAAGAAAAATATACTCAGCTCCTGAAATAAATTTTTGTATTGATATAGTTAATGAATTGAGTAAAAGAAATTCTTTAAATTTTTAAAAAATAATCTAAAAATAAAAAGTTTCTAATATTAATAATTTCAATGATAAAGCTTCTAAAACTGTAAATTTATATAATAAATATAAATGCCTAAAACCATCTATTTTTAACATACAATTTTAAAATTAAAATATTTAATAAAACTAATAAATCCTAAATATTAATAATATTTAAAAATATCAATCATAAATTAACAAGAAATAAAGTTATTTAAAAAAAGCAATTTTAAATTGTGCTTTTAAATATGTTAATAATTACTTTCTATAATAAAATAAATTCAATTAAAACTAAATTTAAATTTAATAATAATATCATAAATTATATAATTAGTAATAATAAATTAACTAAGAAGATTTATTACTTTTTGATCTTTATTTAGCTCCTGAAGTTATTTGAATTTTTTACTTTTTACTATATTTATTTATATTTTATTGTTATTTTTTTAAAAAAATTAAATAAATTAAGAATTACATATATTAATAGTTAAAAATTAAACGAAAAAATCAATTTTATTAATGTTTCTTCTGTTAAGTAATAAACGTCAATTATATAAAAATTAAATATATAAATAATATAATTTTTTTTAAAAAGATATTATATTATATTATAATAATGTTAAAAACACAAATCTATATACTAAATTAGTAATAAAATAGATATTTATATATAAATTAAGAAATTGAAATACTAAACATTTACATAATTAAAGAAAAATATTAATTTTATAAAAATATTTATTTTATTTAAAAAGTGTTTATTATTTTTTTTCTTAAAGCTTTCTTGATTTTAATTAAACTAGAATAAATCATTAAATTAAAAAACATATAATAAAATAAATCTTAAAATTATTATAAAAAGTTATATAAAATTAAGTTATTAAAAATAATTAATTAAATAAGTAATATATATATATATATATATATATATATTTTTAATTTATATAATAATAATTTATTCTATTGTAATTTATATACTAAAATGGTATTCCGTATAAGTGCTAACTTAAATTAAAATAATTAGTTTATAATGACTATACTTATATTATTATTAATGTATTTAATATTAACTGTATTTATTTTTTTAGAAATAGAATTGTAATGAAATCCTCTCGAACATTTCTAATAATAAAATTTTTTTATTTTAAAATATTTATTTTGAGTATTTTAAAAATTATTTTTGAATCTTTATTAATAGCCGATTGTTTTATTAATAACTCAACATTTAAAGAAATCAGCAATATGTTTTATAATGAATTTTATATTTCTGAAATTATAATGTGCTCTTGCTTTTTTAGTTTATTTCAATTAATTTTAATAATAAATTACAATTCTCACATTAAGCTTGGAATTGTTAACGAAGACAATAAAATAACTTTTTTATCAAAAAAGTATACTTACACTTACTTAATTTTAATTTTTATTTATTATTTAATTAATGGTGCTTACATATTTTTATACAGATTTGGTAATATTAATAATAGATAATATGTTTTTGGAATAGGTTTTTTTAACTCTGTATCATTACTGTATTTTATTATTATTATTATATTTCTAAAAGTTAAATTCAGCGGTTGCATATATACATCATTTGAAAGTAAAAAGAATAATAAATTTATAGAAAAAGTTGGATATTATTGGGTAAAATATATATATATATATATATATATATATATATATATATATATATATATATATATGTATTTTATTAAAAAAAATTCCTTTATTTTATTAATAGGTTTTCCGAAATGTATTAAATTTAGCTTTTTGTATAACATTATTAATCTATAATGATTAATTATATTAAAACATTTTCTTAAATAATTATAATTTATAAAGATTTTGGAATATAATTAGCTATTTTTTAATCCCAGTACATCAAATATTAACATTAGTACTTCCTATAATATTATCTTTAAATTTGAAAATAATAAGATCTTTATGTAATATAGAAAGCACATAACGAAGCGAAATAGTTAAAAAACTAATTTAAAATTAAAGTAATGAATTTTAAAGAGAATAAACTTAATTTCTCATAATTAATTAACGTAAAAATAATCTAGGAAAAATCGAAAAAATATCATCAAGTAATGATATTGCTTGCAGAATTTTTTTGAGAAAAGAAATAACTGAATTTATTTTAAAAGAATGTCAAGATTAAATAGAAGAATAATAAAATTTAAATATATAAAATCTTTGTTTAATACAAAGTATATAAATATAAAATGATTAGATTTATTTTATTTTTTAATTTTTAAAAAATGGCTCCCTTTCTGATAACATAAGATAAAATACATGTTAAAGTCCTGCTTTAAGTACAATTAATAATGAGTAGCCAGACTAAAATACTATTTAATAATAATAACAAAATAAATTTAGCCTCAAAACAAAAATCAGAATAGCAATACAAATTGCTCGAATACTAAAAAATATGCATAGCGTTAATGTTTTTCATGGGCATTTAACTAGCTCAAATATAATCTTCGATGATAATTATAATGTTAAAATTTCTGATTTGGGCTTTTAGAGTCTAAAAAAAATCTTAAGTCTTAAAAATACAAAATATTAAAATAAAACTTATTTTACTGCTCCTGAACATCTGATTTAAAGCGGAGCTATAGTGAATAAACCTAATAATAAATCTGACATTTATAGCCTTTCATTCATTTTGTTGGAACTTTTTACCGAATAATAAACTTTTTTAAATAACCTATCTTTTGAAAATATAAAAAATATCATTGTTAATGAAAATCAAAGACCTAAAATTATAAAAGGAGAATCTTTTCCTAATGAAGTTGCTACAATTATAAGATTTTGTTGGTTAAAAGAGCCTTCCGAAAGGCCTGATATTGATGTTGTGCTTTAAAGTTTGGAAGGTTTAGATTAAAACTAAGATTTTTGAATTTATATTTTTTAAATTAAAAAAGTAATAAAATTTATAATTTTTATATAAATTATTATTATTTTTTATATTTGATTTAGCTAATATATTATTTAAAAAAATTATTTAAAATTTATTTATGAAATATATTTTATTTATAATTTTTTTAATTAATATATATTATATAAAATATTATAATTTTAATATTATTTTGTATAATTTTGATATAATATATTTTAAACAAATTATAATAATAAAAATTTTAGTAAATAAATTTATATATTAAGTTAATAAATATTTATATTAAATATATGACTTATTAAAAAAAATTATATTTAAATTATTTATAATGCATCTAGAAAAAAAATAAAAATAATTTTAAATAAAAAAAAATATAATGCATTTATGTATTTAAAATATATTAACAATAATAATTTTTATATTTATCTAAGAATAAAAATCATTTTTTTTTATTAAAACACAAAGGTAATTCATTAATTTCTGGTCTTATATAAACTTAATCTTTTTAAATAATTTTTTGCATATTTTTTCCGTTATTAGCATCTTCAATACTTTCAAGAATTTTATTCATTCTTTCAATCCTTTCAAAGACTTCATTTTATTTGACTAATTAATCCAAAACATGATTATTTTGAGCGCCTAAACTTTCTGTGGGTACAATATCTTTATTTCTTTGTCTACTTTCATTTATTTATTTCATTCTTTGTTTATCTTAACTTTCATTATTTTTTTTTTCAATAGCTTTTTTTATCATATTATACTATTCATTTTCATATTTTAATTTATTTTCTTCATCTTTACTTTCAAGAAACCATTTAATATTTATTACTTCTCCCGAATCCAATGCCTGATGCTGCATTGACTCTTTTGCAAACTCCGCCATACATCTATGTTAATATCTTATTAAAGCCTTATTTTATCCGTGGATATATTTAATATCATCAATATCTCCCCATTCTCCAAAATGCCTATATAAAATTTCATACATTTATGCTACTATACCACTTACACCTTCTGGAGGACACTTAAAATCATTCACTTCTAAACTCCGAGTATCTTACAAAAATGAACCTACACCTCCTCTATCTTCTCTATGTTAAGAATGTCTTGCCCTTCCAAAAACATCTCTACTATTATCTATTGTAAGACATTCAGAAAAACTAGGAACCCTATGAAAATACCTTTTTTTTTATTAATTTTTGTTGTTTTGTTTTAAATAATACCTGCATTTGACCCCTTCAGAACAACATCCTTTGGCCCAATGATGGCAAAAGTAAGCCGAATATTTATCACTTATATCTGCTTTTGTATATCCTGTATCAAGTTCACTATCACAGCGTGTTACTGCAGGTTATTTATGATCTCTAACTAGACTTTTTGTATCTGATAAATGCCTTCCATACCATATATTATATTCTTGATCGCCTTCCTTATATGCAAATTTTTCTGCTAATGATTATTCTAATTATTTTCTTGATGGTCTTTCCATTAATGATAGATTTCTTAATTGTTTTTTTTAGAGTTTTAGTAAAACCTCTGGTGAAAGAAATTAGTCTATACTTTTTTATTCTGGCTCTTCTTTTTCTTTTTCTTTTTCTTTTTTTTCTTATTCTTATTCTTCTTCTTCTTCTTTATTTTACTAATTGCTTTTTATATTTTCTCTTTGTGTTTCTATTTCATATTGCTCTCTGAAATCTTTTACTCTCTCAAGTATTTCTTCGGGAAGTTCCCATACCGATTCTTTCGTTTCTGTATTATAATAATAATGTCTATTGTATGTTTAATCAAAAAACCTTTCATATGGGGTTATTAATTAATTAAATAATAAATTATTATTATCCATATTTTTATAATATTTTTTTTTAAATTATATAAAATTATTTTTTATAGATTATTTATATATTTTTTCTTAATATTTAAAATAAATTTTTTCATATTATAAATACAAAAAAAAATAATAAAAAAATATAAAATAAAATTGATTTAGCAACTAATATAAAAAAATATTAATAAACAATTTTGTTAACTTTAATTTTTATAATTATTTCTAACATAAATTTGATCAATTTTCTACAATCGAAGTATTTTACGAATAGTTGGAATGCATCATATCCATTTCTTCTTATAATTTTTAAATTTTATCCTATAATTCAAATATTTATTAAGCTAACTTACTATTTTGTAGCTATAACTTATCAATAATATTTTATTTTTCAGCAACAATTTTATTATAGAAATCTTTTTATGAGTCTATATTAATATTTTCTTATTTTTAACCATTATTTTAATCTTGTAAAAATTTTATTTTATTCATTAAATCAAAATTTTCTTTTGATAATCTTTAATTGGTATTACTTAATTATTCAATTTGTGTTAATAAGTTTTAATTTTTAATTTTAAAATTATCATCATCTATTAGTTTTTAATTTTCATTTAAAGTTTATATTTACTATTGTAAATTATTGTTAATATTTTCTAAATTTTGAATTTAAACTTATTATTCAAATATTTATTTTTCGTATTAATTTTTAAAATCTTACATTTATTTTTAAAATGTATCTTCTTATTAGTTTGTGATTTGTTATTAATCAATTTGAATCTCTTTACTTATACTTTTATTTTTTAAATAATCAATTTCTTCTTATAATTATTTTATTTAAGAAGTCAACTAATTGTTTTCTTTTATCAATTAATTATTTACTTTATCTAATTATTCTATTTACTCGGCATAATAATTAATTTATTTTTATTATTCCTGATTAATTTCTTATTCCTCTTACTATTTTTAATGTTATTCTCTATATATAGAATAATCCATTAAACTTCTATTTGATAATTCATAAACTTCCTCTTATAATTTTTTTATTAATACAATATGTTGATTATTTTCCATCTAAAGTTTTTCTATTAGTTTTTCTTAATTTTCAAATTAAAATTTATTTTCTGAGATAGTTTTTTTTTATTCTTTATGCTCTTAATATATTTTCATATCATTTATGCTTCTTTTTTTTATATCTTCAAGTTCTTAATTTAAAATTTTAATTTAACTCATTAAATAAGTATTTTCGGTTTACAAAGATTCATTTTTTTTATCTAAGATCTCATAATTTTTTATTTTTAAATTAAATTCTTATTGCTTTTCATTTATTTATTATTTCTAATCTTATAAAAGTTATAATTGTTAGTTTTGCAAATAATCTTTATAGTGGGAAATATCCATTTAGCTTTTATTTTTTAATTCATCTATTTCCTCAATTTGATTTTTTATTTAAATAATCATTTAATTATTATCATTTTATAATTATTAATTTAATTTGGATAAGCTTTCATGTTATTATTTATAAAAATAAATTTCTTTTATAATTTCTGATAATTTTATTTATCATAAACATCTTTTTCTGTGTACATTGAAATATCCATTAAATTTTTATTTCTTAATTTTTCTATTTCATCATTTAATAGTTTCATTTAGACGATTAATTCACTGTTTTCCTGTTAAAGTTATTCATTCTATTTAATTAAAATTTAATAATTTTGAATTTAAATATTTATCTCATTTTACTTTTCATTTAATTCCTTTTATAATAGTTTTATTTACTATTCTTGCTTTTCCTACCAATTAGAATTTTCAGAATATCTTATATTTCTTGATTTGTTTAAATCTTCTTAAAGTTATTTAATTTCTAAATTTTATTAGTTATTTTCTTTTTGTAGTTATTCGTTTACTAATAATACTTATTTTTAGCTTTAAATGTATTAATTTATTTATTTTTATAACTCTTCTTCTTTTTATGTTTTGTCTTATTTAATATTTTCTCTATAAATTGAAATATCTTATAAACTTCTATTTTTTAATTCATAAATTTCTTCATTTAGCTTTTAAATTTAAAATATAAGCTATTTATTCTCTTATTATATTTATTAATTTAATTTTAAAAGTTTTTCATTATTTTATGTATTATATGTCGTATGTTAAGAATTAAAAGATTAATTTTATTAATATTTTTATTCGGTTTCAATTTTTCTTTAAAAATAGAAATATCCATTAAGCTTCTATTTTTTAATTCATCAATTTCTTCTTATAAATATTTTATTTATTAAAGCATTTTATTATTTTCATTTTATAATTTATTATTTAAAATAATTTAATTCTAATAATTTTAAAAATCAAACTAATTATTTTATTCTTATTCTTACTAAACTTTATCTCTATATAAAGAAAAGTCCATTAAGCTTCTATTTTTCAATTCGTCTATTTCTGCTTATAGATTTTTTATTTATATAGTCATTTAAATATTTTCATTCTGTAATTTTTCATTAATTTTAATTATTTTTTCTATATTACTTTAATCATAAAATATCTTATTATCATTATTTAACTTAGATTTGGATTTTTCGTTTTTAAAATCTTAAATCTCTAGTTACAATTTCTTATTTAAGTTTTATGTTTCTATTAACTATTCGGATATTTTCATATTCTTTTACATTAATTATTCTAATTATTATTTGTTTGAATTAATAATTTTATCTTTAGATTATAAATTTAACTACAAGGCTGTAAGTAAATTTCCATTTTCATCACCGTTTTATAATTCTAATTCTGTTATCCTTTGTTAATATTTAAAGCATTATTCTTGCAAGATTTATATTTATTCTTATAATTATTTTTATTAAGGACCTTTACTTAAACATAAAATTGAATTGCTTTAATCTTAAATTGCTTAATCATATTATTATTTGATTTCTTTCATTTATTTAATCAACATATCATTTATTTTTTATAAATCTTATATTTTTTTTTATAAATTCTCATTCGTAAAAGAGTTATTCTATTATTATTTATTAAATAAAAAATTAATTTTTCATAAATAATTTAAAATTAAATAAATATAATATACAATAATTGTCATGTCAGGTAATTTAGATAAAGAAGCGTTTTTATAAATTTCAATTTATTCAAGAAGTTTTTTATTGGTATTTGATAAAATATCGATTTCTTTAATGAGCTTCTGATTAGTATTTAATAAAGCTTCGAAATCTTACTATTATTATTTAACAGAAAATTTATTATTTAATTCTTTTTACAAAGACTCTATTTTGTTTTGTAATTATTTATTATCACATAGTAATTATTCAAACTATTCTTGTGAAGGAATTTTTTTTTTTATGTGTTTAAAAAATTAAAATCTTCAACAAGAAAAATAGAAGATTAATTTAAAAAAGAATTATTTAACTTATCATGATTATTTATTAAATTAATATCATTTATTTTAATTTCTTAAATTTATTTTTTAAATTGTAAATATATTGTTCTTTTTCATTTAATTTTTCATATAATTATTAGATTTATTTATCTTTATTTTTACTTAAATTAGATTCTCCATTTAAATGCTTTTTTAAGTTTTCTAATTCGTATTTTAGATTCTAAATTTACTAACTTTCTTGTTTTTCACTTATTGAATAAGATTTTTGCAAAAGAGATATTTATTTTTTCGTTTCAAACGGTTATTTATTTATTTAAATACTATTGTTTGTATTATTTCCGGAAGAGTTATTTTTAAAATTATTTATTTGTTTTAATAAAAGTGTATTTTTTTGTTTCAAAGATTGTATTTCTTCTATTAATTCTTTATTGCTCATTGTAAATATTACTTATTGTTGATTATTTTGGTTTAAAGGAGAATCCATTAGAATAGATTCATCCAAAAAACCATCGATTTTTAAAATGTTCTTTTCTTAATTTATATACTTTATTTAAGCTAATAAGCTTTCTTTTTCTTTTTGTAAATTCTTTATTTGAGTTTTTAATTAATATTCTTCTTACATATTTTTAGCCTGTATAATACTTTGATTTATTAATGTAGAATTATTAATCAATGTTTAATCGTCAAAACTTTTAAATTATTAAATTAATTATGTATATGTAATTATTGTTTAATCGATTTCTTCTTCTAAGCTTTTTACTTATTATAAAAGCTTTTCTTAATTTTTTTATAAATATTTATTATTTTCGAGAACAATATCATATTCTTTCTTCATTCTTTATAATAAATACATATTTTCTACTTAATTTATTTACGAAAAATCTATATCTTAACCAATTGTATTCAATATCTAATAAAATATAATTAATTTTAAATACATGTTCTTATAAAATATATTTATTTTTACTTTTTAATCAATTAAAAAATTTTTAGTTGCAAAAGCTTTAGTAATAAGATAAAAAAAATCTCTTTAATTTCTAGTTTCCATAATAATAATTAGGCAGACTTTTTTATTATTTCTTAAATTACAATTCTACTAGCCAAAATTTTTTTATAAAAATTAAATTAGATTTTCACAAACATCGAAATTAAGATTTTAATCAAAATCTAAACAAATTTTAAGTACATCAAATTAATTCATAATAATATTTGGAAAATCAAGCGAATATTTAAATTTTATACTTTAATCGTTCAAAATGAATCTCATAAAATCCATATTTACTATAATTTCTACTTTCTAATATTTTCCTTAACATAAAGCTTATCCTTAAAATTTACAATTTTCACTACTAATCATATTTAATAATATTTGTTTTGTATTAGGATCAAAATCAATAGGTCCTATTAAAATAGTTGCAATACCTTAGTACTCTTCTTCTTAAGGGTATACTTCACATTTTATTGTGGAAAATAAATCATAAGCGCTAAATTAGTATGTATTTCCATTTATCCCTTCAAGTAAATAACACCTTGTTTCGTCATTTATTCTGTACCATTTATATTTAGCAGGAATATTTATGCTTTGATTTTTTTATG